AGCATGCAGACCAAGTTAGACACTACAGTTTTGCCTTGCTTGACTGTGTACAGCAAAACATGAGACCTCCGATACTGGAAATCCTCCAGCTGCTTCACAAATGCAATTGCATCCTGCCTTGCCGGCTGTAGAGATTCTTGGGCATCAGCAGAGACATAAGGAGTCACCCGCTCGACCTCACACAAAAGATCCCTAGCTCTCCTCAAGTGCTTTTGCTGGTTCGCCGTGAGAGGGCGAGGAGAAGCAGGCTTCACATCGACCTGCCAACCCAATCCTTCATCTGTCGCGTCGATCTGCGTAACAGGCAAAGACTGGCAGCTGTCGTCATCCGGCTTCGCGCTCTTTGAAGGCGCCAAAGACTGTGAGCTGTGGTCTTCAACCTTGGCACTTTTTGAAGACTGGGAGCTGTGCTGCAAGCTGTCTTCCACAGTGAACACAGCATCTTCGAGCTTGCGCTTCTTGCCGTTCTCAAAACTCAGCCAAAGAGGACAAACCTTGATTACCTGAGAGGCAGAAAAAATGCAACAAATCGCTCCACAAGTGTCACTCTCTTGAACTCGCCCTACAACAAGAATCCCACCTCGTTTCCAACGAAGAGCCGAACGAGGTCGTGCTCAGCCGAATACGTAGAACGAATGCCGCGAACCATGTGGGCAGTCTAGGGCAATTCCATCTAAACGCTAAAAGCAAAAAAAACTGCAGCAACATGCCAGATGAGCTCAAATTTCCAAGTCTTGACTTGACATAACAATCTGCTCGCAAATTCTGAAGCTCTGAAGGATTGTTTTTCTGTCGCCTTGCAGATCTATCGCTCAAGCCTAATTAACCGTGCGAACAACGGCTATAATGTGTATGCAGCTTAAATCTCGAATTTATCAGCAGTCTGATCCTTTCGGCAGGCTCTCATTCCATCGATGCCACTCTTCAAGAACTCTGGTGATCATGCGAGCCTTGCCGGCTTCTCGCTCCCATGTACGCTTCGAAGTAGTGCAATCCATCTGCTCCTTTGGAAAGAACTGCAGGATGAAATCTGCAGAGACACGGGGACGATCTCGAAGCAAGCACATCACGAAGTGGCTTCGCTTTTTTGAACGCTCGAGAAAAGTGCACTGCTTCTTCTCTGCTTGCTCTGGGCACGCCATGGCTGGAAAAAAAGTAGAAACCAGCCTCACTACTTGGGAACCAGCTGCTGGCGAAACAAAAACATGCTCACAATTTAGATTTTCGGGTATTTGGGTTTAAGGTTTAGGGTTCAGGTTTCAGCCCTCCACAAGCGCCCTCGTAACTCTTGCAAACTCGCTCCACATGTATGCCCTCCACAAGCACCCTCATAACTCTCGCAAACTCTCAACAAGTGCTTTGGGTTTAAGTTTAAGTTTATGGAACCACTCTAGACTCTCCACAAGTGTTCTCTCAGCCAAAAGTTCTCTCCGCAACGGCCAGATTTCTTCACACTGCCATCCACAGCGTCCAACGTGGATTCCGCGCTCACGGGGACTGATCTCTCCTGTCAGGTTTTTGTTTCGTTTCTGAAATAGTGCAAGGCTTTATCAAAGGTCCTCATCAATCGTCGAAGCAGGGTGCCCGGAGTCCAGCTTCCTGACACACCCCAAAGTAAATTACCAAAGGTCACTGGCCGAACAATTTACTGGCATGACTGCGTTGCATCCGATATCCTGCAGCTGACGCTTGCATCTCTTCCTCACCACGCCCATACCGCGCTTCCTCGAGTCGGCCTTCGAGGCTCACGATCGTTTCCTCCAGCTCACCAATGAAGTCGTGGTGCTGATTCAGGAGACCAGCTTGCCTTCCCTCCTCCATAGAATACCGCAAAGCTGCCTCAGCCATGGATTCTTTGTACTCATCGAGCTGCGTATCTCTGGCCTGGAAGGGCAGTTTGCGTTGCGCTCTGATACTCTCCAAAAATGCTTCGTCTTAATTGCATTAAAACTGCTCTCGGAGTCCTGAACAAGTGCCATGCTCTGGCGAAACTCCTCTTCCTCCTGGAGGAGTTTGTCATCGGCTTCGTCAAGCCAACCTTCCAGTCTGTGCACCTTGACCTCGCTGGCCTGCAACTCGATTGCATGTAGCACTTCTTTTAGCAGCTCTCTCATTTGCAACACAGAGCAAGGCCTCCAGTTGTTGCCTCAGCCGAGCACTGGTAGTTGCGTGCTTCTCCTCGCTGGCCTGCAACTCGATGGTAGCACTTCTTTTAGCGGCTCTCTCATTTGCAACAAAAAGCAAGGCCTCCAGTTCTTGCCTCAGCCGAGCATTGGTAGTTGCGTGCTTCTCTTCGCTGGCCTGCAACTCGATTGTAGCACTTCTTTTAGCGGCTCTCTCATTTGCAACACAAAGCAAGGCCTCCAGTTCTTGCCTCAGCCGAGTGCTAGCAGTTGCGTTCTTCTCCAGGGCCGCCTACAAGTTTTTTGCAACAACTTATCGTTGGCTCTGTCTAAAACACCTCTCCTCAAGTTCACTCAAAGTATATTGAGGACTCCGGGACACTGTGTCTCTGACTCTGTCACACTCCTCAAGTTCTCTCCCAAGCATCTTGAAGACTTCTGGCCTGCTCCGACAGCTTACAGGACGTAAGCTCACTTAAGAGCTCCTCCTCCACACGGCTAACCATCTGCGTCTCCACGAGGCCTGCAGAAGACTCTCCACGTTGGGGTGCCTGCCAGGTAAAAGGCCGGCTGCCTCGAGTTACCCACTCTCGGACCGGCCATCCGTGCTCAACAAGAAGCCACCATGCTTCGTCACGAGTGGTCTTCGAGTCGAAGCCTCAGGGGCCCGGCTAAGTTTAAGAAAGCAATGGCACTGTGGACGTGAGCTCCATGCATAAAGAAAGCCCGGGAGCACAAGCAGGCCGCAGAGGCCGTCCCTGAGCCGCGGTGCATCATTGACACGTCTTGCAGGGCGATGTCACCCAACCTGCAAAGAGCTGCAAAGCATGGGCTGGTGGGCGGCGGTTTTCGATCAAATGTGACTCAGCATACAAACAAATCTTGCCGCCAGAGAACGGGAGAATGGCTCTCAATCTCGAAGCTGAGAGGGCATGCTCTAACCCTCCCACCCACAACTTGCAATCATCCATCTTTGCGGACGAAAGCTTGACTGCAAAAAAAACTCTGATACTCGAAGTGCAACACAAACTGTCACACAAACAAGAAATGTCTCGCTCCTTCTCTCTCACAACTCTCCTCAAGTTAAGACAAGCAAGTCGCTTCTCGGTCGTTTTCCTCTCTCCCAACTCTCCTCAAGTGGACAACTGTGACTTTCAACTACTACTTCCAAGGTAAAGACTCAACACTAATGGTCAGTCTATTCAAGATTTTAACTTGAAAAATAAACTTGAAAAACAAACTAAATAGTTTAAAATTTAAACTAAAAATAGTTTAAATTTTTTAGTTAAAGTTTAAATTTTAAACTTTAACTAAAAAAGTTAAAATTTAAACTTTTCCCTAAATAGTTTATTTTTAGTCTTAACCGATTCTTAAGGCTCTGCCTTCCTGTTCACCTCATCGGGCGCAAAGGCGGTTGCAAACGACCTGGCGGTCGCGGCAAGCATCATCCATGCTGGAATCAGGAGCATTGGCTTAGAACCAAACTTCGGCGCAAACAAGACCGAAGCAGTACTTGTCTGGCGTGGACCACACAGTCGGGCGGCCAGGCGGGCTGTTCTCTGCACCATGGAGCCAGGCGTGGAGTTCTACACGGGCAACGTCTGCCACCGGATACGTGTAGTACCGGGCTACACCCATCTTGGCAGCTACGTGCGAGGTGATCTGCATGAAGGCCCCGCTATCGGACATAGAAATGGCTTGATGCAAGCCCTCTACCAACCGCTCCGGAAGAAGCTGCTCTACAACCCCCATCTCACCGTCGCTGAGAAGCAGCGGCTGCTGGCAGAACGAGTCTTCCCTCGCTTCCTTTATGGAGCTGGACTCTGGAGGCTTCGCACACAGCAGGAACGGGAGGGCGCAATCAAGCCCCTCGCGCAAGTAGCGAGGACAGCAGTGCGGCCTATCTTGGGTTTCACCTGCGAAGGCCTCGACCAAGCGGAGATCAGCGCAGTCTTGGACCAGCCACTCCCCATCGAGCTGATCAGGGGCGAACAGCTCAGGACGTGGGGTGAACTGGCCAGGGGCGCCGACGATTTCACCTGGCTGGCACTACGCGAAGATGGTGTGTGGATGCGGCAGGCCTACGATGCGAGCTTGCTTATACTGCGGGCTACGGGCCTGCAGTTACCGCAGCCGGAGGACAAGACGGCGTGCCGGAGCTTTGCCATCCAGGAACAGGCAGCACTCCGGAATGCCATCAAGGCGTATCTCCGTCGCCAAGTGGAAGGCCGAGCGGAACTGGGAAGACAGCTTCGTGCCGCACGAGATGGGTGGCAAAGGCAGCAGATCCCCCTGCAGATCTCCCTGACGGACGACTTCGAGTGCAACGACTGCGGGGCGACCTTCAGTGATGCGCGAAGGTTGGCCGTCCACCGTGCGAAACAGCACGCTAGCTGGTCGGCTGCTAGACAGGCGACTTTCGGTACACGCTGCGAGGTCTGTACAGTAGAGTTCTGGGCCCCTATGCGGCTTCAGGAGCATCTTCGCAGGAGTACCCGCTGCCTTGCTGCATATGCAGCGTCTGACCTCGCGACTACGGCCGAGGCAAGTAGGGTACGCGACAAGGCCGACTTCGCGTGGAGACCCGCCACTGTAGCGGCCGGTCCACGCCCTTGGTGGGCCACGCTCCGGCCGGCACTTTAGTTGCCACGGAGCTTTTTTGCTTTACCCGAGGTTTTCCGCCCGCAAAGCTTTTGGCATTTCGCTGCTTGGGCTGCATGGAATCAGCATCGCACCGAAAGGATCTTGAGCGTCCCGCAAAAAAAAAACCCTAAACCCTAAACCCTAAACCCTAAACCCTAAACCCTAAACCCTAACCCTAAACCCTAAACCCTAAACCCTAAAACGGACTGCAGACGACCATGCAGCCGAGGCGGCAAGCTGGCAACATCCATCTCCTTGCGAGATGGGGGTTTAGGGTTTAGGGTTGAGGGTTGAGGGTTTGGGGTTCAGGGTTTAGGGTTTAGGGTTTACGGTTTGGGGTGTAGGGTTGAGGGTTTAGGGTTTGGGGTTTAGGGTTTAGATAGCAGTACCCCGTTTATATGCCGAGTAGAATAGAAGCTCCCTGAAAGGGACGCCCAAAAAGGCTATGTTGAACCCCCAAATGTTTTCAACAAGTTGGGGGGATGGGGGGCTTGATCTTTCAGCTTGCTGTTAAAAGTGCCCATTGTCCGCACGTAGGCTGATCAAAGGATGCCGGCAAATACGGCCCTCCACCCGAGTCTGACGTAGAGCGCTTCCTTACCAGCCCTCTCAGGGTTGGCATCGGCAAAAACGGCAGGCTCGACTCGATTCCACTCCGTGGGCTTTCGCAAACCCTAAATCCTAAACCGTAAACACTAAACCCTAAACCCTCAAGGCGTGTTGCGTGGCTCATTCCATAAGGCCCGCCGGTGGATTCGACAACAGTGGCAGGCTGGACTCGATTCCACTCTCCGGTTCCCTCGAAATCTTTGCAAGGCGCATTTGGGGGGGGGGCTCATTCCAGCGCCATGGTCTCGTCCTAGGGCCTTTTATAAATCATTACGGCGCGCGTGAACTTGCCCGTAATTTAATATTGGATTTCTAAAGATTGAAACCTTCATGAACGACTCTGGGGGAAAAACGCCCATTAAAACATATTAAATTCATGCGTGCCTTATAATTTAATATATTTTAATAGGGTTTTTCTACGGGCTAGTTCTATTCACCCACGGACTCACTCTCTAGTACATATTATTGAAGCCTCTTGGGCTGTTGTGGGGCTTCTTGTCACCCGATTCCTTGCAATTTAGGGTTTAGGGTTTAGGGTTTAGGCCTCGACAGCAAACGCACTGCTTGCAGAGACTGGGGTGGGCACCTAGGCGAGAAAGCGATTTCCAGCCGAAGCCTAAGCAAGAACTGCCCACACGGCCAAAGCACGTTCCGTTTTCTATCTTTTTGCTGTGCCGATAAGGGTCTTTCCTCTAGTAGAAATACTCTGACCCTTGTAATAGGACACCCCCGCCCCCCCAAACGGGCACAACCACCCCCCCCCACAAGACAACCCATGGAGCAAGAGCTCTTTTGAGCAAAAAGTCAAAACGAAAACCCCCAAAGCGCAGCAGCCGGTTACACAAGTGCTTGAAGGCTCATGAGTAAGGTCATATACATACATAGGGTGTGCATCTATCTATACATATATATGTATGCATACTCATACTTTACAAGGGTGTTTATGACCTTGTTTTTGCCTCTTGCGACCTTCACATGCACACATGGTCGCCTCTTTATGTAATGGGCCCTTTGGGGGCTACTATTACATGGCGAAAGATTAGGGCGAATCCTAAACTCTACGCCCTAAAACCTTTTTGCGAACTGACCACATAGGAAAGGTACCCTAAACCCTAAACCCTAAACCCTAAACCCTAAACCCTAAACCTCGTTTTGAGAACCTGACCACCTAGGAAAGGTGTGAAGTCGGAGCCAAGTCTCTGTCATGCCGCTCTTCATGTCTTCAAGCCAGGAGGCAATGTCAAAGACCTGAGGGCTCTGAGAGAGGAACCTTTTGAAGGGGAAGTTCGTATTTGTAGTGTAGGGTTTAGGGTTTAGGGTTTAGGGTTTGGGGTTTGGGGTTTGGGGTTTAGGGTTTAGGGTTTGGGGGTCAAGAGAAACCCCAAAAGCTGTACAGCCGACACCCTGAACTTTGCATCCTGAACTCTAACAGGGGCCATCACATAGGGAGACCAAAAAAACAAATAAGTGAAACAACAAAAACAATAAAACAACATAAGATTAAAAAAAAAAAAAAACAAAAAACATAAATAAATGAATAAATAAATAAATAATCAAAATGCTACTCCTAAAGCTGCAGGTCTGTAGGGTTTAGCGTTTAGGGTAGAAAGCCTTGCCCGAAACACTAAAGCACCCCAACCCCAAGCCCGCTTTCCACTGCTGGGGGGGGGGGGGGGGCCTGTTTTGCCACTGGGTGTAGTATAGGGGCCTCAACAAGTAGAATAGGGTTTTGGGGATTCCAATGACATAAGGGAAGATTATCAGTAACTATTCCGACCCCCCTATAGTGAGCCTGGCCATTCTCGAGCGCCCCAAACCCCTGAATTCTCCAAGTCCAGCATCTGAGCTTGGTAGCCCGGGTACCCTTCTTCAAACCCTAAACCCTAAACCCTAAACCCTAAGCCCTAGTTTCTTTCATAAGGGAAACCGAGGTGAGCGGCTGTTAGCCTGCCGTTCCGATTGCGGTCGATGAGGTTGAACAGCATCTTGTAGTCCTTGGCAAGGGGGGTTTAGGGTTTAGGGTTTAGGGATTAGGGTTTAGGTTTAGGGTTCAGGGTTTAGGGCTTTGGGGGCTTAGGTTTTTTGGGTCTAGGGTTTAGGGTTTGGGGTTTTAGGGTATAGGGTTTAGGGGGCTTAGGTTTTTTGGGTTTCGTTGGGTTCTGAGAGCTTTTGGGACTCCTTCGCCTTTTGGGGCTTCGGGCTTAGGGTTTCATGGCATTCCGTTTCGAGGCCCTTGTCCCGCCAACACTCCCGGACACCATGTGCTCACGGAAAGGTCCGGCATCTTCGGCAACCCTAAACCCTCAAGACCCTAAACCCTAAACCCTAAACCCTCAAGACCCTAGACCCTAAACCCTAAACCCACAACCCTCAAGACCCTTCTTGCATCCAGGCCGAATTCGAACGGCCTATGAACCTCCCAAACTGTAAAGCCTAAAACCCTACTCAGAGACAATCGGGCCTTTTAGGCTTTGAGAAAGCACGTTTTGAAAACCCCCTGGTTCTTAGTAGGGAATGAGGCCTACAAAGGAAACCCTTTAAGGGATTACATAGGGTACCTCATTCCCTCATTCCCGACTAAGAACTAGCCCTAAACCCTAAACCCCAAACCCTAAACCCTAAACCCAAGACCCGTAAGAAAGGTGCGGCTTCTTAGGCACCCCTAAACTTCGAACACCCTATGAACCCCAAACCCTGAAGCCCGAAACCGAACCCTCAAACCCCCTCAGAAATTGAGGGAACTGGGGCCCTATAAAAAACCTCTCAAAGCGATTACATTGGGTTCCTCATTCTTTCCCGACTAAGAACCAGCCCTGCACCCTAAACCCCAAACCCCAAACCATAAACCCTATATAAACCCTTTTTGCTACTGGGCTGAAGGTCTAGCCAGTCTCCAGACCTCAGTCTTCTTGACCGAGGCTGACATGCAAAAAGCCCTGATGCTTGCATTCAGGCTTAAGCCGCTTGTAAGAACTATACTGTAGCATAGCAGCCATAGCAAAAGCATGCACGGAATAACGTCAGCCAACAGACAAACCTGCACGGATGCGCCTACGTTCTTCCTTGAGTGCGAGGCGCTGTGCTCTGTGCTGATTCCGTAGAATTTGTATAGACTCAGGCTGGAAGGCAGGCTCACTCTCACGGAGATCCTTGAACGAACCATGTCGAACGGTGGGTTGACCCGCACATGGTGGTATCATGGATTGATCTGACCCTGAGGTTCGTAAAGTAACTTCCGATGGTGCAGCACGTTCCTGCACTAAAAGTCTGCGATCAAAGTCAGTCACTTCGCGAATGACCGTCTGAAGAGCCTCCTCGTATCTCTGCACGAGAGCTTTGCATTGTCGTTCGGAGATTAGTTCTTCATATGTCTGAGTTCTCACATGACAAGCCTTGACGCTCTGATGGCTTTCCCGGGAACAAGTCTGGGAGCTGCGCACGGCCTCATCCGATTCCTGAAGGTTCAGTCCCTCGAACAGGCTGATTTTTCGTTTTGGTTTTCCGGTGGAGTCTTCAACCAGTTCTCGCAGCACCTGATTCAGCTTTGGAGTGGCGGAAGCGCATCCCAACTTAGAAGAAAGACGCAGCGCGTAAGCCAAGCAGGATAGCAAGCTCCTCCGGAGCTTTCCTTCTCCGTCATCCATGGCAGCAAAGGAATTCCTAATTAGAAATGCTCGCTAGAGCCTCGTAGCCAAGATGTCTTGAGCCGTAACCCTAAACCCTAAACCCTAAACCCTAAACCCTAAACCCTAAACCCTAAACCCTAAACCCTAAACCCTAAACCCTAAAACCCTAACCTCCCTCCCCTGCGGTCTAGGCCACATTGTGCCAGTCCCGCTCGCCGCTGGCTGAGATGGCCAAGGCCGCAGCGGCCTCCATGAGATTGAGGCCGCGGACTTGGGCTTAGGGTTTAGGGCTTAGGGCTTAGGGTTTAGGGTTTCGGGTTTCGGGTTTCGGGTTTCGGGGCCTGGCCGGAGGCTCCTACGTGGGGTAGTACACGCGAATCTTCGAACCCCCTATGATTACCCCAACAAGGCACTAGGGTGTGGGATCGGTAACCGCTTTAGGGTTCCGGGCTTAGTATTCTTAATATGTTTTGGGGTCGCAGGGCTCAAAGGATTCCGTGGCCTGTGGTAGGGCGTTGTAGTTGGTATGTATGGGAAAAGAAGGGCTCTCTAAACGATGGACCCTTTTCAGATACCCTGTCTATGAGGCTCCCTATGAGAGAAGTGGGTCCCCCCAGTTACAAAGGGACCATAGAGAATCCCTCAGTTGGTACATCACCAGGGAATGCACCCTCGGAAAAAACCTGCACCAAGTGAGGTTCCCTGTTGTAGGTTTAGGGGTTTAGGGTTTGGGTCTAACGTTTAGGATTTAGGGTTTATAGGGTTGTAGAGTTATAGGGTTATAGGGTTATAAGGTTATAAGGTTATAAGGTTATAGGGTTTAGGGTCAGGCACCTTCCGCTATCTGGAGGTATCGGCATCACGGCGGCAGGCTGGACAATTCTAAGGCCCACTTAGAGGTTCAGGGTAGTTGGGTTTAGGGTTTAGGGTTTAGGGTTTGGGGTTTGGGGTTTGGGGTTTGGGGTTTGGGGTTTGGGGTTTGGGGTTTGGGGTTTGGAGTTTTTGGGTTTAGGGCCCAAAACCCAGTTATAAGCGTAGCTATAACCCACTGCCACTTACAAGCCCCTTCAGTACCCTGATAGGGTTATACTTGGGGGTTTTCTAAGTACAGCTAGCACTAAGTTCCTAAGTAAACTGACCCTCCAAGCAGAGACGAAAGCGAGGGGGTAGCCTAAAGCCTTGCTTAGGGCTTCTTAAGGGTGTTTAGGGTTTAGGGTTTAGGGTTGAACCCTAAACCCTAAACCCTAGACCTTGGACCCTAAACCCTATGCCCCAAGCCCTAAGCCCTAAGCCCTGAGCCCTAAGCCCTAAGCCCTAAACAGACAGTCCTGGAACTTGTTCCAGGTCAGCTGCTTGTTGCCATCGTAGTCGATGCTTTCCTGGGTCTGGTGGGCCACAGGACCTACAGGGTTTTGGGATTCTTTAGGGAGCCGCGGTTTAGGGTTTAGGGTTTAGGGTTTAGGGTTTAGGGTTTAGGGCGATAGCCCAAGTCGGGGATCCAGTGGCAGCGCGCTTTTTTAGACTTGCGAAGCTGTGGGTTGGACTCCAGGGCACTCCGAGACCCACATGGTACGGACGTAGATATGTGCAGTGTGCAAAAACCCAAGGACGCTGAACCCCAACCCCGTAAACCCTAAACCCTGTCCCTTTCTGAAACCCTAAACCCCAAACCCCTAACCCCTAAACCCTAAACCCTAAACCCTAAATTACCCTAAACCCTACATACACAGGCTGCGGGCGAGCAGCCAGGAGCGTCTGCGCCGACTCCTCCGTGTTCCTGAAACCCATGGCCTTAGATCGAGACCGGTTTGGGGGGTTCAAGTGTTTAGGGTTTAGGGCGTTTTCCATAGGCACTCGACCCGATGTGCTGCGCGCAGTCCGGGTGCTACTTCCCAATAAAGAGCCTGTGCGGTTCATTCACGGCTCCGACCACACATATGGTGCACTCCGAAAACCCCCGGATCGGGACCCTGAGCCAGGGGTTTAGGGTTTAGGGTTTAGGGTTTAGGGCCTAAACGTCATGGTGGGGACCTCCCCCAACATTGCAGTCAGCTGGCCCGCCAGTGGTCAGCGAGGTCCCCTAACATCACCTCCTTCAGGCTTTCTTGGGGGCTATGTAGAGGGTTTAGGGTTTAGGGTTTAGCCCTAACAAACCCTAAACCCTAAAACCCTAAAACCCTAAACCGCAGCTGAGATTTCTGTGGCAATATGGGCCTTATGTTGAGGGTACCCATCCTAAGCCCTACATCATCTGTGAACTACCCATACACATTGGGGGGGATAGGAGGCCTTAGAGGACTTCCGCATATGAGGTTTCCAAGATTAGGGTACCTTTGTTGGGGGTTCCGAGAATTCAGATCACAGCTTTTTTCTGAGCATATCAAGGGTGCGTTATTTGAAGAATCCGCAGATCGGTCTTGGGTTCCCCCTCAACTAATTAAGGAATATACCACAATTTATCCTAAGGATAAGAACTATGAACTCGGGTATATTCCTTCATTAAGGGGTTTGGAAGATCTGGGTTGTTGTATCTTGTGTTGGTAGTCTCTTGTGGGGTCTTGGGCTGGCGTTTGCCGCTTTGGCTTTCGCATGCGGTTCTTCAAGAAATAAAACAGGCGCAGCACTTCCTGCTCAAAGTCTTCCATGTAAAATAGGATCGCCTTAAACCCTGGGGAAATAATCTTGAATGATCCTCAACAACCCAGCAAGGGAACACATGAAGATTGTCCCAAGGGCCTACCGTTTTGGGAGGTGGCACGTGCCGTAGTTTGGGATGTTCCCCCTTATACGAACAGTCCTTCAAGGCAGTCTAATAGGGGATACTAGAATTCCTTTTAAGGACCGTCGTTAGTATAAGGGGGAACATTCCAAGCCCTAAACCCTAAACCCTAAACCCTAAACCCTAAACCCTAAACCCTAAACCCTAAACCCTAAACCCTAAACCCTAAACCCTAAACCCTAAACCCTAAACCCTAAACCCTAAACCCTAAACCCTAAACCCTAAACCCTAAACCCTAAACCCTAAACCCTAAACCCTAAACCCTAACCCCCCCGTCTCTGAGGCCGCCGTAGTCTCTCCTCGTTGTTGTTGATGTCGAGACTGCTGAAGATCTGCTCGATCTCCTGTCTCTGCTTCTGGCACCCCAAGAGTAGAGGGAGCCGTAGTTGGGACCCTAAACCCTAAACCCTAAACCCTAAACCCTAAACCCTAAACCCTAAACCCGAAGCCCTCTTTAGCTCGCAAGGCCTAGAACTTAAGGCATCGGATTCCTACAAAGTTCAAAGTCGTTGAGCAAGATTGTGCCAGAAGTGGTTACATTGAGAGTCTATGTAAAATTGCAAGCACGATCTTCGGCAGTATGTCGGCTGCAAACAGGGCCAAAGTCCCTCTCCCTGTGCTGCCACTGCTCTCGACTTATCTCGTTGTTGTTGCTCTCTTTCGTTCTTTCTGTCTTTCTTTCTTCTTTCATTCATTCATTCATTCTTTCTTTCTTTCTCTCGCTCTCGCTCTCTCTCTCTCTCTCTCTCGAGTTGCGATGACTGGGCCGCTACACTTCAAACCTTTCGTGCGGCTACTCTTCTTGTTGTTCTTGTCCCTTTTTTCTTCTTCTTCTTCTTCTTCTTCTTCTCCTCTTTCTTCTTAAGGGTTTAGGGCTTAGGGCTGAGGGTTTAGGTCTAGGAATACAAAGGCTGCCTCTTTTTGGCTTAAAGGAAAAAACTCAGGGACACCTAAACCGCAAAACAAAAAAAAACCAACAAACAGGGCGTAAGGGCCTACTCTGGGGTCCTAGCTCTTCAGCTTCTACCCCTCTTATACCTCCCTTCACAATGCCCTTTATACCCCCCCGGAAACCCTAAACCCTAACCCCTAACCCCTAAACCCTAAACCCTAACCCTAAACCCTAAACCCTAAACCCTAAACCCTAAACCCTAAACCCTAAACCCTAAACCCTAAACCCTAAGCCTAAACCCTTTACAACCCAGGGGCATGCTGCTCGCCGTAGGGCAGCGCGCGGAAGAGCCGCAGACCTGGCACAGGCAGCACCAGTGACGCCATGAAAACGGTACGCAGAACACAACTCCAACTCACCCTAACCACTAAACCCTAAACCCAAAACCCTGAACCCTAAACCCTAAACCCTAAACCCTGAACCCCAAAACCCGAAGTCCCTCAACCTCAGACTTCCTCGGCCCAAACCACCTTGTGTCCTTGGACTCTCGGGGGGGACTTCGGCTTTGTTAGACGTCCGCACCCCAAAAGCAGGGTTTAGGGTTTAGGGTTTAGGGTTTAGGGTTTAGGGTTTAGGGTTTAGGGTTTAGGGTTTAGGACTCGCCGCCCCTTCGCGAAGATCGCCGCGCATCGACCTGGACCCTAAGCCCTAACCCCGCAAACCATAAACCCTTGAATCCTTAAACCCCAAACCCTAAAGCCTAAACCCTGAACCCCTCATCCTAAACCCTACGCCCTAACCCTTAAACCCTTCGCAACAAAAACAGGGTCCCTAAATCCTAAGACCATATGAAAATCCTTTCCCACAAGCCCTATTACAACCCAAACCCTAAACCCTAAACCCTTGAACACTGAATCCTGAAACCCTGAATCCTAAACCCTAAACCCTGAATGCCCTGAACCCTGAAAGCCCTAAACCCTAAACCCTGAAGCCTCCTGGCTGGTAGCCCTAAACCCTAAACCCTAAACCCTAAACCCTAAACCCTAAACCCTAAACCCTAAACCCTAAACCCTAAACCCTAAACCCTAAACCCAAGGCCTTTGGTCCAGTTTTCCCGGATCCTGGTCTTGGAGTTCCAGCCTGGAGAGGCTTAGGGAGTAGGGTGCGCAAGGTGTTTAGGGCTAGGGTTTAGGGTTTAGGGTTGAGGGTTTAGGGTTTAGGGTCTAGGGGCTTCAAGGGAGTCATACTCGGACTTGTAAGGATGTCCTCAGAGGCTTCACACCCTTTATCTACTTCGGGGTTTAGGGTTTAGGGTTTAGGGTTTAGGGTTTAGGGTTTAGGGTTTAGAGGATCTTTAAAAAAGGGCCCCCAAAATCAAGGGAAAGCTTGAGGTCAAGTGGGTTATAGCCCAAGGTTCCTGATACTCCCCTGCTCCCTAGAGCTCCTGAAGGTTCCCTAAGGTTTCCTAGGTATCTAAACCCTTTTGACAAAGCCCTCCCTGAAGAACTCGAATTTAAGGTGTTCCTATAAGTTCCATACCCGGTCACAGATCGGTTTAGCGCGTTAGCGGCCGGAGCTTTTGAGAGATTGGGTCTTTGGGGGAGGCCTACCCTGAAATATAGGTTTCTGGTTCAGTCCTCGTTCTTCAGTTCGGCCAGGGGCTGTTATGGATCCTAAACCCTACGCCCTGACCCTAAACTCCAAACCTTGTGGGTTTTTTTCTTTAGGGGGGGGGGGGGGGTGGTGGGGGGGGGGGGGGGTGCTCTATACCCGAAGCCTCAAAGCACGAAGCCCTCAACCCAACCTTTAGAACCCCTAAATTGGTTGTTGGGGACCCCCTTCCGGGATTGTAAGGTACCTGCAATGGAGTAGGAATTGGTGTGTTTTCAACCCCCAAGCCCTAAACCCTAAACCCCAAAACCCTAAACCCTAAACCCGAAACCCGAAACCCTCACCATCAACCATTAACCGTAAACCCTAAACTCTCAGACACTACTCAAGTGCATGGAGGGCTCTCTAGAGACCAAGGGACTAAATGAGGGACCCGTTAAAAGGGACCTCAGGGGTTATTTTGGGGCTACTTAGGTACATAGAAACCCTTACAAGGTATATATATATATATATACGGGTTATATATGGGATGTATAGGGAGGATAAGATTATGGGTCATGCAGTAGGAGTGTTGTACTCCATATTTGTGAGTCTTGACACTTTCAATTCTTCTAACAGACCAATAAACGAGCTGTAGATTAAGGGTCCTTTCTAAGGGGGTCCCTCCATATAAATAAATAAATAAATATATATATATATATATAAACAAATAAATAAATAAATACAATTATTATATATGTATATATACAGGGGTTATATATGGGATATATAGGGGAATAAATCAGGGGGTCCCTCCTTATGCCCCTTAAGGTAAGGTTCGCAAACCAGCTGCGGCCAAAGAAGCGTGTGATAAGGTTCACCTTGCGCACGGCCCGGTGCATAGCCGCGCCTCTCCGCTTAGGGTTCAGGGTTTAGGGTTTAGGGTTCAGGGTTCAGGGGTTCTGGGTTTAGGGCGTGGGGTTCGGGATTTGGCCCAGAGGCCCTTTACGGTTTGAGGACAAGCCTTTTTTGTGGTCCCTCGTTGGGCCACCATGTTCTGTGCATTCATCAAGGTGCTACCATGATGTGTCTTCGCAAGACAGCTATCGACTCGTCCTTTGTTACACGCAACTCGCACCTAGGCCGGCAAGGAAGATTGCTATTTAAGGACCGTTGACCGTTCGTTATGGTTACGGCCGGCATTTGTGTGAGATTGTGTGAGGTGTATGCTGCCTGCTAGTCCAAAAACAAATCTGACATCTAGGCATCTGCAACGGCACTTGTGCATGTGCTTGCACGGTCGCTGGATTCCCAAACTCTAACCCTCCGGCCCTACGGACTCCTTTTATGTGTTTTTGGGCCCAAGGGCCTGGATCAACCCCGAACCCTAAACCCCGAAGTTACACAAGTTGTAAGTCTGTTTAGACTTTCTGGGCACGTTTCGGCGCATTGGCCTACGTAGCCGCTTTTATGTGTGAAAACTATTCTCGGGGCCTAAGTAGGGTTTAGGGTTGAGGGGCCTGAATACGTAGAATAGGGTTTTGGGGGGCCATTATAGCACATTATAAAGGGGCCTTCAGGGAATACGATCAGTAATCATTCCGCCCCCTATATTCCCCCAAGACCATAAACCTGCACAAAGGAGCACCTTTAAGGCACGACTTCTCCCCCTTTTCTTCATTGACAGTCATTTCTGGAATGGGTCCCTGCAATGTGGCCTGAGTGCACTGATAACAGCGGCTTAGGGTTTAGGATTTGGGGTTTAGGGTGTAACCCTATGAGATGAATCACCTATGTACCCTGAAGTCCGTTTCGGGAGGCGTTAGGGGGGGGCTACCGTGGATGGTGGCGAAGGATGGACCCAAATTGGGTTTAGGGGTTCGGGTTTTAGAGTTAGAGTACTAACCGCCGCCCCGATCCCCCTCCCCCCCCCCCTCGAAAGTAAAAATTTGGTCCGGACGGACAATGTATTTGACATAAAAACGAGGCGTCGATGGCAGGTTACACTACTTGCTTAAGAACACCCGAAATATGAAGATAATAGTTCCTTTGTTGTCCCTTCCATTTTGTTGGATGAAGATACAGTAGATATACATTGGCATTCTCCCCCTTTTACCAACAGTCCTTGAGAAGGATTATCGTACCCCGAAGATAATGCCTGTTCTGGACTGTTCGTATAAGGGCGAACATCCGAGTTAGAGCCGTAAGAGTACTGTACCCTGCACTCAAAACCCTAGACCCTCGCGGGCCCAAAGAGCCCAATATTGCTTGTAGGAATATTCCTTAATCATGCAATATTTGGGCTCTTTGGGGGTCTAGTTGCAACGATTCTCGGAGGCATCTGGCTCCTCGAAAAATAGATGAGACGTCCGACGAGCAAAACTGTAGACTCCAAAGCCCAGGAAAAACCCCAACCCCAACTCAACCTTAAACAAGCTAGTACTTCTTGGGTCGCCTTTAGACTTGAATTTTGTACAGCCAGTATAGTCATGCAAGGTTTAGGGCCCAAAGAAATCAATCAAGCATTTAAAAACACTACCAAAAAGTAGATCCAAATACCCGAAGAAGCCCATCGCGCGCCTTGTTTCGGCGGGGAAGTGTCGCCCGGCCTACGGGGGGGGGGGGGGGGGGGCAAGGAGGGGGTGGGGGGGGGGGGGGGGACCCGAAACCCTAAACCCTAAACCCCTCAACCCTAACCCTAAACCCTAAACCCAAAGGAGGGTTTGGGTGTTTGGGGCTTAAGGTTTGGGGCTCTCCTTGACGGCTGATTGCACCTCCCAAGTATGGCCACAGAGGGCTTTTACTGGTTCTAGTCTGCGCTGTCCTGGCCGAATCCCTAGACCCATACCTACTATTTACATAAGAACCCAGAGGAAACAATCCTTATAAGGGCCAGATAGGGATGATTATGTTTTAAATTTGTGGGGCTCTTCAGCATAGCAGATACTACTCTGATAGCTGTTATCAGCCGCGACATTTTTTGGGACCACTAAACGTTCATATGCACAAGGGGCCATCTAAAGAGACCTTTGCAAGATGCCGTAAGAACCTACAACCCTCAAAACACTGTAAGCCGTAAACGCCCAAAAAGCCTCAAAAACCCAAGAGTAGCCTGGGAGTTAAAAGCGTGCCCTTTTTGGGTTTATACAGGGGCTTCTAGGGGAACCTAAGCCCAAAAACAAGTGAATATGGGCCCACTCTGGCTCCTAGACAACCTTTAAACAACACAGAAACCACAAAAAAAACAAAAACAAAAGAAGTGCTAACGAGCCTCGGTGAGGACGGCGGCACCTGCATGCCTTGACTTCTCGCCCCAGCAGCAGCTTGAGATATTTGGGTGGCTGCCAAAATATATATATGTATATATATATATATATATATAGTCCCTTTTGGGGGTACCTTGAATATTAGGTGCCGTAGTATACTAAGCGATCCAGAAAGGGACCATAACTCTGACCACCACCCATTTGGGTGTAGGATCTACCGGGCTTGGGGTTTAGGGTTTAGGGTTTAGGGTTTAGGGCTAGTAGAGTTTGCGGTTTGGCGCTTCGGGTTTAGAAATCCGGGCGAGGCTTAAAAAGCCTAAAGGCCAAAGCCTCAAGCCTAAACCCTAAACCCTTTTACGGCAGGCCTCGGGAAGTGGCAGCCTGGTCCCAGCTCCCAGCACAGGCACTGCTTAAACCCTAAACCCTAAACCCTACACCCTACACCCTTTTTGCTTCAGGGCTCCTGTGGTAGCTTGCCTGTGAGCGAGGTTGTTCAGGTGACATCATGCGAGCCGGATGACTTCGTCAACGACCCTGTCCTGAACCTCTTCAAACACCAGTATCTGGGATTGTTGCCAGAAGAAGCTCTTCACGTGGGACATTTGGTGTATACAAGTATACACCCTACACCCTACACCCTAAACCCTAAACCCTAAACCCCAAACCCAATCAGTTCCAGCAGTCCGCACCCTTGCCCCACAAGCCGAGGTCATGAGAACCCCAAACAGTTTAACGTTCAACTGTTTAGGGTTTAGGGTTTAGGGTTTAGGATTTAGGGTGTTCCCCCTTATACTCACAGCCCTGAAGAGTGATTAAAGTAGGGGGGGGAGGGGGGGGAGGGGGAGCCCTAAACCCTAAACCCTAAACCCTACTAAGGACTGCGAGTATAGGGGGGAACATCCCAAGTTCAACACGTGGCGAAGTAAAGAACGAAAGCCCTTCAAAACCTGACAGCCGGTTTAGGGTTTAGGGTTTAGGGTTTAGGACATAGAAAAGCAAAGCTCGAACAAAGCCTGTAGTGTCTAAACCCTGGAGCCTGCAGACCCTAAACTCTACATACCCTCGATATCCTGTAAACCCTATACCCCCTTATATATCAAATATGCCCATATACCGTAAAAAGCCCTATCAACCCTATAAACCCTTGAAACCCTACAAACCCTCTCCAACCCTATATCTGGGGTTCCTCCTTGTATCCCCAAACCCTAAACCCTAAACCCTAAACCCTAAACCCTAAACCCCAAGTAGGGGTCCCTCCTTATCCCCCACAACTCCAAACCCCACAAAAGCGCAATAAACGTTGTGAGCAAGAAGCTTTCCACTGCCGGCGCGGAAGCGCCATGCGGTAGCAGCTGGGCCTCCAAAAAGGGGGTTTAGGTTTTAGGGTTTTAGGGTTTAGGGTTTAGGGTTTAGGGTGTTGATGGGGTCTATGGGTTTTAGGGTTTGAGGGTTTGGGGGTTGAGGGAACCCTAAACCCCAAACTACAGGGTCTGTAGGGCGCGTAGGGTCTGTAGGTTTTAGGGTTTAGGGTTTAGGGTCTCCTTTGCTATACTGGGGCGTGCAAGGCTGGGAGTTCCGATTTCCAGCATGTTTGGGTTTAGGGTTTAGGGTTTAGGGTTTAGGGTTTAGGGTTTAGGGTTTAGGGTTTAGGGTTTAGGGTTTAGGTTAGGGTTGGAGGAATCTTAGCTCACCCAAGCCTGGATGCAAAAAAGGCATTTGGGGGATATAAAGAGGGGCCCTAGAAGGGGCCCTTAATCTGATTAACTTAGATAACCCTTGTGTAGACCTTATATAGTCCCTATAAACCTCCCTAAACCCTAAACCCTAAACCCTAAACCCTAAACCCTAAACCCTAAACCCTAAACCCTAAGTAGCCCCTAGATAACCCCAAAGAACCACGAAGGCCCCTTATAAGGAGGGACCCCTACTTGGAGGTTCAGGGGTACTTAGTAACCCAATTATAACTCATAGCCCAGTTATAACCCTAAACCCTAAACCCTAAACCCTAAACCCTAAACCCTAAACCCTATTAGGGTACTTCAGGGGCTTATAGGTAGGTTAGAACTACACTTTTGATTGGTTACTCAGTACCCTGAACCTCCAAGTAGAAGGGACCCTTAATCTTATTCCTCTACCCACATTGCCAGGAGGACCCTAAACCCTAAACCCTAAACCCTAAACCCTACACCCTAAACCCTAAACCCTAAACCCTAAACCCTAAGTAGCCCCTAGATAACCCCAAAGAACCACGAAGGCCCCTTATAAGGAGGGACCCCTACTTGGAGGTTCAGGGGTACTTAGTAACCCAATTATAACTCATAGCCCAGTTATAACCCTAAACCCTAAACCCTAAACCCTAAACCCTAAACCCTAAACCCTAAACCCTATTAGGGTACTTCAGGGGCTTATAGGTAGGTTAGAACTACACTTTTGATTGGTTACTCAGTACCCTGAACCTCCAAGTAGAAGGGACCCTTAATCTTATTCCCCTACCCACATTGCCAGGAGGACCCTAAACTTTAAACCCTAAACCCTAAACCCTAAACCCTAAACCCTAAACCCTAAACCCTAAACCCTAAACCCTAAACCCTAAACCCTAAACCCTAAACCCTGACCTAAACCATCCCTTTTAGGGCTCCCAAGGATGACCTAATAGTAGTACAGGGTACTCCATTAGAGGTCGACTGTTGGGATCCTCCACAGGGTCGGGATATACAGCCCTAGGGCTTAGGGCTTAGGGCTTAGGGCTTAGGGTTTAGGGTTTAGGGTTTAGGGTTTAGGCCCACAGCGCCACGCTTCAAGAGTAGCCTCCCTTAGAAGGGTCCCTTTCGTCCGTTGGTGAATGAGAGTTGGTGGGGTTTTAAGGGCCTTAGAGCCTTAGGGGCTGTTTGGGTGATCAGGGATTTGGGCCGGCATGGGGTAGGGGCCTTGTCCATAAAATCCTTTGTCGTGTGTCTCTCGCTTGGTGATTCTTCACGTTCCTTGCACATCCTAAATCCTGAAATCAAAAGCACTAAGCTGTACCATACTAGGGGTGCGATCAAAGTGATCAATCATGTTTATTCCTTCTTGGGCGTATGTATTCTTGCAGATGTAAAATCGCTTTAAACTTCCTTGCTTGCGCCTGGGAAAAAGCTTTGCTAATACATAATCACGAAGAATGTGAGCCATTGTACTCCCTCTATGACCTTTTTCTAAACTACTGAGTACCCATTCTCATTGAATAGGCCCCTACACCCTAACCCTAACCCAGCCCTAAACCCTAAACCCTAAACTCCAAATAGGCCCCTACATCAATTGGACAGGGTGGAGGGTTTCCTTCAATGTCCAGTCAAGGTTGTGCCCTCCCACATTTGCATAACAGGGTAAGGGTTTAGGGTTTAGGGTTTGGGGTTTAGGGTTTAGGGTTTAGAGTTGAGGGTTGAGGGTTTGGGGTTTAGGGCTCAGGGAACATCGCTACGCCTGCATAACTACATCCTTGTCGTCGTCATCATCCCCCAGCGTCGCTGCAGTCGCCTGGGCGGCTCGGACCAACATCTACATGCAAACCCTACAAACCCTAAACCCTAAACCCTAAACAAACCCTAAACCCTAAACCACCTCAGGCCCAACTCGTCGACTTTACACGCTAGAACCGCTCCTGCAAGGTGGCATTGTTTAGGGTTCAGGGTTTGCTGAGTTGTTCTCTCAGCCCTTTGAAAACTATTCATGAATAGGTTCCCTTATGAGGAAAGAAGGGAAAGCAACAAAATCCCAAAGCACAACCCAGTTTAGGGTTTAGAGGTGTTCCCTAAGCCCTGAACCCCCATTGAGCACCTATGTGCCGATATTCTTCCCCCCCCCCCCCGGCAAACCTTCAGGATTCGAAGCCCTTGCTACCAAGCGGCCGCGTGAATGAGGCGGCTGGCGTTGTGTACTTGGTGCCTTTGACGACAACATGAAGCTTCGGTACGCCCTGAGGTTTATCAGGTCTACAGCACATAACGCAAAAGTTTCACAAAGCATATAAGATCCCTGTACCTAGAAATAAAAAATAATAACCCCAGGGGTCATCTGGGCATTCTGATTCATAAGGTCCAACTTTTTTAGCCCGAGCAGGCGTCGCCGTCGAAGGAAGCTCCCCCTAAACCCTAAACCCCTGATTTTCGGAATCTCCCCGTAAAGCTCGAAAAAGTCTCTAAACTCTAAATCTACAGCGCGCTGTCAGCCCCCAGAGGCCTGTTCCGCGAGAGAGAAGCTGCCAGTTGCGGAAAAAAATGCACCTCCAAACCCTAAACCCTAAACCTAAACCTAAACCCTAAACCCTAAACCTCCTTGCACGCCAGGGTGCGGGTTGACCCGATGCCGCTCGACGAGCTGCTGCCTCGGCAAACATACTCACAGCTCTCACAGTGACTCAATATGGCCCCTAGAAGGGGTTTAGGGTTTAGGGTCTAGGGCCGGTTTAGAGTTGAGGGTTTAGGGAACCAAAATCAACATCGAAGCCCCCCGTGAGTCGGGTAGGGCTTCGGAAAGCGTCTTCCTCGGGCGTTCGGATAGGGCAAAATCCCGAGTCTAGGGTTTAGGGTTTAGGGAGCTCCAGATTGGAAGCTTCAATTTTGTGGCCCGATCAACCCGAAACCCTAAACAACAAGACCTAAACCCTACCTTTGAAGAACCAAGAAAGCAACCCTTGTGGCAGGCGACCGGTTTCCTCAGCATCCTTTGTACCATTACCTACCAAGGGGAACCACCCAAAAAATGAAGAGTGGTCCCTATCTTGCCCTTATAAGGAAGAATATCTCTATTTGCTGAGGGGTTCTTAAGCAACAAACCCTACACGCTAAACCCTATAGACCCTAAACTCTATTAGGGAAGTACCAGGTAAACCACTGGTCAACCCTTGAGCCGAGTTGGGGGGAAACAACGCGAACCCAACTTCTTAGAATTAAGACTCGTGCCTTTAAGGTTGTACCCCTAAGAGGGTTCCGATAAGATACTCCGAACATGGCCTCATATTTTCTTAGGAACCTTTAAAAAGGGTCCCCAAACCTATACGCTAAACCCTAAACCTCAAACTGGGCAAACGGGCTTCTTCAGGCGTTTCTCATAGCCCATGAGCTGCGCTAAGCGGATGTGGTACCTGGCGTCGGTATTCATTCATATTTGAAAAACTACGAATTGCTTCAGAACCCCCCCCCCCCCCAAACAAAGAAAAAACAAATGACTTCTTCCTTACAAGGGCAACGCTGGGATTCTCATCTGCTATTTTTGTGGGCTCTTCAGCAAATAGTAAGAAGATTGGGGAAAGAGGTAGCTTAATAACCCACCACATAACCCTTAAAGGGATTGTCTACCAAGAACCAGAAAGAGCTCTAGATTCATTAGGAATTAAGTCCGTATACTAGTGCCAGTCGTACACACACGCGATTCACGGCGTCCACTTTCGTCAATACAGTGCCAGAACTACGCGCACGGACACGCAGACAAGCATAGACACGTAGACAGACGCCTACAATGGTGGGGTGCTGTGCCAACCTCACTCACAACAAGGGAAACAACTTCCTCCTCCCCTTATGGGCATTTGTTCTGATTCTATTCGCAAACAATTCTTGGCAGCACTTAGCAGGGTAGCTGTAAATTTAATTTTTAGCGGCCTTATTTAGAAACCCAATAAACCCAAAAAGGCTAAGGATCTAAAGTTACAGTAAAGCACCACAGAGAATTGTTCTACAGCAAGATAACGTGCGCAGACCACAAACAAGCCCTTCCGCCAAGGTGCCCTGCACACTTACGCACCCTTTTTGCTCCAACTAGCTGGTGACAGGGTCCGGCCAGTTCTCAATCGAATACCCCAGCTTCTCTTGCATGTCCTTGAGAAACTGCAACATTTTCGGATCCAGCTGCAACAAAGATTCCTGCGCTTCCTGCATGCACGCCTTGTCGTTGGAGTGGTCGCTACCAGCGATGGCATTGGCGTAGTTCTTAACTTCTCCAATAGCCAAGAGAAAAAAGGTTAAGCTTTCATATTCCTACTAAAAAAGGAAACCCACAAAGTTTAAAGTTTAGGGTTTAGGGTTTATGAACCCTAAACCCTAAACCCTAAACCCTAAACCCTAAACCCTAAACCCTAAACCCTAAACCCTAAAGGCGAAGTCAGAGTCAGGGTCGGCGTGCAAGTCCTCCACCTTGGCGGCCTGCCACAGCCGAGACAGGTCCGATTCTGGGACGGCGTCTGCGAAGAGGAAGTGAAACCTGTACTGAACTTAGCAAAAAAATCCAACTTTTGCTGCTTCTGAGGAATTCTAGTACCCCAAAAAATTAAAACATATTCCCAAGTATCCCAAAAGGAAACAGTCTCTGAACCACGTCGTCAAAGGCTTCGGACGACTTGGTGATCTCCTCGAAGCGCACGTGGAACATCTCATCGGCCCTGGTGTTCGTGTAGACGTCCACCATGTCTTGAACACCGGCAGACATCGTTGGCCAGAGTGCCAGAAAACCTTCCAGGGGCCCCATCGACATTACCTCGGCCGTGGGGTAGGGTGAGAGCGGTAAGGACAACTCCTCGCCACGGTGGTGATAGCAGTAGGCGGAGATGAGCATGTCCTTAGGCTTGCGAATGGCATGGACTCCCCGGATGGGGAGCTGCTGTAGCGCTGCCGCGCTCTTCGCAGCGGCAAAATGCTGGACTTTGGCCCAGTCGTCCAATTGTATGGGAATGTCCAGCCGGTCGCCGCAATAGGCGTCGTGATCTGCGGAGGTAACGAAATTTATACAAAACACAACAGTCGCGAGGCCAGTGGCAGGAGGGGAGCATTGAGGCCATCAAAGGCGTGTCTCATCAGATCCCGCAGAAGCAGGCTGCCTGACTTGTGGTTCACACCCACGAAGAAGTACCTTAGTTGCTGAGTTCATAAGCCCCAAAAAAGTTTACACTTTCGGCTCTATGGGGAATCATAGTATCCCAAGAAGTGTAAAGTGTACTTATTCAGCTACCAAGGTACTGCTGTTCCCACGGCTTTGGGCTTTGCTTGAAAGAGGCCGCTTTGTCTCGGCTAGAGGCCCGCGACTGCACCAGGGACATGGGAGCGTCACGACAGCTGTCTCCAATACTGCAGTTTCACCCGGCTGTGAGAAAGCAGCAGAGATGCCCAGAACGAGCGCCGCAAAAATGATGCGAAGCATGGCCTGTATAAATCCATCTGACACTCCTGGTCAAACAGAAAGCGAGAGTTGGCGACAGTGGGCTTTCTGCCACCCTCTTGAGCTATTCAGAGGGTTGCAAAACAAGGATGGTCCAATTTCCACCCTCACAATGTCACAACGGAAGATATGCAACATGGTGGAGCCCACCAAAAGCCCCAGTGCATCGAAACAGAACTAACATGGAAAGACTGCTGAGAGGTCTGAGGGTTTCGGGTTTAGGGCCAAGGCCCTCAAAAATCCCGACAGCTGCTGTGGCACCGCAGGAGCATCGACTTTGTCTCCAATGAAACGGTGCGCACCTGGGGTGTGGAGGGTACTGGGGATTGGGGGCTTTGGGGTTTACTTGGACGTTCCGGTTTACTTGGAGGTTCCGTACTTACACGTAGGGTTATTATGAGTAGGGCAACTATGATTGTAACGCTACTTACAATGAACCTCCAAGCAGGGTTTAGGGTTTCACCTCAAGAGCCCGCTGGAGCCTACTTTTTTCTGTAATGTAGCGGAGCTGTGGCCCTGGCTATATGGAATTACCCCCAAGACCGCCCACTTACAACTCTCATGGAGTTGAGGCCTTCATGTTTCTTTACAAAGCAACATGTACTCTTGATGCAAGGTAGCTCAGACGACCTTAATATCTGAAGCCACCATGAGTTGCGCATGGGTCGCCTGGAGTACTTGGGAAGGAAAGAGGCCCCGACCAGCTGGTTGTCGGTCTCATCCCCAATGGAGCTTCGAATCGTCAGCCTGCGCCCACGAGAGCGACTGTTTGTGAGTTTTTTGTTTCTAATAACCCTAGACTACTATTTGCTTAAGAACCACCCACCCAAAAAATAAGTACATGTATATATATATATATATGTATACACAGATTCCTTATAAGGGCAATATGGGGATCAATATTCTATATTCTCTTGGGGTTCTTAAGCAAATAGTAGTAAACCCCTAAACCCTAGATCCGAAACCCGAATACTTGTTGGGCCGCGCCGGGTTCGAATGTTTTAGGGTTTAGGATAGAGTAACCGAAAAAACAAGTGGTAAGTTCCGACAGTCATGCTGCGAACGGCCCTTCGAGCCTGAACCCGTTTGGGGTTTAGGGTTTAGGGTTTAGGGTTTAGGGTTTAGGGTTTGGTCGCCCAAGAACTATATTTTATAAGGGCACCCCTCTTTTGGGGGGTTTGCTTACCTTGCTAGGGAACCTTTTAACCAACAAAAAGGAAAAGTGTGCCACTGGGCTAGCAAGCTAAGCAGCATTCGGTTTCGGGGTGCTGGATTTAGGGCTTAAGTGCCTAAACCCTAAACCCTAAACCCTAAACCCTAAACCCTAAACCCTAAACCCTAAACCCTAAACCCTAGCGTTTCTAGGGTTTAGGGTTCTTGTTTGGCCACCCGCCGTGTGCAGAGGTTTGGGGTCCTTCCCAGCCCTCCGGAAGCCTGCCATGCACGGTTCAGGGTTTAGGGTTCAGGGTGAGGGTTTAGGGTTTGGGGTTTGAGGTTTAGGGTTTAGGGGTGTAAAGTTTAGGGTTTAGGGTTTAGGGTTTAGGGTTTCGGGTTCAGGGTTTAGGGTTTAGGGTTTAGGGTTTAGGGTTTAGGGTTTAGGGTTTAGGGACGCTCGGCGGGCCTCTCGAGCAGAACGGGCATGACCCCGAAGAGCATCAGGGGCCACTCTGCCCAGGCCATCGAATACAACACCTCATCTCATTGCCAAGGGTAACCCTAAACCCTAAACCCTAAACCCTAAACCCTAAACCCTAAACCCTAAACCCTAAACCCTAAACCCTAAACCCTAAACCCTAAACCCTAAACCCTAAACCCTAAACCCTAAACCCTAAACCCTACGCTGGATAACAGCTTTGTTGCGGGAGGAGGGGGCAAGGGCAGTGCTCAAACCAGGACACTGAAAGGGTCACAGCCCCAACGAGGCAGGTTTAGCTTCAACACAGAACACCCTGGTTCCCTACCCAGAAACTCCAACACCTGCTAGTTTAGGAAATATTCCTTAAACCACATAAGGAACCCTCGTATACTTTAAGGAACTTTCCTTAACTAAGGAGTGTTGGAGTCTCTTACGAACCGAGAATCCAGAGGGCGACTGAACCCAAAAGCTTGCAGCGCTTTTGTTTGCCTCCTCTCCCCCCCCGCCTAAACCCTCTAACCCACGCAAGCCCAAACCCTAACCCACACAAGCCCAAGTCCTAAACCCTATAGACCCTACACCCTAAGCCACACAAGCGAAGCTCCACGACTGTAGGGTGTGGGGTCTCAACACACACCCCGAACCTCTTGCAACAGCACCCCAGGTCTCAGGCGTCTGCCACCCCAAGCCTCCCATTTGTGCGGAGGCGCGATTTCCGACCAGGAGGTGAGGGGGACGCTCAGGTAGAAGAGGACCAGGCACCTCCGGGTGTATACATAGGGTTTAGGGTTTAGAGTTTAGGGCTTAGGTTAGGTCAGTTACGGGTGGGTGCTTTTACTGTTTTCGGCTTGAGGGTTGAGGCGGAAAGGTCCGCTACAGGTGGTTAGCTACGGCTTACTTATGGGGAAGCTACCCATCTGAAACTGGCCCACAGTTAGAGCCTTGTGGGTTTAGGGCCCATATAAGGCTTACATTCCCCTCTTTGCTTTTTGTGTACGTGACATCAGAAATCAACGCGTGCACATAGACAACATACATGTTCTCACAAATCACGTGCTCCTTACTATTTTAAAAATGTACACATATATATATATATACACATACATACAAAAATATGCACAATCAAACTAATAATCATGAAATGGGAAGAAGAATAGGCCCTACTCACAGCAACAAGTGATAACAACAAATCATAGAGAGCAATAGTAAAAAAAACACAATAGACTGCATTTAGGTATTCAGGGTTTAGGTTTAGGGGTTAGGGTTTGGGATTTTCTTTGCTGCATGCTCTCGTGAGGTTACGAAAGGCTATAGGGTGAACCGCAGGCGGGTTTAAAAAACTTACCATTGCCTCCCTTTTAGGGTGTTTGGAGGCTTAGAGTAAAGGGTTTAAGGTTTAGCGGGCTTAGGGTTTAGGGCTTAGGGTGTGCAGGTCGTATTCGCTCGCTAGGGTGTAAAACACCCCGAGCCGCTCGCTCCAGCTCAGCTAAGTGACCCTAGATCCACCCAGACTCGACTCTTTTAGGGTTTAGGGTTTCTACCCCCAACCCCCTTTCAAGGGGGCTCATATTTTGTTCCATATTTATTGGGGAGGCTCCCTAACCTTTGTATTCCCAGCTTATTTCGATTGGTTTTCGCATCCGGGTTCGGGCCTCGTTCACGAAGGGATGCCTCTTACGGGGTGGAAGAGCATGCCTCCTAGGAATAAACACGCATTGTTTATTATGGTGGGGACGTTAGCCCTGGTGGGGATGCCTTGCTAAAGATGCTTTGGCATCATTTTTTATCAGATTTCAGGGATGAACCAGCCCTCGCTAAGTTTAGGGTTTAGGGTTTAAGGCGATCACACACAACCCCCCAACTCCACCTGTACTTCATGAGAAGCCACGGAAGCCCCGAGTGGCCGAAGCCCCAAAGGCCCAACTAGATATGCAACCTGAAGACTCCAAACCTTAAACCCTAAACCCTAAACCCTAAACCTCAAACCCCAAACCCTAAACCCTAAGCCTCCCAGAAAAGGAAGATCAACTGGGCCCCTAAAGTTTTCGAAGGTAAAGGGTAGCACTGGCACATGGGCTTTCCAGTGCCGCACACCCTCAACCCCAAACCCTTAACCGAATGGGGCCCCTCTAGGCTCCAAAGCTGTTCCTATTCTAATTCCGATTTCCAAAGCCCCGTCTCCAGTTCCGCTCAACCCCTGCAATCCGAAACCTGCGACACTCTGCTTAGGGTTTTGGGGTTTAGGGTCTAGGGTTAAACCCTAGACCCTAAACCCTAAACCCTAAACCCTAAACCCTAAAGACGAAGTTGGCCGAGGCGCGTGACCAAAATGGCCTGCCACGGTGTGGCTGGACTCTCTTGCACAGGTGGTCAATATGGGGGTTTAGGGTTTTGGGTTTTGGGTTCCCCAAATATACCCCCAAAATACTAGAACCCTCTTGCAAGAGCCCCAAAAAGGGTACCCCCTATTTTCGGTTTTCGGAAAACCCCCATTTTTGTGCATGAAGTGAACACCCCCCCCCCCCCCACCGCTCGGGGTTCGTAAATTTCGCACAGCACGCACCTGTTGAAACCATCCTCCCTGCACGGGGTTTTGGGTGCCAAAAAGAAAACGGCCTGGCACATGCATCTTTGCTGATTCTCTCAGTCAACGGACATGTGCTTTGAGGTTCAGGGTACATAGTAACCAATTATAAGTGCAATTATAACTCACTTAGAAGCCCCCTGAAGTACCCTAATAAGGCTATAACTTGGTATTAAGTACCGCTGTAACTGGGTTACTAAGTACCCTGAACCTGCAACTAGCTCCTATAAGCATACTGGTTCTTAGCACAGCATGAGGTACCTTGTATCCACCTCGATAGAAACCCTTGCAAGGGTATTCCAGAGGGTACCTATTGCCATCTAAACCCTATAAACGCTAAACCCTGAACAATAGACCCTAAACCCTCTCAACCCTCTCTCTCAACCCTCTCAACCCTCTAAACCCTATAAACCCTAAACAGCAAACCCTATAAACCCTAAACAATAAACCCTACACCCTAAACGTACCGCCCAATCCCAAAACCCTCAATCCTTGGAGGCGATAGAGGTGGAAGTTATCAGCTTGGTTTAGGGTTTAGGGTTGAGGATTTAGGGTTTAGGGTTTAGGATTTAGGAGGAAAGGTTTGCAACTCATGCAACTCAAGGCTATGAGATGCGACCGAACACGACTAGGCAATCTACAGAGGGCTCAACCCTTGGCAAGTCAACCACAGAAGCCTTGCACTGCACCCGGAAACCCGACACCCGAAACCTTCCATTGAGCATGGGACCCCTAGGGACCTAAACAGCACCCTACTTGCGGCGCTTCGGTTTGGCGGGTGGCAAGAACTAGGCCCAAGAGAAAGGAATAAAAAGTGCCCTTTTTGGATTTAAAGGTTGCTTTTTAGCAAACCGAGCCCTAAAACAAGGAACAAGGGCCTGCTCTAGGACCTAGCCTAAACCCTTTGAGCAACGGACTTGAAACCCTAAACCCTAAACCCTAAACCCTAAACCCTAAACCCTACTTACAGGAGCTGGCGGGCGCCGCAGAGCCTGCCAGAAGGCCAGCAGCTCGAAGATGAAAGCATAGTGCTCCTGCTCTCTCGGAACGTGAGCCCCAAACCCTAAACCCTAAACCCTAAACCCTAAACCCTAAACCCTAAACCCTAGCCCTAAACCCTAAATCCGAAACCCTAGACCCTGAACCTCCTCGATACCCACTTTGCCTGCGTTCAGGGTTTACTACTATTTGAAAGAGACCCCCCATGTTGCCCTTATAAGGAAGAATATTCTATGTTTTTGGATGGTTCTTAACTGGCAAGCAAATAGTTGGTTGTGTCTTAGAATAAGAACCCACCGGCACAAAAAGAAACTACAATTGCGTTTTAGGATGGTTTGGGTATCGCCCGAACCATACCCTTTAACTACTATTTGCTGAAGAATCCCCAAAACAGTCAAAGATAGCAATCCCTATAGTACCCTTATGAGGAAGAATATCGCTCTTTCTTCTTCTTGGGGGGGAGTTCTTAAGCAAGCAGTAGCCCTAAACCCTGAACCCTAAAACCCTAAAACCCTAATACCCTAAAACCCTAAAACCCTAAAACCCTAAACCCTAAAACCCAAACCCTAAAACCCTAAAACCCTAAAACCCTGAAACCCTAAAACCCTAAACCCTAAAACCCTAAAACCCTAAACCCTATGCTCTAGTTAAGTCTTTGAATCTGACCTAAGGGATGAAGCTGAGGTCCATCCTGGGGCTGTTCATTTCACGCGCACACCCGTCGCACAGACCTCGCACCCCAAACCCCAAAACCCCAAACCCCAAACCCTAAACCCTCAGCCCGAAGCCCTAAGCCCTAAGCCCCAAACCCCAAGCCCGAAGCCCTAAGCCCTAAGCCCTCCACCCTCACCCTAAACCCTAAACCCTAAACCCTGAACCCTAAACCCTGAACCCTAAACCCTAAACCAACAATGGTCCGTCTTCATGCTCGCGCGCTGGAAACTCGATGCCGGTGCCTTTCGGGGAAAGCAGATCTGAAACAAGACCCGCAGAGAAGGGTTTAGGGTTTAGGGTTTAGGGTTTAGGGTTTAGGGTTTAGGGTTTAGGCCCTTCTGTTAGGGTTCTGGGTTCTGGGTTTAGGGTTTAGGGTTTAGGCCCTTCTGTTAGGGTTTAGGGTTTAGGGTTTCGGGTTTGGGGTTTAATCGCTCACACTCGGACAAGCCAGGCGAGGCATACAGGTTCCAAAGTCTCGACAACGGCTCTGTAGCTCATTTGGGTTTAGGGTTTAGGGTTTCGGGTTTGGGGTTTAGGGTTAAGGGGCGGCTGTACGTCTCAATCACCTGGCCTTGCAACGCGGCGGATGTTTGTTTGTTGAAGCCCTGGCGTCTCAGGAGTGAGGATGCCGAAGCCTATAGGTTTCAACAGAAGAGAATCGGGGGGGGGCGGGGGGAGGGGGAGGGGGGGTTAGTTTTTTTTTAGGGTTTAGGGTTTAGGGTTTAGTGCTTAGGGTTTAGGGTTTCCCCACCAAAGTTTCGGGAAACTGTGTCAGACCCAACAGTAGCTCAGCCTTGCCAAGCTCCACATTGTCGATGTCTACATCACCTCCGGCCATGCGTTCTTGTTGCGGGGGAAGGCCCAGGTATCCACTTAAACCCAGAAGCCCTACAGCTCTTGAACCAGGAGTCCCCGAACCCCTAAACCGTAAACCCTAAACCCTAAACCCTGAACCCTAAACCAAACCCTAAACCCTAAACCCAGAAGTAGATTGTGATCAGTTTGGGGCCGAATTGTCGGGTTCGTGGGACTTTGAAGCTCTCTGCGCTAGAGACTTGAGGCTGCAATCCTACTTAACATCTCCCTATCTGGCCTTAAGGATGCATTCCCTGTACGGGGTTTAGGAATTAGGTTTTAGGGCTTAAGCCCTAAGCCGTACGTCCCTAATTTGCACGAACCTTCGAGTAGAGGTGTCGGTAGAAGGTGAATTAAACCCTAAACCCTACACCCTACACCCTAAACCCTAAACCCTCTTGTGGTTTGGGTTTCAGCTTTAGGGTTAAGCCTTGGCTCATCCGTACCCCTCAAGCAGCCCTAAATCCGAACCTTGCGCCAGTGAAACCCTACACCATGGGCAGCCTCGCTGGAACCATGCTGTCCATGTAGTTCGCAGTTAAAGGTACGTATAAGACCCAACATAGGGCCCATCGTAATCCCACATCCCCTCGCTGCACCCTGAAACACCCGATTGGTCGGGGGGGGGGGGGCTTTGGGCCTTCTTTTGGCCCAAGGGGGGGGGGGGGGTAAGCCGTTCACCCCACAAAGCACCTAAACCCTCAACCACCAAGAGTCCGCCCTTCGTCCTGCGGACCAGCACATCAGGAGTGACGCAGTTGTAAGATTCGAGCTCTATTACTGAGGTTGCCTTGCAGCCCAAAATGCCCTAAACCCGCAACCCTTTACAATAGTTCTGGGAGAAATGGGGGAGGGGGGTGGGGGACCCCAAAAACCCTGAATCCTAAACTCTAAACCCATAATTGTTGCATTCAGGGTTCAAGTGCTGAGCCCTGTAAGCCCTCGTCCCCTGCTATTTGGGGAGCTATTCCCCCCACCCCCCGCAAAGAAAATGAAATGAATGAGTGCATTGCTGGGCATCCTCTATTTAACACCCACAAGCAAGCAACAAAAACACTTTTTCTGCCAAGCTAAGCCCTAAACCCTAAACCCTAAACCCTAAACCCTAAACCCTAAACCCTAAACCCTAAACCCTAAACCCTAAACCCAAGAACGGGGCAGATCTGAAAGCATTCTGAACAGCCCTGCTCCAAGTCGCAGAGACCGGGGGCCCCGAACTTCAGCTCGGCGCAGATGGTGGAAGTCATGTCGTAGTGCTTCCTAAAGTTTAGGGTTTAGGGTGAGGGTTTAGGGTTTAGGGTTTAGGGTTTTAAATTTGGGTTTAGGGTTTAGGGTTTAGGGTTTAGGGTTTAGGGTTTAGGGTTTAGGGGTTGGGGGTTTTAGGTGGAAGTCAAAGCATGGTGCTTCCTAGGGTTTCATTTGCTCACACGCGGACAAGCCCGGCGAGACATCGGGGGTTTTGGCCCTGAGGATCCAATGTGCGCTGTGTATAATATATATATATATAATATAATATAATATAATATAGTATAATATAATATATAATATAATCTATATATACAATATCTATATATATATATATATAATATACCCAGATCTTCCAAAACCCCTCTTAACTAAGGAATCTGCCCTAATTCATAATAATGCTCCTTAGGATGAATTTGGGTGTATTCCTTAATTAAGGGGTTTTGGAAGATCTGTATATATTAAAAATACATATATATATATATTTCTATGATGTATGCTTGGGCCTCAAAGGGATTCTTTGGGAGGTTCCCCTTTGTACGAACAGTCCTTAATGGGGATTATAGTACCCCCCCCCCCCCCCCCGCCCAATTATATTCCCCATAAGGACTGTTATAAGGGAGAAGATTTCAATTGATCCTATGTAGTAGCTTTAGGGCCCAAGTATGTTCTACATAACCCTAAACCCTAAACCCTAAACCCTGAACCCTGAACCCTGAACCCTGAACCTTAAACTGGGTATGTCCGAGAGAGTCGCTCTGCCGAGCCTCATGTAGGCACAAAGGTGACGAGACGCGCCTTAACCTGGCCTATCCCGAACACAAAGTGCCCACCACCCAATTCAGGGTTTAGGGTTTAGGGTTTAGGGTTTAGGCTTTAGGGTTCAGGGTTTAGGGTTTAGGCCTTTTCTAGGGTTTCAATAAGGTTCATACAGGGATGTGTCGAGGCGCATGAGCATGTAGCTGCTTGTTCCGGAGAAGAGCACCTCGGGAGCCCAGTGAACCATGCTACAATAAGGGTACCCTTCTGGGGTTGAGCGTCTCTAGGCTTTGGGTTACTTCAAACGGGACTAGAACAAACAAGGAAGGGCAAACGGGTACCTCCTTCAGAGCTATGAATTTGTTTGTGGTGTTTAATTGTGTTTATTTCACCTTTACTAGGTGAGGATGGTCCTTTAGAACTATGCATTATTTTATGGTGTTGAATTCATCTTTGTTCGGGTGAGGATGGCCCAAAGATGTTCGTTTAAGTGTGCCGAATTCGGTTGGAGAGTTACGACTTCAGGGGTTTAGGGATAGGGTTTAGGGCTCGAGTCAGGGTTTAGGGGTTCGGGTTTAAGGTTTATGGCTTTGGCTTTCAGTCCGTTGCTCAAAGAGCGTGAGCCCTGAACCTACAGTCCTAGTTTTGCTGGCCTAAACCCTAAACCCTAAACCCTAAACCCTAACCCCTAAACCCTAAACCCTAAACCCTAAACCCCTAAACCCTAAACCCTAAACCCTAAACCCTAAACCCCGAGTCGTTTCGCGCTGGCTCGTGGGCAGCCAAGGCACCAGGATCTGGCGTGCATCTTCGGGCAGTGTGGGCGTCAGAGCGAGCCTCGTCGGAATCTCAGAGTTTAGCTTGGCTGCACTTAGCAGGGTAGCTATAAATTTAATTTTTAACTGCCTTATTAAGAAACCCAATAGGCCCAAGAAGGCTAAGGATCTAAAGTTACAGTCAAGCACCACAGAGTTAGGGTGTACCTCAACCCTCAACCCTAGACCCTAAACTCTAAACAGCTCAAACCAAGCCCTATTCGGGGTTTAGGGGCTTAGGGTCAACAACTATGTTCTATCTCTTTAAAAAGCCAGGGCAAAGAGCACTGAAAACCCTAACCTTCAGCCCTAAAGCCGTAAATGCATCAAATCCTTAAACCCCCTAAACCCCAGAAATACCCGAAGGTAAGGCCGCTTCAGAAATTCGCCTATTGTGCAAAGGTTGTTTGCGCACGTACCCGTCGGAACCCGCCACCGGCAACACAAGGATCTTAAATCCTTGTTCTAGATTTTGTTTGGGCGCTTGGGGTTTAGGGTTTGGGGTTTGGGGTTTGGGGGCCAATTGAGGGTTTGAGGCGTTCTTGTTTGTATTTCGGCATTGTGGATTGCTTCGCAGGTCTCGTCGGTCTTGCGTGATCCTGCCTTTCGAAAGTTTGGCTTGAGGCTGCAGCTTCACACAGTGCATTCACATCTTTGGGAGGGGGTTAGGCTGTGGGCTGCCAGAGTGTGAGACCCACCCAGAGGGTTTAGGGTTTAGGGGTTAGGGTTTAGGGTTTAGGGCCAAACACACAGAGACTCTCACACAGGACCTGCCCAAGCACGCAGAGCCGAAACACTTCTGCTCCTGAAAGCCCAAGGAGCGTGTCGCTCTCCAGGAGGTAGGCCACAACCATGCCTGGCTGCGCAGACCCTTCTGGCTCTCCCTTCCCCCGCTCCCTTCTTCCCCCTTCTATACCGTAAACCCAAACCCTAAACCCTAACACTAAGCCCTTTTTTGAACCCAGACTCTTTACGTCAGCAGGCTCAATGGCAATTGCACCGACAACATCCAAGAAACCGTTCCATTGATTGCGCAGATCTGAACACTACACTTCCCACTTCTGAGATGACACAAACAGGCGAAGTACCAGGTCCCTCACCAACTCAGGCTCAGAATCTTCTAAACCCTAAACCCTAAACCCTAAACCCTAAACCCTTTTGCAGCGAGCCTCGTGCTAAACCCTAAACCCTAAACCCTAAACCCTAAACCCTAAACCCTAAACCCTAAACCCTAAACCCTAAACCCTAAACCCTAAACCCTAAACCCCCTTGCAAGCTCACATTGGGCTCGTCTGTTGTCAACTTCGCGAAGTCGCATCTTCGGCAGACATGCCCTGCTCAAGGTCACGCAAAGTCTCTCCCATCTCCAGGCAGAGTCGAAACAGCCAAACAGGGCTTAGGGTTTAGGAAGGACATCGTTTCCGCTTCGTTTAGACAGATAGGGCAATGCTAAACCCTAGCGGGGGGACATGGCCCCCTCCTCCCCCAAGCTTTCAGACGCGCACGCCTGCTTACTTCAATAGCTTGCCCATCTACAGGGCTCAAGGCCCAGGGTTTTGAGGGTTTAGGGTTTAGGAGTCAGGGCTAGACCCAAGGAATAAAAAGGGTGCCATGTTTGGGTTTTAAAGGGGTTTATAAGGGAACCCACGGGAGAAAGGGCCTACTCTGGCTCCTCTGAAAAACCGCGAACCCGAAAACCCAAAAACAAAAGACGAACGTACGTATCCCTAGTTTCTGAGCAGGGCACCGATGGCGAGGAGAAGGTACGAGACGAATACAAGGAGTTCCTGGTCGCGGGGCACGTGTCTAGGATTGAAGGCTTAGCCGGCAAAAATTGCCCTGAAACAACTCTTCGGGCAGCCACTCAAAAAAGGGGTATTGGGAGGTTCGCCACGGTAGGGCTAAGGTTCAACGTGGGCAAGAGGAGATGTTCCGACAGTGATCGGGTTGAAGATCTACACCAAACAACTTTAAAACGCAATTCTAGGTCGGCCCTCGCAACCCTCTGAAGAAGACTCCTACTTATAGGATCCCCTTGAACCCCCAAATTCGGGTCCACACAAAACAACACATCCCCAGCATAAACAGAAGTTGCCTGTGTAACGGTTCTGGCAGGTTTTGTACCCTTCAGGTAGGAGTCTTCCCTGAGCCCGAAGCCCTAAGCCCTTTTTGTGAAACCAAACTCCTGAAATCCTAAACCCAGCACTATACGATCTTTTTGAACCCCCAAACTCTTGAAACCCCAAACAATAACCCCTTGACAAATCTAAACCCTCAACCCTAAACTACTGTTTGCTTAAGAACCCCAAAAGAATTTTAAACAATAGTAATCCTCATATTACAGTTATAAGGACGAATGTTTTTACATTGTTTGGGGGATTCTTAAGCAATTACTAGTCAAGCCTGTTCGTTGTAAGGCCTGGGAGTCCAGTGCACTCGGGTTTGGGAACTCAGGACCAAGGGAGGCGGACCGTGGGCTGGCAAGAGGGGACGGCCGAACCTGGCTATACGAAGTTTCCGAGCAACAAAAAACACCTCCTTCTTCTGAAGGTTACCCTCAGAATCTGAAAGGTTTTGGCTAAGAATCTTACCAGGCATGTTTTCAAAACAGGCATCTCGGCCCTCGTGTGCTAAAGCCGTATGACCTCTACGGCCAAGCCCCAAAACGATTGGCCAGAGGCTCATTCACTGCGTAGAAGTTCAAGTGGATGCAGCCATACCTTTTGCAGGGACCTCTAAAGGCCCTAAACTCGACTAAGCCCTCAACCCTAGATCCCTAAACCCTAAAACCCTCCTTGCGGGCGGTTCAAGGAGGTGGATCTCCTTTCCTCACCCAAATCCAGGGAAATTTGCGAGAATGGCCCTCTGAACAACATGCCTACATAGTATTCTCCTAAACCCCACAAAATCGGACCTTTCCCTAAGCCCTAAGCCCTAAGCCCCTAAGCCCTAAGCCCTGAGCCCTAAGCCAGCCCTCAGCCCTAAGCCCAAACCCTAAAGGATGAAGACACGTACCCCTAATTTGTACCCCTTAGGGCATGCCTGAATATACTCCTAAATATGGCCCTGATGTTCCCTCAGCCGATTCAGAAAAGGGTCCCCAAACCCGAGGGTACAGCCTTACTGGGGTAGGTTTTGGGGCCCTTTTGAAATTGAAATGTTTAATTGCTATGGCCTCATAAGGAGTATGTAGGGGATTCAGGGTACTAAGCATCAAAAGATAAGTTCAAACCTACACCTGCTTAGGGGTCTGAGGTAGAGTCCCTTCATTGCAGGTGCACGCATTCAAGGCAGGTGCCTTTGGAGCTTGGAGCCTTCGAAGCCCCCACACTTTTGACAACATACTGGAGCGCCTGAGTACGTAGGTTTTTGTTTCTTTAGGGTTTAGGATTTCGAGTTTAGGGTGATCAGAAAGAATACTTTGATTTTTTAGGGGGGGCTTCTTAAGCAAATAGTAGCAGTAGCTAGGGCCTTGGGATATCAAGCACCTTCGTGTCAAGACACAGCATGGGCGTCAGCGTCAGAAGCGTCGACAGCCAGATGTACATGTCCACCTCCCACACAGCTTTCGCGGCGTGAGGGCTCTTGCAGGCAGGTGGTTTAGGGTTTAGGGTTTGGTTTAGGGTTTAGGGTTTAGGGTTCAGGGTTCAGGGTTCAGGGTTCAGGGTTTAGGGTTTAGGGTTTAAGGTTTAGGGTTTAGGGCTCTTACAGGCAGGTGACCCCCCCCCCCCCCCCCAGCATCTTAGGGCTCTTACCTTCTACTTGCTTAGCAACCGCCCAAATCATGAAAGGTCATATAGCCTCAAGGACGAATTTTGTAGCTTTGGATACTAGCTCTAAACATAAATTATAACTGACAACTAGCTTTGGATACTAGCTCTAAACATGCATTAGAACTGACAACTGGGTGGCCTAAAGACTATTGGCATGATCGTGGGACTCTGCCTTGGGCCCCTAGGGTTGTAGCCATGGGTCGCGGGGACCTCGCCTGAAGATCCTCGAAGTGAATGTAAGGGCCATGTTGGGAGCAGATTGCGGGAAACCTCTTAGGGGTACATCCGCAGGGTTTCGAGGTGTGACCCCAAACCCTAAACCCTAAACCCTAAACCCGAGACCCTGAACCCTTAAAACCCTAAACCCTAAACCCTTCCGAAGATGACTCCCTTGACCCCAAACCCTAAACCCTAAACCCTACACCCTAAACCCTAAAACCTAAACCCGAGACCCTGAACCCTTAAAACCCTAAACCCTAAGCCCTTTTTTAACACGGACCTCTGAGCCAACCCTAAGCCCTAAACCCTACACGCTTCCGAAGATGACCCCCCTGACCCCAAACCCTAAACCCTAAACCCTAAACCCTAAAACCTAAACCAGACCCTGAACCCTTAAAACCCTAAACCCTAAGCCCTAAACCCTAAACCTTTCCTAAGATGACTCCCTTGACTTGAGACTCCCAAAGGCCTCGCCAAGGTCAACAGCAAGCCCTGTGCCTCGACCACGTGAACCACGATGCGGCCCAGGCGTTCTCGCAGGTAGGACTCGAAGCCTGGGGGGTTTAGGGTTTAGGGTTTAGGGTTTAGGGTTTAGGGGGTGCTCCAGTCCTAAACCCAAAACTAGCACTTGACCCCTAAACCCTATTTAATAAACCCTATAAACCCTAAAGGTAACCCTTGCCCTGAGAAAACAGAAAGCCAGGGTGCCATTTTGGGGGTCGCAGAGGGAGCCCTCCCCAGCACATGTTTAGGGTTTAGGGTCAGGGTTTAGGGTTTAGGGTTTAGGGTTTAGGGCTTAGGGCTTAGGGTTTAGGGTTTAGAGTTTTCGGGGACTAGGGGCGACATCGCCGAGCCCGGAGGTGCTGAAAAACAAACGGAGGTAATGGCTCCTAACCTAGTTCATGGTTGGGATAGTATTCAAAATCGAATCTATATTCCTGATTGGGTTTAAGTACCCCTCAAAAGGTAAAATGCTACCCAACTATCTTAATCCCTGTTCCCCTAGGAAGAAAAAAGGATCCTTTTTGTTTATGTATAAGAAAGCCCATAACCCAAAAAGTAAAAAGGATCCCTAACACTGGTTTAGCTATGATAAAGTAACAGGTATCCAAGCCCAAGGGCACAACCTTCGGGCTGCAAGGTCGAAACAATGAAAAAGCCCCTCAGCCAAGTGAATAAAAAAAGTGCCTCCTTAAACTGTGGCTGCCCCCCCCCCCCCCCCCCCCCCCCCCCAAAAAAAAAAAAAAAAAACTAAACCCTAAACCCTAAACCCTAAACCCTAAACCCTAAACCCTAAACCCTAAACCCTAAACCCTAAACCCTAAACCCTAAACCCCCACCCCCCAAAAAAAAGTCCCAGCTCCATGCCGAGCATCTAAACTGACGAGGGCAGGAGATGCTGCCACTTTTCGCCTTGGAGTTCGCCCCGAAGATGAACTGGTGGCCTTGGCATCGGGTGGCTTTAGGGTCTGGGGGTCTAGGGGCCTGAACCCTAAACCCTAAACCCTAAACCCTGATCGGGGTCCTGGCTTACGGTCCCTGGCGTTTCGCGTCTAAACCCTAAACCTTCAGAGTCAGAAGGCGTAGGCTGGAGATTAGGTGTCTATGTGGCATGATGCAGATTTGTGACGGTTGGCCCAACTTGTGAGCCCTTTGAGGTTTGAAGTATGGTCTGTTTCTTCGGGTCCCCGTAATTTAGATTGACCCGGCGGCCACCTTTGCCTAATAGAACAAGCTAGCATGAGAAGCAGTTCCTGTACGTGCGACAAGCGCGAAAGCTTGCAGTGGACCGAGAACCGCTAGGAACTCTCATCAAACCTCTACAGCTCCATACTGCGAACGCTTAACCCAGTCGCTTAACCCCTAACCCTAAACCCTAAACCCTAAACCCTAAACCTTGTTCAAGGGCCGCTATCGAGTCCTGACGGGGCTTGCCATCGAATTCTGAGGGACCTCAGGATCGCTCCCAGGAGTATCCTAGCCAGGCCTGGGTTCATGATCAGGCCTTTTTGGTAGGGGTTTGGGGTTTAGGGTTTAGGGTTTAGGGTTTAGGGTTTAGGGTTTGGGGTTTGGGGTTTAGGGTTTAGGGTTTGGGGTTTAGGGTTTAGGGTTTGGGGTTTAGGGTTTAGGGTTTGGGGTTTAGGGTTTAGGGTTGTGGGGTTTTCGGCATTGAGGGAATTAGGGGGTTAGGGTTTCAGGGTTCTAGGGACTAGGGTTTTAAGGTGTTAGGGTTTTACGGTTCTAGGGTTTTAGGGTTCAGTTCAGGGTTTAGAGCAAGTTGGGCCCACGGTCTCTTGTAAGGTTGCTGGCTCGCATGGGCTCAACAAGTGGGAAAGCCAATGGCAGCGCACTAAACAGTCGCAAGGGCAGGGCCCCCGGTATGCCCTGAACACCCTCAAGCCCCTGAACCCCAAACCCCAAACCCCCAAACCCTAAACCCCCAAACCCCGAAACCCTATAAACCCTAAACCCTAAACCCCGAAACCCCAAACCCCTAAACCCCCAAACCCCCAAAACCCCAACAGGGCCCAGCAATGCAGCATGCCGTCTTGGTGTGGGCGAGCTGCGGATGGCTCGCCACATGACGAGGTTTCTCAAGGTGTCGTGGTTCAACACCTGGGGTTTAGGGTTTAGGATTTGGGGTTTAGGGTTTAGGGTTTAGGGGACTTACAGCCGCCTAAAGATGTACGAGTAGTACTGATGCAGGTAACCGAACCTTTACCTCCCATCCTAGGTCTTGAGCCCAAAGCTATGGGCGCCTGGCCGAACTTAGGGGTTCGGGTTCGGGCTTTAGGGGCTACAAGGGAGTTCTGCCCGGACCTTAAGCATGTACCCCGGAGACGTTTAGTTTATACTCCTAATATGGCCCCTATATGCCCTTAGTAGGTCCTCAAACCCTACTACGTAAGTTCAGCCTGCTCACACCCAACTTCTGAGGGCGTTGCAAGGACAAACCAACACACAGGGGGGGGCAGTAGGAGAACAGAAGTGGGCCCCCCGAGTGGACAAGAAAGCCAGCGCCTACTTCTGAGGGCGGCGCAAGAGAACAAACCTAAAAGAAGCTCGAAAAGAGAGCCTCGCTGGGGCCAAGGTGTACGACTCTTAGAGGATCTTTAAAAGGGGTCCCCAAAACCCAAGGGTACTTCCCTAGGGATCCCAAGATCGAGTCACAGGAGTTTAGGGAGTATGTAGTATAAAACCCTGTCATGGTAACTTATTTAAGCTCCTCATCAGCAAGAACCTTACGGCTTGCCACGTTGCCAGGCAGGCTCCCTTAATGAAATCCCCAACCTGTGGCTGCTCGACACTCGGTCCCTTTGAACCCAGACAAGGGTCCCCTCTGGAATATGTAGTACAGCACCCTTAATTTGAAAATAAAGAGACCCCCCCCCCAAAAAAAAAAAGGCCCGGGTTCAGAGAACCACATGAGGCAGAGCGGCCATCCACCACCCCAGCGGATTCTCGTACGTGAAGGGCTTCTTGCCTGGCAATAGCTCAGCGCTGCAAACCATTTCTAGACCCAAGAGTCTCTTATATATATATATATATATATCTATCTTAGGAACAAAACGGGCGCCCTGTTTGACTTCTAGGGGCTGGGTTGCTGCACTTCAGCCTCCGCAATTAGGATGGCCCTTAAAACTCTCTGAAACAGGTTCCCACGGCCTACGGTTGAACCTAAACCCTCAAAAAAGGGGCATCAGGGCCTAATCTAGGGGTCTGAATGATTAGAATAGGGTCTTGGGGGTTTTTCACCCTCGGGCGCCCCTTCTGAGGTTACGCATATCTCCGTGCCACAGGGGAAAGTCCCCGGCCGGCTCCAGCATTCAGCCCAGGTTTAGGGTTTAGGGTTTGGGGTTTGGGGTTTAGGGTTCAGCAGCTCATGTACTCGCTTTCACTCGTCGAGCTTTTTCATCTTGTGATGGAGAAGTACCCATCCACCCACAGAATCCCATATCATTCAGAAAAGCTGCATCTGAAGATCTAAGCCTTGCCAACTGAGGTTTAAGCCTTGCCGACTAAGGTTCGTGCCTTGCCAACTGAGGTTTAAGCCTTGCCGACGAAGGTTTGTGCCTATGCTGACTAAGTCATTAGGATATATATATATATATATATATAAATAGAGAGAGAGAGAGAGAGAGAGAGAGAGAGAGAGAGCAAGAGAGATTTAGGGTTTAGGGTTTAGGGTTTAGGGTTTAGGGTGTACGGTTGAGGGTTCAGCTGCCAGGTTGTAAGTAGATTTCGAGGCCCGGGATGTGCTGGGCAAGAAGTATTGCCTCCTCCTGAATGAGAGCCCACGGGTTTCGGCTTGCGGTTTTGGGTCTAGAAGGTAGACCCTAAACCCTAAACCCTAAACCCTAACGGAGCCAAAGACGCAGTGCAGCTCGAGCCCGCGCGGGGCGTAAGGCATGGCGACCCGCTCCAGGAAGCCGCTCTCACCTCGACGTTTCTTCCTTTTTGGTAGGGGTTTGGGGTTTAGGGTTTAGGGTTTGGGGTTTAGGGTTTAGGGTTTGGGGTTTAGGGTTTAGGGTTTAGGGTTTGGGGTTTAGGGTTTGGGGTTTGGGGTTTAGGGTTTGGGGTTTACGGTTTTTTGCGGGCTCAACTGAAAACACCAGGCATCCCAGCTTCCTGTCATCTTTGCTCGTGGGCTTCATGATGCTGGGTCAGCTGAAAGAACCCTAGTTATCAACCCTCAGACCTGAATCCTAAACCCTAAATCCCTAAACCCTAAATCCCTAAACCCTAAACCCCTAAACCCTAAACCCCTACACCGTAAACCCCTAAAACCCTAAACCCCTAAACCCTAAACCCTAAACCCCTAAACCCTAAACCCCTAAACCCTAAACCCGAAGCCCCTAAATCCCTAAACCCCAAAGCCTTTTAAGGGCCTGCAAAGCCAAGAGCTGCCATGGTTGCTTCTCAGTTGGCTTCTTCTGAGAATCAGATGAGTCGGTTTAGGGTTTAGGGTTCAGGGTTCAAGGGTTTCGGGTTTAGGGTTTACGGTTCTCTAAGCTGGACCCAAGTGTAACCTAGAAACACAAAAAAACAGGGCACCCTTGTTGGTTTGTGAAGGGGCCTAAAACCTACAAAAAAGAATCAGGGCCTACATCTGGGTCCTAGTACGTGTTTGGTAGAGCATGGGGGATTTTTGAAAGTAGGCATCGGCCTGGTTTTGTGTTTAGGGTTGAATAGGGTGTAGGGTTTAGGGTTAAGAAACTTAGGATTATAGTTGGTTCATCATTGAATTGAAACGACCGGGAGCCAAGGAAGCTATGCAAGAGCTCGGAAACCCGAGATGCAGACAACTTCTTGAAAGTGCGAAAAGCCATGTAACCATCAACCTCGGACTAGGAAGCCCTTGTGCTCCCGAGACCCTTAGCCGACCGGGGGACAGAAAAGAGACTCGATGGAATCCGGCCGCGTGCCCCAAGCCCGCGCGCGCTCGTATCGGCCCCAACTGAGCTTGGGTTTAGGCTTTGGGGCTGACAGTCTTGCTTGATTTCGTAGTTTAGGGTCTAGGGTTTAGGGTTTAGGGTTTAGGGTTTAGGGTTAGGGCCGGGGAGGGGGGGGCCTGGGGGGAGTTGTGCCTTTGGGTAGCAAAGGGGACACCGAAAGACCGTGTAGCAGGGTTATCTGCTGGGCTAATGGCACTTGGTCTAAATCCCAAACTGCAATAAAAGTCTGGATCTAAAAACCCAAGGTCTCCAGGAAATATTGGGACGAACTGACTTCCAAGCGGCACTGCCAGTTTTGGTGGGATGCTCTATGAAGCGTCAGGGTATTTTGAGGTCCTTAAACCACGAGTTTTGCAGGAAAATACAGGAATTAGTAGGGTCCATCGAACTTTTAAAGCAATTCCAACACGAACCCAAACAAATAACATCGGGCCCAAAGAAGGCTCGTTCCCAAAGCCCTGGTAAGTTGGAACAACAACCCGATCTGCAAGTTGGCGCCCTGCTAAGCTCATGCTTAAACCCCCTTTTTTTGCATCCGGGCTATGATGTCCTGGCCGGAGAGTCAACCCTGAACTCTAAACCCTGGGCAAAAAACACTGGACAAAACCCTAACCCTTCCTTGATCCTTCAAAAAACTCCTCAGACTGAACAGTAACCCTGCTGCAACAAGCTTGCCACTTCGCCCGGGTTTGGTGCCACCCGATCCCACTTTACTGCCGACCACATGGGTTCCCCCAACAAGTTGAAACATTTTTCCTGTAAAGGGCGATTTAGGGATGGTTATTATTTATTTTTGCGGGATCTTATGCAAAAAAAACTAGACCCTGAACCCTAAACCCTAAACCCTTGCCTCATCCTTCTGAACATGAGAAAAAAGCCCAGGAGCGTCTCGATCACGCTCTTGGTGACCCTCAGGAGGGCCATTGCCTCTGCCACATCGTGGGTTTAGGGTCTAGGCGGGTTTAGGGTTTAGGGTTAGGGTTTAGGGTTTAGGTTTTAGGTTTTAGGGTTTAGTGACGGATCCCCAAGAATCTCGAATAAATTAGGGTTCAGGGTTTAGGGTTTGGGGACATCGCCGTACTTTGGGTTTCAGGGTGTTGGGCGTAACGTGTTAAGTTCAAGGGAGCCGTGAGAACATGCGTACAGGGGGTAGTTTAGGGTTTAGGGTTTAGGGTGTAGGGTTTAGGGTTTCCCAATCAATGGCACATGTAAAGTACCCAGGCTCTTGACTGAAGGTTCCAAGCTGGAGGTTGGGTAAGGTCAAGCTATACTGAACTTGGACCCCTAGCAACAAATAATTTTTATGCTGTTTCTTAGGAGTTATAGTGCCCAAAAATTTAAAATTATTTCCAAGTACCCCTAAGCAACCTTTGAGGGTGAACAAAGGAAGCATAGTACCCTGGCATCAACATTGAACCCTCGCCCCCAACCCAAAAACCCTAGAGCCCCCTGAGCTCTGAAACTAAAAACGATCAGGGATGGGGGGGAGGGGGAGGGGGAGGGGGGGGGGGGGGGGGGGGGGGGGGGGGGGGGCAGGCGTCATTGAACAACCCGAGCCCCCAAGCCCAAAACACCTATGAAACGCTCCAGGGGGGGGGGGGGGGGGTTAGCGACTACATCGGGATTAGGTCCCCTTGGAACCCAAGAAACACGAGCTTCAACATTCCCTTGGGCTTTCAGATTTAAAACATATCATACTTTAGATAAGAAATAAAATTCCTAAGAAGGCTAGAGTATCGGCGATGTTGGGTGTAGGGTGTGATTATCATTATTACAAATAGTTCTTCTTATGCATATACATATACATACATACCACGCATGTAGATGTATGTATATATATATATGTATGTGTGTGTTTATTTTTACATATATATATATACACATGTTTATCGTTTTTGTGGGGTGAGGTTCAGGAGCTTATGAAGTTCAGGGCTTCGGCTTCGCCGCCTGAAAGAGCAAGACGGCCATGAGCAGGAAGATCATCATGTGAACCTTCTTGTTCTCTCGGGGTTTGGGGGGGCTGAGGGTCTACCCTAAACCCTAATCCATAAAAATCCTGAACCCTAAACCCTAAACCTTCTAGGGATGAGGGTTTTCTCGGGGGTCTAGGGTGTTTGTGGCTCTCTTCTCTCGGGGTTCAGCTTTATTTTTTTTTCTCGGGGTTTAGGGTGTAGTGTGTTTGTCGCTTACCAGCGCAGCTTAGGGAAACAGGACTCTCTACACCCTTTCCTGTAGGGTTTAGGGCTTCAAAGATCTAGGGTTGAAAGAGCTTAGGCTCTAAAGGGCTCAGGGCTTTTAAAGGGCTTAGGGCAGGTAAAGGGCCTAGGGTTGAAAGAGCTGAGGGCTTCAAGGGGTTCGGGGCTCTTACAGGGCTTAGGGCAGGAAAAGGGCCTAGGGTTGAAAGAGCTTAGGCTTTTAAGGGGTTCAGGGCTTCTAAAGGGCTTAAGGCTGCCCTGTCGGACTTAGGCCTTTAAAGGGTTTACGGCTTCAAGGGGGTTAGGGTTTAAAGGGCTCAAAGGGTCCGAAGGCTTCAACGGGTTTAGGGTTTCAACAGAAACCCTAAACCCTAAACCCTAAACCCTAAACCCTAAACCCTAAACCCTAAACCCTCCCTAAAACAGGGCGGGGAGCAGTCTCAAAGGACTCGGCGACGGGATCCTCGGCATCGAAGTCCTTCAGGCTGTCGCCGAAGACCTGGCTTCGGGTTTAGGGTTTAGGGTTTAGGGTTTAGGGTTAGGGTTTAGGGCTTTGTGATACTTGAGAATTTAAATTTATGTTTCAGGGTTCAGGGTAGGGCTTTGCCCAGATTGAGAACAGTCTCCGACGTCGACCACAGACCACCAGACTACTGTCAGGGTGTTTAGGGTTGCACGCTCTGGTTCTTTGTAGGGAATGAGGTACACTATATAAGCCCTTAAAGGGTTATGTGGCGGGGGAAATAAGGTACCTAACTCCGCCAGTCCAGTGTCAACGGATTGCACAGGGTTTAGGGTTCAGGGTATTTAGGGTTCTGTCTGTCCGCGTCACCTAGCAAACAACTGGGTACCTTCGTTGGTTTGTTGATAGATTGAGGGGCTTTGCGTCAACGGTGTGTGCACGCGTGCATGTCTGCGTGTGCGCGTGCGAGTCGCGAGTGCCCTGTCAATACAGCCTCAGAGTTTGCTTCACATGGGCAGGTGGGATGATGCTTCTTCCCAGACCCCTGGGAGGATCCACAAAGTAGAGCCCCCAAATTACACCCTAAACTCCCATGGGGTCATTCTTAGGAACCCGCAAATTTTGAAGGGATCTATCCTCCAAGGGTTCTGGGTTCAGGTGCACGAAACCCTAAACCCATCAACAAAGCTGAGCACAGCCCATAACCATTATGTCAGGGGGGTTGACAATCATGCCAAGCACGAAACCATCATGAAGAACTGTGTTTTTTTTTGTAAGGATGCGAGATCTTGGAGTTTAGGTCGAAGGCAGCGGCTTTGTTTTGCCACCCGTAGCTGACGGATTTGGGGACCCTAAACCCTAAACGCAATACCCTTCTGGGCCTGTCTCCCCAAGACGTCCTCACTGACCTTGCTCTGCGTCACCAGAAAAAGGAACATGCCGATGAAGCCGAGGCCCGAAAACTCCTTCCAGCTGTCATTGCGTTTAGGGATTAGGGTGTTTAGGGATTAGGGTGTTTAGGGTTTAGGGTGTTTAGGGTTTAGGGTGTTTAGGGTTTAGGGTTTAGGGTGTTTATGGTTTCATTGCGCTTAGGGATTAGGGTTTAGGGTTTAGGGTTTAGGGTGTTTATGGTTTAGGGATGTTTAGGGTTTAGGGTTTAGGGTGTTTGTGGTTTAGGGATGTTTACGGCTTCTGGTTCTGGGTATTGAGCAATTTTCGGCTTTAAACGCTCACTCTCGCACAAGGCTTTAGGTTTTTTTTTGTGTTCGCGCCGTCCCTTGCTATGGCACATCGTCCTCGTGCTTGGATGGTGAGTTTTTGCATGTCTGCGCCTTCCGGGTAAACAAAGACCATGGGCCGACACGGGCCAGGCTCCCATTCCATTGCGACGCCACTTACTGGTGCAAGCAGAGAGTTTGACGCCACTATTGTCAACTGCCGACAGTTCGCGGGCAAAGCAGTCAAGACGCGTGTGCACCGTCAATGGCTGCTTCTGCTGGCAGTGGAAGGTTCTCATTCTTGCTCCTAATATGTCTGTTCCTTCACGCCCTCAATCTCTTGAAGAAGTGACGTCAAGCTAAAGCAGGATGGGCCCAGACACATTCAAAACGAATGTGCCCGCCCGCGGAGAAGAGTCCTTGAACAGCACGTCCATGATCTGCAGGCCGACCTCGCGACTTCTGAGACTTAAGGGCTCCTAAGGATGACCCAGAAGGTAGTAAGGGCTCCTAAGGATGACCCAGAAGGTAGTAAGGGTTCCTAAGGATGACCCAGAAGGTAGTAAGGGCTCCTAAGGATGACCCAGAAGGTAGTAAGGGCTCCTAAGGATGACCCAAAAGGTAGTCAGGGCTCCTAAATATGACCCAAAAGGTAGTAAGGGTGCTATTTTTGGGGGGCTCTTCTTTTTGGATCCTCCCAGAAGTCCGGGAGGCAACAAGCCCCCAATGAATCCCACCCCCCCGCCCCTCTGGGTGAGCAATTACCCCAAAGTCAACCTGCAGCCTGAACCTCATTGACTGACTGACTATTTGGGATGTTCCCCTTATACTGACAGTCCTCCTTCATAGGGCTTAATTCTAGAACCCCCTATTATCATCCCCACTAAGGACTGTTAGTATAAGGGTGAGCATCCCAACTGACCTGCTTCTAATTACTGCAGGGGGGTTGGTGCATCGCTTGGCGTTTCGAGTGCTAAACCCACAAATGGGGTCATTTTTTTTTGGGGGGGGGAAACGGTGAAGGTCGATTTTTTAAGGACAATGGCATTCTACACAAAGTGAGCAGCTGCCTACTCGGCACCGAAGGTGCGACGTTTTGTGGGAAACCCTGACGTGCAAATGGTGTCTGGGCCAGGTAGTACAGCAATCACATTACAACAGGCGGTACCCCTTTTTTGCGGTTGGCTAGGTTCATCAAGCCGTGCGAAGTCGAGTCTACGAGTGGGTTTCGCGCCGAAATAGGGGTTTTCTGAAATCAAAAGCTCAAGAAAACCCAAAGCTGTAAAGCTGTTGTATAGGACCCCCCCCCCCCCCCCCCCCCCCCCCCTCTCCACCTTTCGCGCGTACCCTCTCTCCTACAACCCTGATCATGTGGCCCGAGCGATTGCGTGGGATGCTACAAAACGTTGTGGAATCTCCTTGGGTTAAAGGGTCTCCTGTGATGTTCATGGTACTTGTTCACCAAGTTTAACTGCCCGAATAGGCTTATCAGTACAGTTCCAAGTACAGTTGTCATTGGTTAATAAGTATCATGAACCTCCAATAAATGTGCTAGGATCGGTTGCAGCTAGAATAGATACTTTCAGGGCAGCACCTGGCGTTTCTGGAAGGTCTCTACCTAAAAGCCACCCTCATCCTGAGGGAATTCCAGACCTTGCCCTCCTAAACCCTCAACCCTAAAGCCCTAAAGCCCTAAACCCTAAACCCAAAACCCTAAAGCCCTCAACCCTTCAGACCAGCAGGTGCCCCCCAGTGCCCGAAGGCCTTATCTTGCGCATGGTCCAGAGAATGTCGAACCTCCAGTGACGAGGGTTTAGGGTTTAGGGTTTAGGGTTAAGGGGGGGGGTTTGAGGTTTAGGGCTGTTCAGGGTTTAGGGTTTGGGTCAGGGTCTAGGGTTTGCGGGCTTAAGGTTGTTTAGGGCTTAGACCCTGAAAAAGATGATCGTTTACGACCTCTCACTGTGCAACTCCTATAAGGTGGTTGGTGGCCACACGCAAGGCCTTAAGCCCCCAAACCCCCCCCCCCCCCTGCCCAACGCAGGAAAATGCTGAAGCCCCCTAACTCCCAAGCCCTAGGCCCTAGGTCAGGGTTTTTTTTCTCACCCGCCAAGCAGACCCTAAACCCTAAACCCTAAACCCTAAACCCTAAACCCTAAACCCTAAACCCTAAACCCTAAACCCTAAACCCTAAACCCTAAACCCTAAACCCTAAACCCAACTGCAGGGTAGCAACTTTGGGATGATTGAGACAGCTTGCAGCACTTGCGCCAAGATAGGGGGCTCCCGAATGTTCCTCCGCCAGACTCAACACAACTCACACACCCCCCCCAAGTGGCCCAAGTGTCTAGCCTACAGGAAACCCTAAACCCTAAACCCTAAACTTTTCAGGCACGACATCTCAACGCACGTCTGCCCCCCAAGCTCTCAGGCCTACTTCAAAGAGAGCTGCAACCTGTGTAGAGTGCACTGTCGCAGCCCCCGGCTAGAGACTAGGGGGCCCCTCTCCCCAAGTCATAGCCGATGTAACCTCAGGGCTTCAAGGCCTTACAGGGCTACTTGTCTCAACCTCGAAAAACACAAAAACACCCCCTTTTTGCCCCAGCCTGATGTTCAAGTCTGAGGAAGCAAAGACTGTAGAACAGAGGCCATAAGAGGGCACCGAACATTTTGGTGCACGGAACATGTGGCTTCAACCTCAAAACCTGAACTCATTAGCGAGCACAAGGGCAGGCTTCGCCAAAAAAAAGCCCTGAGCTACAACAAGCCTTGTTGTTGGGGAGGGTCTATACTCAGCCCTGAACCCCAAAACCCCAAAACCCCCAAACCCCAAAACCCCAAAACCCCAAAACCCCAAAACCCCCAAACCCCCAAACCCCCAAACCCCCAAACCCCCAAACCCCCAAACCCCCAAACCCCCAAACCCCCAAACCCCCAAACCCCAAAACCCCAAAACCCCAAAACCCCAAAACCCCAAAACCCCAAAACCCCAAAACCCCCAAAACCCCTAAACCCCTGAACCCTAAACCCTAAATCCTGCCAGGAAAATGCACCCGCAGCTCCATGCAAAGCGGCCCAGTGCTGGACAGATTCGAAGACTGCATTCCTTGGGCTTAGGGTTTTTAGGGTTTAGGGTTTAGGATTTAGGGGTTTAGGGTTTAGGGTTGTTTATACTAGGAGTATAATTAAAGAACTTATAGCCTAAGTTAAGATCCTTTTAATTATCCCAATTACTGGAAATTGAAGAACTTATAGCCTAAGTTAGGATCCTTGTAGTTAACCCAATTTCGGGTCCCTATAACTCTACATACTTGGGGCCCGGACTTCGAGGTAAGCGCTTGGGGGTTTCGGGTTTGCCGCATGCTTGCTCCTTCCTCCCCCCCCTCCCCCCCCCCCCCCTCCCCCCCCCCCCCCCCCTCCCCCCCCCCTTCTACCCCCCCCCCGACCCCCCCCCCCCCCCCCGCCCGAACCCCCCCTACCCCCCCTACCCCCCCCCCCCCCCCCCCCCCCTAAACTGGGCTATTACAAGTTTACAAGTCCTTTCATTATACTTCGTATAGTAAGGGAGGTTCTGAATCGCAAACTCTAAGAGGTGCTTCTTGCGAAGAATGTTGTGGTGCAGCTGCTGCAATCGGATGCGGGCATTTCAGGGTCAGCAAGGTAAGCCGGTTTAGGGTTAAGGGTTTAGGGGGGGAGGGGTTCTCTCTCTCTCTCTCTCTCTCGCTCTCTCTCTCTCTATCTCTCTCTCTCTCTCTCTCTCTCTCGCCATCCTGAGGGTCGTGCTACGCAAGGGCACGAAAAGTAGGCTAGGATATCAGGGGTTCATTTTTTTTTGCCTTGGGGCACTTCTCGACCTGTAGGGTTCAGGGTTTAACTAGGGGTTAGGGTTTAGGGTTTAGGGTTTAGGGTTTAGGGTTTAGGGTTTAGGGTTTAGGGTTCAGCATGAATCCCTCTTTCTCAGCTGTTCTTGCAGCTTTTCGTGAAACTCTTGTACCGTCCCCTCATAACGCGAGAGATGAACACATGCTTTGAATTGGGGGTCCGGAAGAGGGTCCGACAGGATTCTCCTTGTAGCCTATACTATGAAATTGAAGTGCTCTACATTGCTTGCTGTCTCGGGGCAAGGAGCTTTCAGCCTGAGGACTAATACATAGAGCCCTATAACTTGTAACTCTACCCTTAACTGGGACGGCCCCTTGTATACAACATGCCAGCGTAATATAGGCGCCTTAATCATCTTAATAGGGTTTTGTTGGGGGTATTATAGTAGTATAGTTATAAAAGGACCATAAGGGAATACTACTAGCAATTCTTCCGACCCCTGTATTGATTTTTTTGTTTTGTTCCGGTGATGCCTAGTGGTAGGTGTTGCCGTCGGGCGTGGGACCCCGTAAGACCCAAGTACTTCTATGAACAGACTTGGGAGCTCGGATTCTGCGTTCGGGTTTAGGGTTCAGGGTTCAGGGTTTAGGGTTTATGGCATTCAAGGAGTCCCACTTGCTGCCCAGGAATCAGTATGACGACCAGGCAAACTTCGGCAAAGAGCAGCCAGGGGCAAAGGGTCACTTCCTCCCAGCAAGAGGGGGCTCTGGGGTTTGGGGCTCAAGGTCGGCTTGGACAAGAAAACCCCACATTCTGAACCCCCAAACCCCTAAACCCTGAAGCCTAAAACCTAACCCCCTCCCCCCCCCCCCCCCCCCAACACACTATGGCCTCTAAAAGGGGAAAGGAGCATTCTGCACACATTGCATTTTTGTGAGCTTTGCTGGTCAGGACACCCCAGGAGGCTGCTGGTCGAATTTGGGCTGATGTCGGAGCTTAGGGCTTCCTTTTTTTCGGGGGCTTTAGGGCTTGGGGATGTTTGGGGGTAATTAGGCACCTTTCTGGCTTAGGGTTTCGTGCAAGACGCAAATTTACATCTCCGTCCCCCCCCCCCCCCCCCCCCCATCCACCCGGCATTTTTGAGTCCAGACTCTTTGCCATCATCCCTTGGGAGCCCCAAGATTTTATCTGTATGTATCTAAATTGTATGGCTACATGTAAAAGGCAACCGTAGCTTAGAACATATAATTTTGGGATGTTCCCCCTTATACGACCAGTCCTGAATAGGAATTTGAGTAGGCACGAGGATCCCTATCAACTAGGCTGCCCAGTAACCTAGGCTTAAGAAGGGTGCCCTTTTTTGCTTAAAGGGGTTGATAAGGGAACCTAAACTCCCCAAAAAGGGAATAAGGGCACTACTGGGCATCCTAGTATCAAGGAGCTGTTCGTATAAGGGGGAACATCCCAACAGATCATGTCGAAGCCTCTCCAAAAACCCATGCTTTCGTCATGTTTTCGCCCCCCCTCCCCCCCCCCTCCCAAACCCTAAACCCTAAACCCTAAACCCTAAACCCTAAACCCTAAACCCTAAACCCTAAACCCTAAACCCACAGCGGCCTCCACGAGCTCCTCGAAGATGGACTCTTCATGCGTCTCCTCTCGAAGCACAACTTGGGATGCAGTAACCCTAAACCCGAAACCCTAAACCCTAAACCCTAAACCCTAAACCCAGCCCTAAACCCTAAACCCTAAACCCTAAACCCTAAAGGGATTTTACGGGGATTATATTACCCTAAAACGGCTACAGGCTACTCTACTACTAGGAAAACTTGGGATGTGTCCCCCTCCTTTAATGGGGATTAGGAGTACCCCCTAATTCCTTAGTTGCTGAGTTCATCAGCCCCCTCATAAAGTATGAACTTTCAGTTCTATAGGGGATTAGAGTAACCCTACTTACAATTCCGATTAAGGACTGATAAGTATAAGAGGGAGCCTCCCAAACTAGAACCCGTGCTTAGGGAATTTAGTGCTCAAAGGGGGTTGAGAGGGGGATAAATAAGGCACCTACTACAGCAACTCCCACGAACCCCGAAGAAAGAAAACAACAAAAAACAAACAAGGAAGCGAATCCTGAACCCTCTCTAAGGGTAGTTACATGGTCCCTTCGTATGGGCCCTTAAAAGGGGACCCCTTCCATGCCCATTTTTTCTCCCCTATGCAAATTAAGGGTCCGTGAAACTACCCTTAGACCCTCATTTCGTGTGTCGACCTTCTGCTGAAGTACATAGGTTTAGGGTTTAGGGTTTAGGGTTTAGGGTTTAGGGGTTTAGGGTTTAGGGTTTAGGGGTTTAGGGTTTAGGGTTTAGGCATGTGCAAGCGACCTTCCATGCCAGCTGCCTGAAACGGAACACCCCCCCCCCCCCCCCTGTTTGTCCTAAAGCCCCAAAGCCTGGCAGCTAGGAAAGGCTCACACACATAACCTGATGTTTCTTCAGACCTTATATGTCACATTGGTTGGTGGTCTCTTTAAGTAGGGTCTCTGCTTTGTAGGGGGTTCTTATTAGGGTACCTCGGGGCTACATTAGGGTATAAGGGTAACAGATAAAGAGACCACCGGCCTTTCTTACTTATATGTCATATCCAGGCGTGGAATGAGACACCCGTCACCCCAGACCTGAACCCAAATACCTCTAAGCTGCTTTGCATGGCCCCACCCTTTGAAGGAGGTTAGATACTAAGCGCCCATGAAACCCCAAACCCTAAATCCTAAACTACCCTCAGAACCCTTCGGCAGCCCCGTCCCTATGGCGCTGATGGTGGTGATGGCTGGCCACCGTCACCTGCCCAAAAGACATGCCGTGATGTTGCATCCACCTTCTTCCTGTCTCATCAAAAGTGGCCTCAATGGGGTGTTGTGGGTTATTCTAGTATAGTTCTATAGGGACCAGAAGGGAATACTACCAGTAATCCTTCCGACCCCTACTTGGCTGCACTTAGCAGGGTAGCCTTATGAAGAAACCCAATAAACTTAAAAAGGCTAAGGATCTAAAGTTACAGTAAAGCACCACAGAGCCCATATTTGGACATGGGTGTCCCCGGGCTGCACCGGACTGCAGAGAAGCGAGTGAAGACACAGAATACTTCGAGAGTTTATGGGGAGGAGGCTGAAGATAGTTTAGGGTTTAGGGTTTAGGGTTGAGGGCTGAGGGCTTACAATTCTGAATCCCAGTCACTACCGCCTAGACCCTTGTACCCAGATCCAACAGCACGTTGCCTGCGGGCCAGCCGTTGGCCAGGCGACGAGGACGTTTCCGCCATCAAAATGGATCCTCGGACAAAAGCCCTCAGGCCCTAAACCCTAAACCTGAAACTTCAAGCCTACAAGCCCTTAGGGGCTTCATGATCTCGGGCGCTTGAAGAGCTTCTGGGGCTTCTTGTCTTAAGGGGTTTTCAGGGTTTAGGGTTTAGGAGGGTTTAGGGTTTAGGGTTTAGGGTTCTTAAGGTTTTTGCAGGGTGGAGTCCCTAAGCCCGAGTTTATCCTCTCCGAGCCCATTGTGTTCTTCCGCTTTGGGCACCTCTCCCTTTCTTGTCCAAGGAGGCTTTAAGACCCGACCCTGAAGAACTATCTGCTTAAGATCCCCCTTGACAAAGAGAAGAGAAAATCATCCCTTGGTACCCCTATACGGAGGAATCTTTGCATTTTGTTGTTTTTATTTGACGGGGGGGTTCTTAAGCAAAAAGTAGTCATTAAACCCTAAACCCTAAACCCTACAATTTGCCCAGGTAACCCTAAACCCAAAACCCTAAACCCCAGACCCTAAACCCTAAAGGGTTTAGGGTAGCCAAGCCTCCGGCTTGCGGACTTAAAGAAGCGCATGTGGGAAGAGGATGGAAAAGAAAACATGCAAAGCAAGACCGAGGAGACTCTGGAGCCTTATCATAAAGTCTGCGCGGGATATATAGGGTTTAGGGTTTAGGGTCTAGGGCTTAGGGTAAGTGTCTCAAAAGAGGGGTACTGAAGGGGTGCAAGGGAGTCGGCTCGAATGCTCTCAAATGTGCCGACAAGTCCACACCTGCCGCACACCAAAGAAAAGGGCCACGATCGTCCTGGGAGTTCAGGGAGGGTTCGGGTTCAGACTTGGCTGCACTTAGCAGGGTAGCTATAAATTTAATTAAATTTTTAACTGCCTTAATTAAGAAACCCAATAAACCCAAAAAGCCTAAGGATCTAAAGTTACAGTAAAGCACCACAGAGCAGGGTTCAGGGACCCAGTGTACCCAAAACCCATTCCTCCGTCCTTCCCGGCTTTCCCGGCATCTTGCATGGTCGTTCAATTTCCGAGACTGAAACCAAACAGCGGTTTCGGTTGGGAAGTAGGCTTGGAGATGCCCTATAGGTCCCATAGGGTGCTGCGACTGAGGGCCCTGAACTCTCTAGGGTACCTTTCTTCACCCAAGCAACACGCCGAAAGAGAGAGCGTGCAGCGCAGGGACAACAAGGGCACGTGCTTGTAGAGTCCTGGGCCCCCAACAAGGCCTGTGCTCCGAACCCCGCGCCAAACCCTCAACCCTAAGCCAGGGAAGATGGCAAGATCGGACTATGAAGCTTGCCTGCCTCCTCGAATAGGGAGTGAAGAGTTCAGGATTCAAGGGTTTCGGAGTTTGGGAGCTTTGACGTTCAGGGTGTTTTAGGGTTTTGGGGGCTTAGGGTTTAGGGCTTGGGGTTTAGGGCCCCTAAACCCTAAACCCTAAACCCTAAACCCTAAACCCTAAACCCTAAACCCTAAACCCTAAACCCTAAATGAAAAAAGGGTAGCAGTTATGGCCTCCTGATTTCCTGCAATTGCTTGCACGGCGAGTGTCAGGATGGCGGGTGTCCGTCGCCGGCCCAGAGCCATGGTAGTTTCAGGGCGGGGTTTGGGGTTTACGGGTCAGGGGTTTAGGGTTTAGGGTTTAGGGCTAGGGTTTAGGGTTTAGGGTTCAGGGCTAAGGGCTTGGGCTTAGCCGCAGCTACCTAGGCCTCATCCGGGCATGGAGCTGGAAGTTGCAAGCTGCGCACAAGCAGCTGCTTTGGCTTGGGCAGCTCTCGTATAATCTAGTGGATCTCTGCCAGCAGACAACTATACGGCATATACGGTATGCTTATCTACACATAAATATGAATCAATATCTGGTACGTACACATATATATATATATATGTGCGTGTCTACAAGAATAGACACGCAAACTCACGAGTTTCTTTGCTGCTTATTCCTCATTCGCTGCACGTTTGTGCAACCAGAACATCCGAGGCAAAAAGCTGCGCAAAGCGGATTTGTGGAGTCTGGTTCTTGCATGTTGGGTTTACCGAAACAAAGTAAGTGTAGGGTGTAGGGCTTTAGGCTTAGGGTTTAGGGTCCAGAGTTTAGAGTCATTAGGGTTTAGGGTCTAAGAGTCTGGTTCCGGGTTCGTGCATGTTGGGTTTACCGAAGGAGAGGAGCCGGTAGTGTAAGTTTAGGGTTTAGGGCTTTAGGCATTAGGGTTTAGGGTCTAGAGTTTAGGGCTATTAGGGTTTAGGGTCTAGGGCGTAATTGTGATTCAGCCCTTTAGAACAGGTTGACATACCTTTTCCTGAGACGATATCTGTCACCCCTGGGTTAGAAACACAATCGGTCCAGGTGGCAACTGCTGGGTTTAGGAACCCTAAACCCTAAACCCTAAACCCTAAACCCTAAAGTTTTTTTGGCCCTGGTGCTGCTTTAGGGTTTTGGGTTGCACTTGGGGGCGCACCCAGGGTGCCAGCAAAAAGCCGGCTGGACGACTGAGGTTTAGGGTTTAGGGTTTAGGGTTTAGGGTTTAGGGTTTAGGGTTTAGGGCTGGGTGTTGAGGGGCTTCGGGTTTCAGATTCTATACTCCCCTTAGAACCTCAATAAAAACAATCTTCACAATATCCTCTTGGGTTGTATATAAACAAAAGTACAAAATAATCACAAGGGGGATATAGGATTCAGCATTGGGGTTTAGGGTTTAATCGCTCACACTCGGACCAGCCAGGCGAGGTACACACTGACTCATGATTCTTGTGAGTTTAGGGTTTAGGGTTTATGGTTTGATTAGTTTTTCTTGTGATTCAGCATTTGGGTTCCCGCGGTGGTTTCGGAATGGCCCGTATGTTACGTGGGTTCAAACCTCATGCAAAAGGACTGGTCTCTGGGCTACTTCACGCCAAGAGCCCCTGAACGCAAGAAGCCACTCCAAACCTGAAACCCTAAACCCTAAACCCTAAACCCTAAACCCTAAACCCTAAACCCTAAACCCTAAACCCTAAACCCTAACCCCAGAAAGTCGGAATATGGTTTAAGGATGATTTTCAGCTGGGAGTCCCTCTAGCATGCCTTGTTTGGCTGTGGGGATAAGGATGTTCCTAAACCCTAAACCCTAAACCCTGGACCCTAAACCCTAAACTCTAAACCCTAAACCCATTTTTGGGAGTCCCACATCCCTGTACCACCCCGGGCGAGCTTCCGATGGTATCCTGCCGTAGGAGCATCTAAGCCACAGTTCCCCTGAACCTAGGGTTTAGGCTTTAGGGTTTAGGGTTTCGGGTTTAGGGTTTAGGATTTAGGGTTTGCTTAGCCCCTAAAACCCCGTGCAGTGTGAAGTTTTCAGGGGGCCAGGACTGAAAAATAAGGTGAAAAGGGTGCTGCTCGGCTTCCTCGCTACCACCTGTGCTTCCCGGAAACCCAAAAACCCAACATCCACAAGCCTCGGAGGGTTTGGGCCTTCGGGCCGTCTTTAACGGCTTAGGTTAGCTTAAGGCGTAAGCCTAGGAGCCCTTCTCCAGCCTTGCGTCAACCCTCAACCCTAAACTCTAAAACCCTAAACCCTAGACCCTACAAGGTGCTTCTTCTTTCACGCGCCACCCACCAGGTCGTCGGCGCCCTGCCAGGCAAGCATGGGCTCCGTGTACCTGGGCTGACTCCCAGAAGGGTTTAGGATTCAGGGTTCAGGGTTTAGGGTTTAGGGTTTAGGGTTTAGGGTTCGGGGTTCAGGCTTAGGGGTTTAGAGGGTTAGGAGGGTTTATTTCGGGTTTAGGGTGTTTAGGGTCCAAAGTACAATGGTCAAAGGCTTTCCTAGACCTCTCGCAGGGCTTCCCTTGAGTTCCAAATACAAAACTAAGACATTTTGTCTGACAAGGAGACTCTATGGGGGTTTACGACATTGGGGTAACCCTTTTTGGGGTCGTGAATTTTTAAGGGGATCCTACCGTGTGGGGGGGGGGGGGCCTATTTTCGGGGTCCCCAAACCCTAAACCCTAAACCCACATCCTGCATTTTTTGCGGAACAAATGGCTGCAAACGCAAGAAGCAGCTCAACGAAACCTTGCAAAGACCATGCCCGGCTCTGTTTCCATCTCGGTCCAATTATCTGCCTTGACTTTTTTTCATGTTTTTTTTTGTTGTTTTTTTTTTTTTTTAGGGGGGGTTGGGGTTTAGGGTTGAGGGTTGAGGGCAATAAGTAGGGCAACTATGGATCTCACCTTACCTAGGGCACTTAGGGCACTTATTATCATGAAATTATCACCCTACTTCTAAGTACCCATGGCCTTCAAGTAAGGCCTAAACCCTGAACCCTAAACCCCAAACCCTAAACCCTGAACCCTGAACCCTAAACCCTAGACCCATGAACCCCCAAGTGTAAGCTTAGGGTTTGAGGGTTTGGGGTGTGCGCGCGCGCCGCCCTGGAAAAGTGGGAGGTGGTCCACTGATTTGGTTTCGCCTAAGAAGAGTTAGGGTTTAGGGTTTAGGGTTTAGGGTTTAGGGTTTAGGGTTTAGGGTTTAGGGTTTAGGGTTTAGGGTTTAGGGAACCCAACCCTTCCCAAAAAGCAGGGTAAACTGGCAATCCGGCTCCATGGCTTCCGCCGGGGGTCCAGTAGGACCCAGGCACAGCGCCAGGCTTCCGATCCAGGAACGTGCGAGTGTGGTTCCTGGGCAGGGTTTGGGGTTTGGGGTTTGGGGTTTGGGGTTTGGGGTTTGGGGTTTGGGGTTTGGGGTTTGGGGTTTGGGGTTTGGGGTTTGGGGTTTAGGGTTTAGGGTTTAGGGTTTAGGCTGGGCAGGGTTTCGGGCCTCTTCTTTACAAGGGCTTCCTTCAGCGCATGCCGCCTAAAAAGGATACCGCACAAATTAACCCCCCCCTCCCCTCCCCTCCCCTCATGTACGGGGGATAGAAAGCTGAAGGGGTTTTTGTGTGTATACTTACTGGTTTTGCGGGAACGAACGTCGTGGGGTCAGATCTCGAAATAGTGGTCTTGGGGCTTAGGGCTTGTAAAACAGCTCCTTGTATTTAGGGTTGCCCCGAAATGGCCATAACATAGAGATGGCCTATCCCAAGCCTTAAGTTCTCCTGCGCAAGAACACAATTCCTGCAAGTTCGTCAGTCGGCCGGGGAAGCTGAAAACCTAAAGCGCTTCATGGGCCAAAACGCCTCTTCTAGCCCTAAACCCTAAACCCTGAACCCTAAACCCCCTTTTAATTGTTGGGCGCGGCACGGCCAGTGCTTGGGGTCCATGGCCCCATCCTAGGAAGGGTTGATGCTCAGTTTGCAGGCGCAAGTCTATAGGGGAGCTCGGCAAGCGATGTGGCTGCCCTCATGAAGCCCTAAACCCTAAACCCTAAACCCTAAACCCTCAACCCTCAACCCTAAACCCTAAACCCTAAACCCTACATCTGGATGCATGAAAGGCAATTTGCCCCTAGGCTGTGGCCTGGACCCACATTAGAAATTTGCCAACCCCTGCACCTTTTAAGACGACACTTATGATTAAAGTAGGGGTTTCGGCTCATTGGGGTTTAGGGTTTGGGGTTTGGGGTTTAGGGTTTAGGGTTTGGGGTTTAGGGTTTGGGGTTTGGGGTTTCTGATTTGGGGTTTAGGGTTAACATGTCCGTCTCCCGATCCATTGGTATACCGGCCTTCATCATTAGACTCGGGCTTCGGGGGGTTTTTGATAGTACAACTATATAGGGTTTAGGAGGGTGCGGGGGGTTATGATAGTACATTTGTATAGGGACCATAAGGGAAGACTATTCGCAGTTCTTCCGTCCCCATTGTGTCCGTACCTATCTGCAAGCATTCGCGCTCGCAAGAAGAGTGGAGCACGACTGCAGGCGAAAGGAGCTTCACAGTGCAGAAGGTTCTTGGTAAAGCCCCATATGCCCCTCCTGTAGCCTTAAACCCTAATTAAACACTAAACCTTGAACCCGAAACCCTAAACCCTAAACCCCAAACCCGAAACCCTAAACCCATGCCCGGCTGCCGCGTGGGTGCGGAGTGGGGTGTTGACTTCGGCAAGGAGCGCAGCACCCTGGACAAGTGTGAGGGTTAGCGGGGTGCCTCACCGTGGGTTTAGGGTTTAGGGTTTAGGGTTTAGGGTTTAGGGTTTAGGGTTTAGGGTTTAGGGTTTAGGGCTAGCTACGTTTGGGGTGAATCACCATGGCACCAAGACGCTATAGACATCTTTTAGGTACGGCTCCTTACGTCTTTTAATAGCCAAGAACTGAGAGAAAGTTAACTTTATCTCAGGGTAGTTGCATGGTCCCTTAGAATTGGGCCCTGAGAAGGGTGCCCCTAAAATACCCCATACAGATTAAGGGCCCATACTAAGGCCCAATGAAACCTCAGGCTTTAGTGAGCTCCTCTCACCATTGCCTATGAGAGCAACTCTTGGCTGAGTAAGAGAATTCACTTCCAGACGCCAGCATTGTGAACACCCTCTCTCCCTTCATCTAGACCCGAGCGTAACCTCGGAACAAAAACAAGGGGTGCCCTTTTTGCTTATAAGGGAACCCTAAACCCTAAAACCCTAAAACCCTGAAACCCTAAACCCTGAACCCTGAACCCTAATAAGCCGTAAAGTGGGGCCCGCCCTGGATCCTAGAATTCCTAACCCTAAACCCTATAAACCCTAAACCCTGAAGACCCGCGAAATCGCGCCGAGGCTCTTCGTGCATTGAGGCTTACGGCCCGGCATTCTAAGAGGCCCTCTACGTTCACATAGGCTTTTGGGTTTAGGGTTCAGGGTTAGGGTGTTTAGGGTTTCGGGTTTGGGCTTTAGGGTCCCTTGGAATACCTACTGAGTCATGCTTCCCGATTTTTGGCCCCCAACCCGTGACACTTTCACAGCTCAGCTTACCCAGGTTCCCCCGTAACCTGGGGAGAAAGAAAGGCTTGTTGGCTTTAAGTAGGTTGGTAAGGGGTCCTAAACAAGGGCACTACTGGGCCTCCTAGCAAAACATGCCTGGCACAGTGATACTCAGCAGAGACGCTGGAATACCTTGTAGGGGATATAGGGTTTCGGGTACGGAATTCCCAAGTTCCCGACTGAGAACTACAAGTAGTAAGCTCATAAGGCGGAACCGTACTCCCCCGAAAAAAGCACAGGGAAACCGCTGGTTCCCAAAAATAACATAGGGAGGCTCCCAGTGTCCCAGGCGCCTAAACCCATTTCCCTAAACCCCAAACCCCAAATCCTAGCCCTAAACCCTAAACCCTAACCCTAAACTCTAAACCCTAAACCCTAAAACCTAAAACCTAAACCCTAAACCCTAAACCCTAAACCCTAAACCCCAAACCCCAACCCCCCTAAGACGTGTCCGGCGTCCTGCAGGCTGATCACAGCCGCATGGAGGCAAGCCCCAGGCCATCCATACTTAAGGATGGGAAGCGAGGTCCTGAGGTTTAGGGTTTAGGGTTTAGGGTTTAGGGTTTAGGGTTTAGGGTTTAGGGTTTAGGGTTTAGGGTTTAGGGTTTAGGGTTCGGGGTTTAGGGTTTATGGCTTAGGGTTTGTTATTCAGGGTTCAGGGTTTAGGGTGCAGGGTTCCAAGCCCAAGGGATTCTCAGGGTGGCGACACTACAACTACATAGAATGCCGTGTCCAAGCTTTGGAAGAATTTGATAGTAGAAGGGGGGGGTTTCATGTTAGGGGAATCGGGCCTTTAGGGTTCAGGGTTTAGGGTTTCGGGTTTAGGGTTTCCCACAATTCCGGAAGGCCATCCTTGAAACCAAGAAACTCGAAGGCTTTATACAGGGAGAGTAGGGAGGGTGGGTGTCCGAGCCAGAGCGCCCCCTAAATAAGCCCTTATAAGCCCTAAGCCCTAAGCCCTAAACCCTGAACCCTAAACCCGTTGTTTGAGTGAGGTGCCCTAAACCCTAAACCCTAAACCCTGAACCCCTACAGCCGTGTTTTGGAGTTTGAGGGTTTTGGATTGCAAGCCTGCATTCCCCAAAAACGCTAACATGGAGACGAGGCTCTGATCCTTTGGCCCCACACCCACCTGTGAGGTGCACGTTGAGGCGTACTAAGATTTAAGGGCTTAGGGTTTAGGGTTAATTAATCCTAAACCCTAACCCCTAACCCCTAAACCCTAAACCCTAAACCCTAAACCAGGGCCTACTGGCTGAGGGGAAGAGCCCTTTACGAACCTAGGTTTCTCTCCTTGCGGCTGGGGGCGATGCGAGGGCCGGCACAATAATGCCACGCCCAACCCTAAACCCAAAACCCAAAACCCTAAACCCTTTTGAACCCTAAACCCTAAACCCTAAACCCTAAACCCTAAACCCTAAAGCCTAAACCCTAAACGCTTTGCTTACTTGGCTGACTTCTGAACCCCTCCTGAAAGTTTAACGTTTAGGCTCCTTATTGTAGTTGCTTCAAAAACTAAAAAGTTAAAGTCCTAGGAGCCAGCCAAAAGAAATCCAAGCTTAGTTGCTGAGTTCATAAGCCCCCTATAAAGTTTACACTTTCAACGTTTTCGGGGTTAAGCCCCCTTTTGTGAACCTGCGCTTTGCAACTGCCTAAGACGGGGAATGCGACCGCGGTCTTCTGGGAAGCTAAAAACATCATACAGCTTACGCTGCGACTGGGTCAGGATGCTGACAGAAAGCGACGCAGTTTGCAGCTCAGGGTAGAAATTCCCAAAGAGCCCAATATTGCTTAATTAAGGAATATTCCTTAAATCATATTAAGGGATCCTTAATATGGTCTAAGGTATATTCCATAAGTAAACAATATTGGGCTCTTTGGGTAGAAATTCTCCCAGCCCGAAGAGGCAGGCGGACAAACCAGAAAGTGTTGACCGACTGCTGGTCCTATAGCACCCAAACCGCTGCCTTTGAGGGTTTAGGGCTGTTGCCCACATCAAGAACGCGTCGGGCTCTGTCTTTGTTGAACTATTGAGGCTTTAGGCAGTTTGAGGGGTTTGTGGCTCAGGTCCAGGCAAGAAAGGCAGCCAAAACCCATGCTTGGAGCGCCCGGGGGAGCGCCAGGGGGGGCGCCAGGGGGCCAGAGGCAGCCACGTGCAAGGCTTTTAAAGGGTGGGTACGGCCTATGAAGGCCAGGTGCGAATTTAGGGTTTCGGGTTTAGGGTTTAGGGGCCTCTTGAAGGGTAAGGTTAAGGGTTTATGTTCCGGGTTTGCCGTTTACGTTGTTTCGGGTTGAGGGTCTAATTTAGAGTTGTTGTTTCTCTTGCAACAGGAGTACCCTAAACCCTAAACCCTAAACCCTAAACCCTAAACCCTACACCTTTATTTGGGGTTCAGGGTCTCAATTGTGGCTTGTGAAAGCTCAGTGCCGCCCCCCACACCCCCTGGGTGTGAGGGGCGCCATTTCCGCATTGTACTTACTGCCGCTGCGCGGCGAGACGCCCTAAACCCTAAACCCTAAATCCTAAACCCTAAACCCTAAAACCTAAACCCTAAACCCTAAGCCGCCTTCTTCCCGCTCTTGCAGTAGCCAAGCCTCAGTTCGAGGGCCCGAAGCGACGGGGCGAAGAGGCTCTTCTGGAGGGGAAAGTTCTACCAGATTCTTGGGTTTCGACGCAAGGGTTTAGGGTTTAGGGTTTAGGGTTTAGGGCTTGGGGGTTGGGGTTTAGGGTTTGAGGTTTCGGGTTCGGGGTTTCTTGGAGTCAGGGTTTACAAGGCTTTCAAGGTGCAGCCTGAAGGCTTTCTCAAGGTGCAGCCCTGCACGGAGTGAGAAGTAAAAAGGGCTCATCTTGCAGGGCCCCCTTAGTAACCAAGTATAAGTGTTTAGGGTCTAGGGTTTAGGGTTTGGGGACTAGCAGTGTAGTTCTAACCCACTCATAAGCCCCTTAAGTACCTAAAAGAGCTATGGGTGATAATCGCAGCTACTATTGGGTTGCTAGGCACGCTGAACCTCCAAGCCTAAACCCTAAACCCTAAACCCTAAACCCTAAACCCTAAACCCTAGATGGGTGTATGAACCTCTTGCAAGCCAGCAGCTGCAGTGTGTCGAACGGAGGCAGGCTTGCTGAAACGGCCTGTTTGGGAGATGTTGGGCTGTTCTACAGGATTACAAGGTTTAGGGTTTAGGGTTTAGGGTTTAGGGTTTAGGGTGCTGATGGTGGCTTTTGGTGAGTTCTTTTTTTTGAAGGGTTCCTTTGACATCTTCGTGCGTGTACATCTGGGTGTCCTTTTTGGGGATGTTCATAATCAAAACATACTACGCATGTTCGCATAGTGAGTCCCTTCTCGCAATTCTGGGTTTTTGCAGGCTCCTGTGACCATATGGAGACTTTTTGCTTAGAGATTTTAAAGAGCTGCTTGGGTATGTACACAATCAGATTATATATAAATACATATATATATATATATATGTCTGATTATTATTACTATGATTGTGATTATGATTATTACTAGCATTGTTATTATTCTTAGAAATATTATTATGTAGATTTACGGCATGATGTCTTCTGTGACATCAAGCGAGCATCATGAACTTCAAAATGGGCCGCAAGGTGAGCATCATGAGCATCAGATGCTCTCAGCTGCTCAAACTTCGCCCGAGCACGGGCCCACCATGAAAGCACGCGAACATCATGAGCATCAGCTGCTCAGGCCTTGCCCGAGCACGGACGGGTTTAGGGTTTAGGGTTTAGGGCTGCTCAGGCATTGGCCGACCAACAAAGCAAGCAGCATCAGCTGCTCAGGCGCTGCCCGATAATCAGCGTCTGTCGATCAGGCGCTGCCCGAACACGGGCCATCACGCCGGCGAGCACCATGAGCATCATCAGCACAAACTGCTCAGGCGCTGCCCCAGCCCGGGCCGCAAAGCAAGCATCATGAGCATCAGCTGCTCAGGCTTGGCGAGAGCCCACAAACGAGTAAGCATCATCTCCCCAGCACCACCAGGCGAGCATCATCTGCATCAGCTGCTCAGGCGCTGTTCAGGCTTGCCCGAGTACGGGCCATCAAGCCCACCCTACCATAACCAACCCTAAACCCTAAAGCCCTAAAGCCCTAAAGCCATATAACCCTGGATCCCAAACCCTGCACCTCCAGGCGGCGGCTAAAGTTCCGCGCCAGGGACCTGGTTTCCAAGGGAACTAGATATCCGCTGTTGTTTTTGGGGTATTTAGGGGTCTAGGGCTTCGAGCTTAGGGCTAGGGGCTTGGGGTTGTTCCTGCTATTTTCTTAAGAACCCGTTTTTGCCAGTTTTTGCTTGTCTAGGGTTTAGGGTTAAGGGGTTTAGGGGTTTAGGGTTTAGGGCTAGGGTTTAGGGGGTAGGGTCATGGGGCTCAGGGTGTTTTAGGGTTTGATTTAGGAGTTGTGCCCGGACATCCCAGTAGACTCGATCGAGCAGAGGACGGCCTCTTGTCACAGCTGTGCACCTGGCCCTAAACCCTAAACCCTAAACCCCAACGCAACTTGTTGCAGTCCGATACCTGGCAACCTGAGATCCCAAATGCTCCCCGAACTTACCGTTTAAGGGTAGTTACATGTGCCCTTGATGTTACCTCCTTTAAAAGGGTGCTGAAGTATGGGCCCATGGGTTGTATAGGGTATATAAGGGGCATATAGGCGGTCCGCTTTCAAGGGCCCATACGAAGGGAGCATGTAGCCACCCAAAAATACCGGGGAACAACGCACTTCTGAACTACGGTTTCGGGCTTGGAGGTTAAACTTAATCCCTGTTCTCCAGGAAGAAAAAGGACAGCCCATAACCCAAAAATTAAAAAGGATCCCTAACACTGATTTAGGTTAGGTTCGCACCAAGCAGCACATCGTCCTCGAAGATAGTCGCGCATGGCCACCTCGAAACTACCCAAAGAGCCCAATATTGCTTAAGCAATATACCTTAAACCAAATTAAGGATCCCTATATGATTTAAGGAAGATTCCTTAATTAAGCAATCTTGGGCTCTTTGGGTAAATGGAGCAGAAATCTTACACCCTAAATCCTCCACCCTCTGGGTCAAGGCGAGCCTAAGCCCCTAAACCGAAAACCCTAAACCCTAAACCCCAAACCCTAAGCCCTAAATCACGGTTGGACCGAAAGCCCTAAATCAGGGTTGGGGGGGTGGGGTGGGCGATATGCAAGGCGACTGACATGTCTTCGCCGTGAGCATTGACAGTTTGGGCAGGAAGGAGACGTAGGGTTTAGGGTATAGGGCATATCAAGGGGCACCTATGTAACCCTGCACTTAGGAGGGTAGCAAACAAAAAGCTTTTAGCTGCCTGCTTAAGAAACCCAATAAACCCAAAAGGCTACGGATCTAAAGTTTATTGTCTGATTCAGAAGCCCAATAAACCCAAAAGGCTACGGATCCAAAGTTACAGAAAAAAAACACCACAGAGAAAAGAAGGGGGGATGCTGTCTTCGGGGTGTCCCGGCTGGCCTCTTCGCTAGGATGGCCTCATAGATGCGCCTCGTGGGGTTTAAGGTTTAGGGTTTAGGGCTTAAGGTGTAGGGTCTAGGGTTCGGGGTTTAGGGGTTAGGTTTAGGGTTGCAGGCTTACGTTTCGGGGTTTTGATTACAAGGTTTCCAACGGAGAGGGGTTTAAACGACAAGGGTTTAGGGCATGTAACTCAAGGGTTCCCAAATGCTCCCCACTACTCGCGAAGGCTCCCTATAGGCTTCCCCAAGGTTCTGTAGATACCTAGCCCCCATGAACCCACCCGCCTCCCTGAAACAAAAAAACAAACCCTAAACCCTAAACCCTAAACCCTAAACCCTGAACCCTGAACCCCATGAGCCAATCCGAGCAGCCGGTGGCTTAGTGCCAAGGCAGATTGGGGATCGCAAGGGCAGTGCTTCTTCCCCAGCTCCTGGGGTTTAGGGTTTAGGGCTTAGGGTTTAGGGTTTGGGGTTTAGGGTGCAGGGTCGAAGTAGTTTCAGAATTGGGGGGAGGAAGGGTTTTATGTGCCCTACAATGGTTTTGAAGCGTTCTGGGTGTGAGGATTTCAGTGCTTCTTCCCCAGCTTCTCTGAAACTGATAGACCTCGAGCCAAACCCTAAACCCTAAACCCTAAACTCTGAACCCCTGTTCTTAAAAGCGATCCCGCGATCTGCCAGCCTTGGCTAAGGATGCATCGTCGTATGCCTCGGTAGCCCAGCAACCATCTCACAATAAGGGTACCCTTCTTGGGGTTTAGAGTTTAGGGTTTAGGGTTTAGGGTTTAGGAGGCCCAGAACCAAGGAGAATAGAGAGAAGAGGGTACCGCTGGGCTACCCAGATGCTGAAACAGCGGGCCAGAAGCGGTAGCGGCCGTGGAGCCCAACCTCTGACGGAACAGTTCAGGCAGTTTGGGGTTCGTAGGTTTTAGGGTCCCTAAACCCTATAGGGTTTGGGGTTTGGGGTTTAGGGTCTGGGGTTTAGGGTTTGGGGTTTGGGGTTTAGGGTTTGGGGTTTAGGGGGTCGAGGTCGCAGGGACTAGGCGAGGATTCTCGATTGGGGCGCCTGGAGAGTGGGCTTACACCGGACACCAGGCTGCGTGCATTGCCACTACTGCCCATGCGCTCCACAATGTGCTCAACAGTTTAGGCTTTTGGGTCTGGAAGGTCTCTCTAAATCCTAAGCCCTGAACCCACCAAAACTCTGGGAAACATTACAAACCCTAAACCCTAAACCCTAAACCCTAAACCCTCTCTGACCCCTAGAAACTCGGGGTGCGCGACCGAAATCCTTGCCCCCCCGAAAAGCATGGCATGGCCTTTGCAAGCTCCCGCACCGCGTGCACGCGGCGCGCCTCCCCCAAGGGGCCCTCGAGGTTGATCACAAACCTTTGCTGCAGGGTTTAGGGTTTAGGGTTTAGGGTTTAGGGTTTAGGGTTTAGGGTTTAGGGTCTAGGGTTTAGGGTTGCAGGGTCTTGGTAGCCCCCAGAAACCATATTCAAATAAGCGCACCCTTGCTTGGGTTGGTTACTTCATAAGGGAACCTCGAACCACAAAGTTCAGTAGGGTTTTGTCAACTAACCACTAAACCCGAAACCCTAAACCCGAAACCCTAAACCCTAAACCCTAAACCCTAAACCCTAAACTACAACAAGACCACAAGGCCATTCAGGAGTCTGGGAAGCTTTTGTTGTGGGTACTTTGACGCAGCTCGGAGGCGTCAACCCTAAACTGCTTCCGGTCTCACCCTAAACCCTAAACCCTAAACCCTAAACCCTAAACCGCACCTACAACCCCTACGCTTGAAGATCAACTTCGAGGTGCTCTCTGACTGAGATCTCATGGGTTCCCCTACCACCCCCCTCGATACCACCCCCCCCTAGGTTCCCGCCATACGTACGGCTATTTAAGGATTGTTAAGCCTAACTCAGGTTATGTAAGGAGGGAACCTAGGGGGGTAGTATAGAGGCGGGTAGTCCCAAACCCCAAGCGCAGGTCTTTGACTCAACCCTAAACCCTATAAACCCTAAGCCCTAAGCCCTAAGCCCCAAGCCCTAAACCTAAGCCGTGTCTTCTGTTCAAAGGCGTCGGAGTCGCCCAGCTTTGGGTCTTAAGTATGATGCAAAAGAAGAGGAACCAGCACAAACATGATATATAGGGTTCCCCTATTACCACCCTCTACTACCGCCTTCCCCAGGTTCCCCTCCCATAATTAAGTCGATTTAGGCAGTCAAGCCGAATTAAGATTAGGAAGGGGGGGGGGGGGGCGGGTAGTATGGTAGGGAAACCCATGAAGAGAAACCAGCACAAACATGATACAAAGCAATAATGCCAACCATGAGACTAACACTCGTCTAAAGAATCGCAGTCATCGGAAGTCAAGAAAAGTCGTATCCAGAATGGCCAAACAGCCACCCTAAACCTAAAAACCCCAAACACGCCATGCACCCTCATGACTCGACGCCCCCCCCCCCCCCCCTTTTCTTCTTAACAGGCTGTTTAGCCATTCCGGGTTCCGTAGCCCTTACATCCAAAACCCCTATGTTAACTGTACAATTTGGGATGTTCCCCCCCCCCTTATACTAACAGTCCTTTATAGGGATTACAGTACCCCGTACTAGAATCTCTGTTCAGGACTGTTAGCGTTGGGGGGAACATCAACACAAAAATGACTCACCTCCCCCCCTCTCAATTAACAAAAAAACAGGCCCGGAACCCCCTGAATTCAGAAGCCTCTCGCTCAGGATTTTGTATTGGACAAGTGGAGCTCTAAGCCAGAGACTGCAGGGGCTGTAGCCTTAAGCCAGAGACTGCGAGCCAGGGGCCCTGACCAGAACCCAAAACCCTAAACCCTAAACCCTGAAGCCCCAAACCCTAAACCCTAAACCCAAAACCCTAAACCATAAACCCTAAAGCGACTGTCAAGCCAGAGACTGCAGGGGCTGGGAGCCCGAAACTAGAGACTGCAGGGGCGAGTTTTTAAAGGCCTGAGGCCTAAGGCCTAAGGCCTAAACCCTAAACCCTAAACCCTAAACCCTAAACCCTAAACCCTAAACCCTAAACCCTAAACCCTAAACCCTAACCTCCTCAATGGAGGGCCCAGGAAAGGGATTGAATCAATGCAATGAGGGGGTGGGGGGGCGGGGCCCAAACCCCCAAACCCCAAACCCTAAACCCCTAAACCCCTAAACCCCTAAACCCCTAAACCCCTAAACCCCCAAACCCCTAAACCCCTAAACCCCCCAAATCCTAAACCCCAAACCCTGGACCCCCCGCTCAAACCGACGACGGTGCGCACGTGATCCAGCGGTCCTGAGTTGCTGAGTTCAGAAGCCCCCCAAAAAAGTCTAGACTTTCAGTTCTATAGGGGGTTATAGCATCCCAAAAAATGCAAAGTGCACTCATTCAGTTTCTACAAAACCCTAAGCCCTGAACCCTAAGTCCTAAGAGCCAGCCAGAAGAAAGCCAAGGGTCTGCAGCGAAAGTCCTCGGTGGCTGCCGTGGCTTCGGACCTGGGGCCTCCCAGGCTTGGGATTTGGGGCTTAGGACCTGGAGGGTTGGAGTGGTTGGACTGTTGGGGCTTGTGTGTTTGGGTTTACGTAAGTTTGGGGGTTTCGACTCTCTCGGGCTTAGGGTTTAGGGTTTAGGGTTTAGGGTTTAGGGTTTAGGGTTTAGGGTTTAGGGTTTAGGGTTTAGGGTTTAGGGTTGATGTGTGGGCATTTGGTTTGGTTTTTGGGGATTGGGGATTGGGGTCGAGCGCTTTTGTTGTTTTAGGGCTTTCGGAGTTTAGGGATAAGTTTTAGGGTTTACCTGGCTTACCCCAATTAGGGCTTAGGGTTTAGGCCCTTACTCAGGTGCTCCCTGGGGAGTTTTTGTTCGAAGCGCATCGAAACTTGAGTCAAGTCTTGCGGTAGGGGGTGCCTGGCCTAAGTTATACTTGGGCTTTCAGGCAGTTCCAGTATAATGCTGACTTTCTAAAGCCCAAGGTTCACGATATTGAGGTACCCAAACCCCGAAACCTGACGCCCTGAACCATTAGAGTATCTCAACGCGTCCTTGGGAGGGCTTTGGGTTTAGGGTTTAGGGTTTAGGGTTTAGGGTTTAGGGTTTAGGGGACCCCGAAGGCTTCACAGGCTGTGGGTTGCAGGGTTTAAGGTTTTTGGACTTCTGGGCCTTGTGGGTTTAGGGTTTAGGGTTTAGGGTTTAGGGTTTAGGGTTTAGGGTTTAGGGTGTGGTTGACTTGGGGCCAGGAGCACTCATGTGATCTCCGCGCAGTTTATCCTTCTCAGTCACCCCCGAAACGACCGAAAACCCAAGCTCAACACACGTGACCACTATTTGCTTAAGAACCCCCCCACTCCCCACCCAAAACAAAAGAAAAAACAAAATATAATAAATAAATAAACAGCAAAAAACACAAATTAATAATCCCTATCTTGCCCTTAGAAGGAAGAATGTGTCTTATTCTTTGGGGGTTCTTAAGCAAAAAAGTAGATGAACATCCAACCCTCCTGCACCCAAACGCTACACCCAAGACCACCTAAGCCTGACCCCCTCAGCCTTTCCGAGTCCGAACACGGCTAAACCTAAACCCTCGTTGGCCCCCTTAAGCTCTAAACCCTAAACTCCGAACCCTTAACGTTCTGGAACTGTAAGCCCCAAACCGTAAGCCCTAAACCCCAAACCCCAGGCCTTCCCACGGTTCCGCCGAGGGCCCAGGTGGCGCTGGGGGCGCACTCGGCAGCAGCACCGGCGGGGCCGGCGAGAGGGGATGCAGAAAGTAGCCTCAGGCACCGGCGTGCTCGGTTTAGGGTTTAGGGTTTAGGGTTTAGGGTTTGAGTTCAGGGTAATAAGGACCGTGCTACTTTGGGTGGGCCTACGTTGGGAAGGAAGGACGTGCCTCGAAGCCCTACAGAAACGCTGGAAGCCCTCGGCCCTCCGCTTGAAGCACACCGCGCTTTAGGGTTTAGGGTTTAGGGTTTAGGGTTTAGGGTTTAGGGTTTAGGGTTTAAGGTCCAGGGTCACCCCTAAACCCAATTGCACCCTGACATGCGCAGGCAAGCCCGGAACCTTCCTCAGGAAACCCGGCTCCTGCCAGGCATCTATGTTCAAAGGCCCCAGGAGCCTAATGCTAGCCTCCCTGTCCCTATGGCTAAGAGTTTAAGGGTGCAGAAACAAGATCCATAAGCCAGTGGTTTAGGGTTTAGGGTTTAGGGTTTAGGGTTTAGGGTTTAGGGTCTCGTCTTTTTCCCACCTAGCTGACTTAGCTGGTGACAGGGTCCGGCCAGTTCTCAATCGAGTACCCCAGCTGCTCTTGCATGTCCTTCAACTGGCGCAACAATCGCGGGTCCAGCTGCAGCAAAGATTCCTGCGCTGCCTGCATGCACTCCTTGTCATTCGAGTGGCCGGGATCAGAGATGGCATTGTCATAGGTGGGGTTGACGTTCAAGTCCTCCACCTTCACTGTCTCCCACAGCCGGAACAGGTCCGATTCTGGGACGGTGTCTGCGAAGAGGAAGTGAAACAGCCTCTGGACCACGTCGTCAAAGCCTTCCGACGACTTGGTGATCTCCTCAAAGCGCACAGGGAAGATCTCATCCGCACTCGTGTTCCTGTAGAGATCCACCATGAAGTGAATGGTCTCAGACATGAGAGGCCAGAGGGCCATGAAACCCTCCAGAGGGCCCATAGACATTATCTCGGGCCACGGGGCCACACCCAAGATGCCGTACTCCTCTCCCCGGTGATGATAGCAGTAGGCCGAGATGAGCATGTCCTTAGGCTTGCGAATGGCATGGGCTCCCCGGATGGGCAGCGCGCGGACGGTCGCCGCGCCCTTGGCCGCCAAGAAGTCCTCGGTGCGGCCCAGGTTGTCCCATTGTATGGGCATGTCCAGGCGGTCGGAGCACGCGGCAGTGTTATCCGCTGTGGTAAGGTGGCTGTTCGTGTTCATGTTCCAGCGGCAGGAGAACGGGGCATCTAGGGTGTCCAAGGCACGCCTCATCACATTGCGAAGCAGGTTGCTGCCAGCTTTGTGGTGCGTCGCCACGAAGAAGTAGTGCTTCTCCCATGGCTTCGGGCCCGCTTCTTGCGAAGCGGCCGCTTTACCTCGGCTAGAAGCCCGCGACTGCAGCAGCGACATAGGGGCATCACGACAGCTGTCGTCCAGTACGGCTGCACCTGACTGTGAGCTAACGCCAGAGACGCCCAGAACGAGCAACGCTGAGAACAGATGAAGCATGACCCTTGAAGTCGTCCTTAGTTGCTGAGTTCACAAGCCCCCCAAAAAGCGAACACTTTCAGTTCTGTAGGGGTTGAGGGTTTAGGGTGATTGTAGCATTCCAAAAAGTGTATAGTGTACTCACTCAGCTACCAAGCGTCTAAAGGACCTGGGACAGCGCGACAGGTGGCGGCAGTGGGATTTCGGCCGCCATCTTGAGCCAACTATCGAGGATTGCGTTCAGGGTTTAGGGTTTAGGGTTTGGGGTTTAGGGTCGTCAAATCCCCAATGCCACAACGGAAAAAAGACACTCGCAACTCCTGAACCACCGCCCAAAGCGCAAACAAAACAACAAAAAACAAAAACACATGCCCAACATAATGATACTCCCTTACTACCGCTGCTGTTTTGTAGGGTTCTTAAGCAAATAGTTGCTTGAGTGCCTGAATCCTAAACCAAGCCTCAGCCCTCAGCCCTCAACCCCTGAACCCCTCAGCCCCTGAACCCCTCAACCCCTCAAGCCCTCAGCCCCTGAACCCCTCCCCCCCCGAAACCTAAACCCTAAAACCTAAGTGTTTCAGACGAGGGATCCGCCAAGGAAGCCGCACGCGGCGAAGGAAAGATAGCCAAGGGCATGGTATTTGGACATGAAAAAAGGGGTTTAGGGCTTAGGGTTTAGGGTTTAGGGTTTAGTGTTTAGAGGGTTAAGGGGGTTTGAGGGTTAGGATTAGGCGGTTTAGGGTTTAGGGTTGTTTCGGAAAGCTAAACCTTAAACCCTAAACCCTAAGCTCTAGTTAGGATTTATAGGGTGTGAAGGGATCACAGGGTTTGTGGGCTTTACGGGGTTGATGGGGTGGAACAGTGCCGGGGTCCTTGTTCTTGGGAATTGAGGCAAGGATTTTCACGACCCTTAGGGTTACTACTATTTGCTTAGGAAGCCCCAAAATACTAATCCCTAGATTACCCTTACCAGGAAGAATATTCCATTTTGGATTTGTTGTCAGCAATTCGTGGTTAGGGTTTAGGGTTTAGGGTTTAGGGTTTAGGGTTTAGGGTTTAGGGTTTAGGGTTTAGGGTTTAGGGTTTAGGGTTTAGGGTTTAGGGTTTAGGGCTCAGAAACCAACCCTGGTCGTTGAAAGAGCTGCGGCAGAGCCAGCTGACATGCTCCCTTGCTTCTAGGCCCCATCCCCAACAAGGCCGACAAAAAACCAAAGCCAGAAAGGCTCAAAGACCACAGGGTTTAGGGTTTAGGGTTTAGGGGTTTTGGGGTTTAGGGTAACCCCCCGACAAAGTTCCATGCACAAAAGCCTAACACACCCCACTAAACGGCCCCCAAAACCCCAAACGCCAGGCGTAGACTGTAGATCTGAATGACCGGAGTACTTGCCCATTGGTTCTTTGCCACCCCAGTTCTTACGGTACATCCTAGCCCAGTAACCATATATCATCATAAGGGCACCCTTTTGGTTGGCCACTGTATAAGGGAACCCAAAACCAAAAAAATAAATGGTACCACTGGGCAACCAAGGGTACATACAGACATTGAACGCCTCGCAGTTTGGAGGATGGTGTTTCGGGGATTCTGAGTTTAGAGAACCCAAGGGCGTATTCTTGAGGGGTTTAGGGGGCTCGGGTTTCAGTGCATCAGGGCTTTAGGAGGTTTCTTCGTTGACCAAGCCCCCAGCTGCCTTTGAAGCCCTTGAAGCCTCAACCCCTAAACCCTTTAGGGTTCAGGGTTTAGGGCCCCAAGGCATGGCCCCACGGGTCCATGTACCCATTTAGTATATACTTGGGTTTAGGGTTTAGGGTTTAGAGTTTAGGGTTAAGGGTTTAGGGTTTCATAGGAACCCCTTGCAGGCCCAGGTGTGTGCTATATAGGTCGGGTGGTTGAACCCTGAACCCTAAACGGCAGTGAGCACTCAAGGGTCGTGATGGCCCTAAACCCTAACCCTAAACCCCCAAGCCCTCTCCCCTCCCTTCTTTCGCAAAAAAAAGGAAAAAAAAAACAGGAATTAGGGTTTATAGGGTTCTTGCACCAAAGCCCACTAACCCTCACTAGATAATTTCGAGTTGCCCGAAATCCCGAGAAAACTGGCCCAGGGGTTCCCCAGCAATTTCTGTGGGGTCCTCAAGGGAGGGAGGTTCATGGGGGGGGGGGGGGGGGGTTGGGGGGGGGGGGGGGGGGGTGGGGGGGGTTAGGGTTTAGGGTTTAGGGTTTAGGGTTTAGGGTTTAGGGTTTAGGGTTTAGGGTTAGGGTTTAGGGTTTAGGGTTTAGGGTTTAGGGTTTAGGGTTAGCCTTGGGAACTCCGGGAAGCTCAGGTAGCCATAGGGAGCAGTGGGGAGGATGAGGGTTAGAATGTATGTATATCTTTATGTGCACATATCCATTGGGGGTGGTGGGGGGGGAGAGCTGTAGCATACCGATATCTGTAAATGTACATACCCCAAGGGATTCTGTAGGGTACCTGATTGTCGCTAAAGGGCACTATCAATAGGGGATCAAGAGTTTGTCATATCTTCCTGCGAGAGGCGCCTCCCAAAAAAAACAGGGTTCTAGGGTTGTAGGGTTCATGAGGTTATAGTGTTATAGGGTTTGGGGTTTGGTGTTAAACCTCTAAACCCCTAAAAAAGGGGTCGGAATAGTGTTCCCTTAGGGTTCCTGTATGAATATACTATGATAACCCAGAAAAACCTTATTCTAATCGTTCAGGCCCTTTACCCGGCTACCAAGTTATTGAGCTTTCAGGGTTAAGCGAAGGAATACTTATCCCTATTAAGGACTCTTAGCATAAGGGGGAACATCCCAAGATATATTCCTTGCTTTGCAAGATCTGGGAGGGAATCATGCATTCAAGCTTAACCATGGGCAAAGTGGGAGGAGAGCACCTCCGCAGAAAGGAGGTGCGGCCGGCAGCCTCTCAGAGAGGGCTTCTACGGGTTTCGGGTTTAGTAGGGCTGAGGATTGTGCAGGGCGGGGGCGGGGGGGGGTTCGGGGGCAGCGCGGGCGCTTCGGGACATGGTGTTTGTGTTACTATGGGGCTTGGAGGGTGCTAAAGGTCTTCGGCTTGGGTCCAGTTACGCTTGCGTCCTGCACGCAAGTCCGTTTTCTCCCTACCTTTGCAAACCCCGAGACCCCAAGCTCTAGACCCGTCCGCACGCACGGAAAGAGGGGTGTGAGGCCTATGGGCTTTGAAGTGTCAAAATCAAGGCCCGTTTGAGGGGCTACCAGTACACTTACCCTAAACCCCTTCAGGGAACCCAACCACTCATATGAACTTCAATGAACGCAGTCGAACTCGTATGCCCTAAACCCTAAACCCTCAACCCTACTCAACCCTCAACCCTAAACCCTAAATGAATCTCCCAAGGATTCATCCCCAAGTCCCTGACTTTGCACGTGGGCACAGCGCCGTTGCACCGGTAGGGGAGTAGCCGGGCCGTAAGAGTTTATGGTTCATATGATTTAGGGTTTAGGGGTTAGGGTAAGGGAGCATATTGAGGGACCTTGCAACGGCCCTTAGAGGACCCCTGAGGATATATGTTTCCCTGAATATTCTCCGAATATGGCCCTTATATTCAAACCCCATGGTAAAATCCTCGGCATGAGCCCCTAGAAGGCCTCTAGAACCCGATAAAGCAAGAACTCGACATCTAGAACCCGATAAAACAAGAACTAGACCATACTCTACCCCAAACCCTACAGGGGTATACCAGAAACTCACCCACCGGTAGCTGCGTAAAAGAGTCTTTGGGCAAGTCGCTCCGCAACGCCCGCAGGGGCAGCGCAAAGAACTGCCGGCACAACTTTTTGGAGGATTTCAGTTGCAGCAGGCCGTACACACCCCAAACCCTAAAGCAGGATCATCACTGCCGAAGCAAATGTATACACCCTAAGCCCTAAACCCTAAACCCTAAATCCTAAACCCCTAGCCCTAAACCCTGTTGGCAGCGTGCACAGAGTGCGTAACTCCCTGGTGGCCATCTGCGTCAGCAACCCTGAACCTCCAAAAATACCGGTTTTCGGCTCCTCAGCTGGTGGCCGCAGATTCCGAGCACAGCTAGTAGCCCTAAACCCTAAACCCTAAACCCTAACCCCCAAACCCTAAACCCTAAACCCTAAACCCTAAACCCTAAACCCTAAACCCTAAACCCTAAACCCTAAACCCTAAACCCTAAACCCTAAAGCCTAAACCCTAAGCTGGCTACTCTCACAGTCGCCCCAGGTGGGAGAGGCCAGGGACCGGAAGTGGTCCCCCTGAGTTGCAAAAAAGAAGTACACTACAGAACAGTCAGGGCATAGGGTTTAGGGTTTAGGGTTTAGGGTTTAGGGTTTAGGGTTTAGGGTTTAGGGTTTAGGGTTTAGGGTTTAGGGTTTAGGGTTTAGGGTTTAGGGTTTAGGGTTTAGGGTTTAGGGTTTGTGACGACTATTTGCTTAAGAACCCCCGAAAACTCGAAAACTGTGGAGCATGTTCTTCCTTTTTCAGAGCAACATAGGGATCATCATCATGATTTATTGGGGTTCATAAGCAAACAATAGTAATTCACAACCACGCCTCAGCCTTAACCCTAAACAACCCCTAAACCCTAAACCCCAAACCCCAAACCCTAAACCCTAAACCCCTTTCTGGCACGAGGTGCTTATGGGTCCTGGACAACATCGACCGCGAGGGGCGTCCTAAGTCGAAGCAGGGGCTAGTTCAAAATTGAGGGCCCTGTTTGCTGGCTTTAGGCTTTAGGGTTTAGGGTTTGGGGTTTGGGGTTTAGGGTTTAGGGTTTAGGGTTTGGGGTTAGGGTTTGGGGTTTAGGGTGTAGGCTTTAGGCTTTAGGCTGTAGGGTTTAGGGTTTAGGGTTTAGAGTTTAGTGTTTGGGGTTTAGGATGAAACCGCAACCGAGATCCAGCTTGGGCCCATAAACTTACGTCCACAAGATAGCGAAGAAAGCACCAGGGCTCAGCCGGGGACTTGGAACTGCAGAGCCCCCAAACCTACTCTAGCAGGTTTAGGGTTTAGGGTTTAGGGTTTAGGGTTTAGGGTTAGAGTTCTCTAGCCCTTTTGCACGCTTCTCACACAACACGTGCAAGGATGTGCAGACCTTCAAAAAAGAATGCAGCCCGCAGCCCTAAACCCTAAACCCATTTTGAAGCATGGACTGAGGTCGGCAAACCCGAAACCGCTGCCGGCGGGCCGCGGCAGCCCATCACTGCGATCCAAACTCCCTTTGCCACTCCAGATATCCTCGGGGCAAATGAAGGTGCTGGGGTTTTCTATACTGCACGTGGAGGCCCTAGCAAAATTAAAGTTTAGCGGTTTCTTAGGAACTACAGTACCCCAAAAAAAATATTCCCAAGAATCCCTAAGTTGTGAGGTACAGCTCAGAAAATTCCGGCAGGGGCCGGCATGCGCACCACCCACTCCGAAGCAGAAAGCAAGCCTGTCCATACTTTGGAGTAGACCCTGGAAAGAAGTATATACTTTTTAGGTACAAGTGGCTATCATAGGAGCCCAGAACCAAACAAAAGTATTAAAGTACTTACAAGTGGGTTAGAACTACACTTCTAATCGGTTACTAAGTACCCTGAACCTCCAAGTATTGTTTTCTTGGGCCCCTGCTAAAAGAGTCCGACCCCCTTGAAACTTGGGCGTAGCTGAGAAAAGGGGGTACATCAATCAGACCCTGTAAGCCCCCCGCGGTTTTTCTAATAAGAAGAAGAATAGAAAAATATGATGATGATGATGATGATGTTGGTGGTAATAACAAAACAATAACAATAGCGATGCCAATAACAATAATAACAATAGAAAAATAACAATAATGAACTAATGATAATAATAGTAATAATAGTAATAATAGTAAAAATAGTAAAAATAGTAATAATAGTAATAATAGTAATAATAGTAATAATAGTAATAATAGTAATAATAGTAATAATAGTAATAATAGTAATAATAGTAATAATAGTAATAATAGTAATAATAGTAATAATAGTAATAATAGTAATAATAGTAATAATAGTAATAATATTAATAATAATGATAATAAAAGTAGTAAATTAAAATCCAATTTCAACAAATGATCACAATAAAAATGCTGCTGCTGCTGCTACTACTACTACTACTACTACTACTACTACTCCTGCTACTACTACTACTACTACTACTACTACTACTACTACTACTACTACTACTACTACTACTACTACTACTACTACTACCACTACCACTACCACTACTACCACTACTACTACTATATACTACTACACTACTACTACTACTACTACTACTACTACTACTACTACTACTACTACTACTACTACTACTACTACTACTACTACTACTACTACTACTACTACTACTACTACTACTACTACTACTACTACTCATCATAATAAAAATAATCATAATCATATTAAGCATAAACAATCATTCGTAAGGGGTCTCTAGGAAAAAACACACTTGCCAGCGAGCGACGGCGAGTGTCGCTCTGGGAGACCTTGGCTGCAGGCGGAAGACCCTTAAAAGCCCTTAGCCTAGGGTTTAGGGTTTAGGGTTTAGGGTTTAGGGTTTAGGGTTTAGGGTTTAGGGTTTCGGGTTTAGGGTTGAGGGTTTAGGGTGCCCATTAAATACCCTTCCTGAACCCGAAGCCCTACCCGTGACTCCCAAACCCTGCAAAGATGTAGAGCAGAGCCCTGCCAAACTAGTAGGTAAATCCCAAACCCTACAAAATAGCAGCTTATAGCCTCTTAGAGGAGGCCCGGGTGCACCCCAAACCCCTCTGTCTCTCTCCCTAAACCCTAAACCCTAAACCCCAAACTCTAAACCCTAAACCCTAAGCCCCTAAACCTCTCTCTCCCTCTCTCTCGCAGATTCGGCTCTAAGACCTCCCTGAGCCCTTCCGACACCTAACGCCCCACCCCCAAAAAACCAGAGCAGTCGCAGCCCCTGAGCCCCTTGAGCCCTGAACCCAATCAGTTCCCCAATGCCCTAAACCCTAAGCCCTAAGTAAACCCTAAAGCTTTTGTTCATCCTGAACCCCAAGAGGTCCCCCCCAAAACCCTACCATCTAAACCCTAAACCCTAAACCCTAGCCCTAAACCCTAAACCCTAAACACTTTACAACTTCGAGCCATGGAGCCGAGGGCTGCACGCCTGAGGCAGCTTCGGGGGTTTAGGGTTTAGGGTTTAGGGTTTAGGGTTTAGGGTTTGGGGTGTAGGGTTTGGGGTGTAGGGTTTAGGGTTTAGGGTGACTTGGGGTTCAGGAGTTTAGGGTGAGTCGGGGTTCAGGGGATTCTGGTCTAGGGTTTAGGGTTCAGGGTGACTTGGGGCTAGGGCGATTTTTAGGGTGTAGGATCTACAGGGCTTAGGGCGGTGTCTTAGGGCTTGGAGACGTGAGGGTTCGATTTGTTTTTTCCCTGCACGCAGCTGCATCGCAGGGCGGATGACGAGGTTCAGGGTTTAGGGTCAGAGTTTCGATTCTCACAGTGGCATAGGCGGCGAGTTAGGGTTGTGGGTTTCGGGTTTACGTGGGTTTAGGGTTTGCGGGTGGACTAACAGGGTTTCTTAAAGGTGGAGGGAGAGTAACAAAAAGCTCCACCTTATCATTCATAAAATTGCAAGTGAGGGAGCCTAGAAACTTCATCCTCCAGAATAGCCTGGGAATTAAATGGGCTCCCCTTTTTAAGATTCTCGGGGCTTCTCGTATTGGCACCTAGCCCTAAACCCTAAACCCTAAACCCAAAACCCTAAACCCAAAACCAACTCGCAGCCCAGGAGCTTGCAATGGCAGCTTCAAAGTCCGCCATTGCCTGGGCTTGGGATTCCTCAACAGCCCGTATGTTGAGGGCTGAGGGTAGGGTTTAGGGTTTAGGATTTAGGGTTTAGGGTTTAGGGTTTAGGGTTTAGGGTTTAGGGTTTAGGGTTTAGGGTTTAGGGTTTAGGGTTTAGGGTTTAGGGTTGAGGGCCCAGGGCTTAGGGGATTTAAGGTAGGGTATAGGGCTCAGGTGCTGCCAAGCCCAAGATAAGGAGGCGGCTACCCTTATCGAAGAATGCACGTATCCAATCCAGTGCTGCACCCTTTATGTGAGGTTTACAAGGGCTTCTAACCCTACAAAGGAACGAGGGAATAAGGGTCTTTAGGATATATGGGGTTAAGGAGTTACGGATCTAGAAGGATGCTGGGAGATGTGGGAGGAGAGTGCGGGGGAGCCGCTGAGGGCCGGAGCCTAAACCCTAAACCCTAACCCTGAACCCTGAACCCAAAACCCTATAAAACCAAAACCCTGAACCCTAAGCCCCCAAGATGCAAAGGCCAATTGCATCCAAGAAGCCACTGAGAGGCTGCTGGTGTCCAGCTTGCCTGAAAAAAGGGCGATTACATGGAGAGGGGGTTAGGGTTTAGGGTTTAGGGTTCAGGGTTTAGGGCTTAGGGTTTAGGGCAACATCAACCCCCCCCATCCTTGTATGCCCCCCGCTCACTTGCAGGAACATGAGTACAAATAAGTAGGGTTACCAGTGCCCGAAGGGGGGGTGATAACGATAGTTCCCCTACTTCTACTCCTACTGATAAGTACCCTAAACCCTGACCCTGAACCCTAAACCCTAACCCTCCAAGCATGGACCTCCTGGCGCACACAAACATTTGTAATCTTATGAGTGCGGCTGCCAATTCGCATTTTCCGGTAGCTTTGGCCCTGCGCACGACTCCGAAACCCTAAATCCTAAACCCTAAACCCTAAACCCAAACCCTAGAGCAGCTCGAAACCGTGAACCCTAAGCTCTTAGCCCATTTTAGAATCTAGGGCTGATAGGGTTTAGGGTTTAGGGCTATTAACCCTAAACCCTAAAACCTTAAACTCTAAACACCAGACCCAAACGTCTAACCCGACCTTGAACTCCCTAAACCCTAAACCCCAAACCCTAAACCCTAAACCGTAAACCCAAAACCCTAAACCCTAAACCCTGAACGGCACCGGTGTGATACGGGGTGGAGTGCTTGGGGGGTGACGTGCTCCCGAAGCACAAAGCACCAACAAGTCGAGGTCAGAAACCTCAGAGAGAAGAGAAGTACATCCTACACCCGTGGAAACCCCCAAGCCTCCCACAACCTACCCTAAACCCTAAACCCTAAACCCTAAACCCTAAACCCTGAATGAACCATCCCCTCAAGGCTCGCCTTCGCTGCGTAGCTGGACCAGCTCTGCTGGGGTGAGCCCGTCGACTAAACCTCAGGAAAATGGGGTTTGGGGGGTTGGGGATGGTTGTAGGGCTTGGGTTTGGGATGGCTTGGGGTTTAGGGTTTAGGGTTTTTAGGGTTTTTAGGGTTTTTAGGGTTTTTAGGGTTTTTAGGGTTTTCAGGGTTTATTAGGGTGTAGGGTTTTAAGGTTTGGGGTTTGGGGTTTGCGGTTTGGGGCTCTACAGATCTGCTTCTGGGCAATATCTCGGGCTGAGTCCCGGGTTTGGGGGCAAGTCTTGGTAGATCTGCAGAGCCGGGATGTGTTGCCTTCTTCCCTCTCTTCGAACCCAGACTCAGAGCATCAGCTGCGACTGCCTTATTCCCTTTCAACCCGAAACCCGAAATCCAACCTCTTTTGACCCCTAACCCCCCAAGCCCATATTTCTCTTACCCCTAAACCCTAAACCCCAGACCCATATTTCTACACCCTATACCCATCTCTCCCCCACCCCGCCTTCTTAGGCCGTACCCACCCTTTTCGAGGGTGCCTGGGAGAGTGGTGGAGTACGGCCCCCAGCCGTTCCTTTTGGGGACATGCCTGCCTCCTGCCTCCCTAGAAATTGCTTGGCCCCCCTCCCTCTTCCTGACTAACCTAGCCCCGTGAAGTCTTTGATGGTGGGAATTGAGGGCGGCAGCCCTAAACCCTAATTAAAAGGCAATGGTTTGGGTGGCCTGTTAAAGCTCACAACGGGAACGAGAAAGAAACCGAGTACCAATGAAAATTGTTGGACGCATTGAGAATGTGTGCCTTCGCATGACATGCCGCCCCCCCCCCCCCTCCCCCACACCCCTGGTACCCTAAACCCTAAACCCTAAACCCTAAACCCTAAACCCTAAACCCTAAACCCTAAACCCTAAACCCTCCACCTCAAACAGCTCCCGGCTTCAATTCTTGCAGCCGAGGGGGGCGTCGCATGGGACTCATGGAGGCTTCGCGGCAAACAAGTTGGACCTGGGTTAGGGTTTAGGGTTTAGGGTTTAGGGTTTAGGGTTTAGGGTTTAGGGTTTAGGGTTTAGGGTTTAGGGTTTAGGGTTTAGGGTTTAGGGTTTAGGGTTTAGGGTTTAGTACCCTAAAGAAGCCCTTAGGGGATTAAATTTCGGGGGGGGGGGGGGGGGGTGGGGTATCAGGTGGCCAGGTACTCTATAGAACAGTGTCTTAAAGGCTTATATGGGAATCCCAAACCCGAAGCCCTAAACCCTCATTCCCAAGGATATCTTTATTCTATTTGTTGTTTATTTTTATTCATTTATTTTTTTGGGGGGGTAAAAGGAGGGACGCTTGTAAGGGTTTCGGGTTCGTGGCTTGGCGCTGGGGCTCTGAGGGGGCTCCTTTACGGGCCATTATCGGGTTTATGGGGTTGAGGGTTTAGGGACCATCTAAAGGCATGGATGCAACTGGCACCCTTTCTAGGGCAGTATGGTCCTCCAAGAAACGTTTAAGCCTTCTCCCACGCGCACTTGTAAGGGTTAAGGGTGTCAGGTCTTAAGGGTGTCGGGTCGTACCCATAATCTAACGGCCGCAGCCCGCTGACATCTTGAAAAAGAGATGGTCGCATGAGGATTCAGATGATACCTGATCTTGTAAAGAATAGGCTTCGTGTTCTCGAGGTCGATTTAGAGATTTTTAGAATTTTGAAATTGGAGTCATATACCCTATACTACTCTAATCCCTAGTTTAAGGTTGATGAACCATAAACCCTTTTAGGGTTCACTGGGTCCCCGTAGCTAGGCTTCGGGTTCTTGAGGTCGCTTTAGAGGATTTAGAATTTAGGGTACATTCGGCTCCGTCTCATCACCTGGGGCCCTCCATGGCCTCACTCTGGTACGTCTGGTCTAGGGTTTAGGGTTAGGGTTTAGGGTTTAGGGTTTAGGGTTTAGGGTTTAGGGTTTAGGGTTTAGGGTTAGGGTTTAGGGTGCAACTTTCGGATTCAGACACAAGCTGCGAACTTCAATCTCAAGCCCTCAACGCTGTTCACAAACCCTAAGCCCCATGCCCTATTTCCGACTATCTGCTGAAGAACCCCACAAAAATATGAAAGATCAGAATCCCTATATTCTCCTTATACGGAGAGGAATATGCAGTTTTGGGGGTTCTCAAGCAAATAGTTTCGGGTCGGAAGTTACGACTGCCGAACCTTAGGCAGCTGCAGGCCCCCCCCCAAAGTCCCACTTAACGAGATCCAACAGCCCAACCCTGAACCGCGGCGTGGCTACAGATGCCCCCAGACCGGTTCTTGTTCAGGAACTCAAGCCAACAAGCCGCTAAGTTAAGGCTAGGGTTTGGGGTTTCGGGTTTAGGGGTTATACAATTATTGTTAAAATATACTATGCTGTTTTACTTACTATGCGAGTCAAACTAAGGAACCTGAGTTGAAGCTCCTCATCAAGAGCACGGTACAGAATGCAGCGCAAGCCCTGTCTGCATGCCACCCGAAAGAGCCCAATTCCCCTTAATTAAGCAACATACAAATATACCTTAACTTATAAATCTGGATCCTTACAATACATATATATATATATATATATTCTTAATTAAGGAATAATACTTTAGTTATGGTATAGAGTCCATAATTACAAGGGTATTGGGCTCTTTGCCACCCGGGGGAGCTTTTCTCCAAGGCATTGTCGTTCAAGAGCCCATTCAGATTTACTTGAAGAGCCGTTCGGGCTCAAGGTGCCCCAAAGAGTTTAGGGTTTAGGGTTTAGGGTTTAGGGTTTAGGGTTTAGGGTATGAAGGAATAGACCTCAAGTCATACTAAGGCTCCCTCTACAACTTAAGGGATCTTCCTTAAGGAGCCTTGGGCTCTGGGTAGTACACATCCCATGAGTGCCCACCGCTACGAGTCACCTTTCTTCGTCTGCGGTGTTTAGTGCGCGAAGAGATGGGGGTTCGAGGTCCCTGCTCAATTCCCCGCACCCTACACCCTGAACCCTAAGCGAGCGACGTCGGCGCCGCTGTAGCGCTCGAGTTGCGCGGCAACGAGCGGCAAATCCACATCCTCTCATGGAGCGGTGGGGGTGGGGGTCCTACGAACACAACAATCCTGGGCTAACATTGGGGTCTGTACTACTACAACTCCCGTCATGGTACACGAGCCATCGACCTTTCAGGATTCATTTGTGACCCAAACCCTCCCAAATCCCGCTCCCCCCCCCCCGCCTCCCCAACCCCAAAACGGGATGAAGGGCCCGTTCTAACCCTAAACCCTAAACCCTAAACCCTAAATCCTAAACCCTGGTTCCGGGGGGGGACGATGGGTGGCATGCTTCACCTCTCGCCCCGCTCTCCGGATGTTCAACCATCCTGAAAGTCATAGTTGGTGAGCTCTCAACATGATGGTCCCTTTTTTGGGTACCCTAAATATCAGGGGGTCCGCCTTGTTTTTAAGAAAAAACACCAAAAGGGGCCCGAATTTAGAGGAGTGACGTATGTAAGGATTGAGCTCGGTCTGCGTGGTAGGGTTCAGGCTGACTACTCAACCCTAGACTCAGTACTGTTGGGATACCACTGCTGCCCTTCCTACACGAACCCCGGAATACCAAGCCCTGAGGCAATAAATTTGTGTATATGGGATGTTGTTGGTTTAGGCTTCGGTTTGTAGGAGGGTTCATAACAGGCAGATGGGAGGTTAAAAGGGCTTTGCGGTTTACTTAGAGCGACACGTGCGGATTACTGTGCCATGCAGCCATTCAAATATCACCAGCACAGCACTTCCCCACCCAAGAATTCGCAGATTCAAAGCCCTTTGTGACAGTCAGCCCAAAGAGGTTCAGGATTTGAGGCTCAGGGTGGGAATTGGCTGAGCTGTCTGAACGAAAACCCCCAAAGCCGAACCCCTACATCGCGGCGGTTTTTTGAGTGTATAGGGTTTAGGGTCGACAAGTGCTGAAAGTCTTGCTTTTGGCCCGGTCCTCGGCTAGCACGATGTCCTGCCAGGGACAACAAGGGATGCTGTCAGACCCTACTAGGGTCGCGGTTTACGGTTTAGGGTTTAGTGTTTAGGGTGGAGGTGACTTTCTTTCTAGTTATGATTGATGTCCAGCCCTTAGTAAGCAAAACCTACGGAAGGCAATTTCTTTACTTAGGGGGATTTGACACGGGAGTGTTTCGCCTCAACCAGAGCCAGCTCGTCCCATGAACCTTCAGCTCGTTTAAAACACTAACCTCCCACACACACACACTGCAGGCCCCCCTAAACACTTTACGGCAAACCCTATACCCTAAACCCCTAAAGGCCCCAAAACCCTAAACCCAAAACCCAAAACCCAAAACCCCAAAACCCTAAACCCCAAACCCCAAACCCCAAACCCTAAACCCTAAACCCCAAACCCCTCGAGGCCCCTAAGCCCTGAGGCATGATGCCCCCCCACCCCCCCCCGCCCCTCCCCAGCCCCACATTGGGCCGCCTTGAGGAAGTGCTCAAGCATACGCTGTCGCGCTGCCTCCTCCGGCAACGGGATGTAGATCCTGGCGTCCCCCACGCACAGCGAGCCCGAAAAAAAAAAGAAATGAAGAACCCGAAAGTGCAGGGTTTAGGGTCTCGGGTTTTAGGGTTCAGGGTTTTAGGGTTTAGGGTTTAGGGCACCATGTAAGCGGGAAACCGAAACTCTGAACCCTCAACGTTCTGAACCCCTAAGCCCCTAGGCCCAAGAGGAACCTAGGAATAACAAGAGCTCCCTTTTTGGCTCAAAGGCCTGAGGACCTATTCGCGGTTCCAGCTTAGAGTCCTGAACTGCGGTCTTTCTCCTCGCCTGAAGAACACCCCCGAACATGTGCCGGGTTACTCAAGACTTTTAAACTGGAAGCTCAACCTTGTAAACTCCAGTGCAACTCTTTAATCCCTAACCCAAAAACCCTAGCTTTCCACCCTCTCGCGACACAGGCCTCTTCTCCAGCCGGCGACGGAGTGCCTCAACGCTTGGCAAATTCATGGGCACGAGGTTGAGGACAGATGTGCTAAGAAGCCTAGAAACGTCAGCAATTATCCTAAACACAAGGTCGCTTCAGGAAGTTGGTTCTTTCATCCACTTACTTCTCCGAAGAACCAAGGAATAAAGAGGGTTAACCTTCTATTTCTACTAAATATGGAACCCGAGAAGTTTAAAGTTCAGATATTGGCTGAGTAATCCCATGAGGGATTGCATCTTTCATCCGAGCCCGTATGGAAATCACAGTAGGCACTACAGAGGCTAAACTCGATGCTAAACTTGGAGCGCCCAGTCAAAGCTGGGTTTTTTAACTCACTAAACCCCAAGGGCTTAGGGTTGGGGGGGGGGGGGGGTGGTGTTGGAGGGAAACAAAGGCATTAAGACCTGTCTGCCCGAGATCCTAAGTGAGGCGTTCCTTAGTTGTCCAGTACCTAGGGCCCTAGGGGTTTTAAAGGTTAACCTTTGGGATTCTAAGGGGAATCTACTAACCCAAAAAGGTTAAAGGTTACCTACCCTCCTCAATCCACAGAGGCCCTAAAACCTTAACAATCCTCCTAGGTAGGATAAGGGGCACCCTTAAAAGGGAACCCCTTCTTAACCCTCTTCTGGCTCTCTTAAACAGGGGCCTTATTCAGAGGGTCTATTTCCCCAAGGGGCCCCCTACTCTACTACTAAGGTCCTGAGAGTTGAGAGTTGAGAGTTCAGCACATCTCGGGCTCAGGGTTGTTGGACTTAAACCCTAAACCCTAAACCCTAAACCCTAAACCTTTCAGCCCTTAACATGCGTCACACTCGACGACCTCATTGCGTTACGCGATGACCCCTTCCGCAAGGCCCCCTGTTCACCTCCTAGCCATCCCGCAGCTAGGGTTTAGGGTTTAGGGTTTAGGGTTTAGGGTTTAGGGTTTAGGGTTTAGGGTTTAGGGTTTGGGGTTTGGGGTTTAGGGTTTAGGGTTTAGGATTGTTTTTGCCACCCGCCTAGGTTTTAGGGTTTAGGGTTTAGGGTTTCAGCCCCATGAGCATGAAGGAGCGACCAGCCCCCCAAAGAATTGATCACTGGCTCTTGCGGCCCCTGATATAGGGGTCGGCATAGCTACTAATGCGTATTTTTTAATGGTCCCTTTATAATCATCCTAAACTCTAAGCCCTAAACCCGAAACCCCTGAACCCCAAACCCTATACTGTATAAATTGTACTATAATACCCTTTACCTTGTTTTTTTTAGGCGGCCCGATGGCTTCGGTTACCCAAAAACTACTATTTGCTTAAGAGCCCTAAAAGAATATTCAAAAAAAAAATCCTTAATAAGGAAGATTTTAATATTTTTCGGGTTTCTTAAGCAACTAGTAGAAAAAGGAACCCCTGAACCCTAAACCCTAGACCCTAAACCCTAAACCCTAAACCCTAAACCCACCCTCAATCCTGAGGAAGCCCCGCCACCCGGCACAAGGCCGACGCTGCTTTTCGTCGCGAGCCGGAGGCCGCATGGGTCCAAGCCCACCGCAGCGTGAAACTGGGTTTGCCCAAGCCCCGACCCCCAAACCGGGGCATTGGGGTTTCGGGTTTAGGGTTTAGGGTTTAGGGTTTAGGATAAAGGGTTTAGGGATCTTTGCAGCCGGTTATTTCCGAAAGCTTACCGGAATCCCTGGTTCGCCAACTTGAAGGGCTCGTGCAGCACGTCCTCGAAGAGTCCGAACCACTCGGCCTCCTGGCTTCGTAGGGTTTTAGGGTTGAGGGTTTAGGGTTTAGGGTTTAGGGGGTTGTGGCTTCTACCTAGGGGCTTCTAACCTGCGGTTATGTGGGGCTTAGGGTTTAGGGGTTTGTTGTTCTTTTGCCAGACCCAAGAGCATCCAGGAATCAAGAAGGTGCCCTTTTTTGGGTTAAAGAGGCGGCCCGTTTTGGTTTAAAGGGGGGCTTAAACCCTCAGGGCCCAGCCCTTGCCCTAAACCCTCAATCCTAAAGCCCAAAACCTACCACCCCCAAAAAGGGAATTTGAGCTAAACCCTAAACCCTAAACCCTAAACCCTAAAACCCTAAACCCTAAAACCCTAAACCCTAAACCCTAAAACCCTAATCCCCCCCAAAAAATGAATTTGGCCCCCAGGGATCCTATGAAGGGAAGCAGACTCCACTTTGAAGGGCTCGACCTCGAAAGCCTACCTACTATTTTCTGAATTATTAATTAGGGTTTAGGGTTTAGGGTTTAGGGTTTAGGGTTTAGGGTTTAGGGTTTAGGGTTTAGGGTTTAGGGCCCCCCAAAACATGTGAAATATCTTCCGCATGAGAGTCATATTGGGTATTTTCCACAATACGGGTGCCCTTTCATACCCCGATTTTGGGAAACCCTCATTTAGGGATTATTATCTTTCAGTTTTTGGTGGGGTGCTTAAACAAAACTAGCTACAGAGACTGATCCATTTAACCGAAGCCTCCTAGCAACTGGTGTTTAGGGTTTAGGTTTTAGGGTTTAGGCTTCCTGCTGCTTGATCTTGCTCAGAAAGAAGGCCATACCTGCTCCCGTCCCGGGTCTTCGGCTTTGACATGCGCAATCAAGGGTGGTTGAGGGTCTGGGGCTTTTGCTGAAAGGCAGGTCTGTGAGCGTGCTAGCTGCTAGCTGCTAGCTGCTAACTGCTAGCTGCTTAGCTGCTAATTGGTAGCTGCTGCCTGCTGGCTGCTTGCTGCGAGCTTTAATCACCAGGTATGAAAAGCATGTTGGGCTGAACAGCAGGCTCGGGCAAGCTTAGAGAACCGCACGAGCCTCAAGGCCCTTTTCAAGACGAGACTCAGGAGCAACTTCGGAATAAAAAAGGGTACCCTTTTTGGCTTCAAGGGGATTGAAGCAAATAAGGGCCTACGCCGGGTCCTAGAAGATAGCCTCGACAAAATCAAGCCACTGAACCCGACTCAACCCTAAACCCTAAACCCTAAACCCTAAACCCTAAACCCTAAACCCTAAACCCTAAACCCTAAACAACCCCCAAACCCTAACCCACTTCGGGGCTCGAACCCCTTAGCCCGGACAGCTGCGATGTTGACAGTGTCACATCCGCGTGCTCACTTGCACGAACAAACCCCCCTGAACCCTAAACCGTAAACAGCCAAGCAACCCTAAACCCTAAAACCCTAAAACCCTAAAACCCTCAAACCCTGAAACCCTGAAACCCTGAACCCTAAACCCTAAACCCTCAACCCTAAACCCAACAAGGAAAAGCAGCTGCCAAGCACATCCTGGGAGCGTCGCTCGTTGAGCTGCAACACCAAAGGCTCCCGGCGTGAGAGGCGGGGAATGCGGAGCAGCAGATAGTCGTCCTTTGGGTTTAGGGTTTAGGGTTTAGGGCTTCGGGTTTAGGGTTTGTTGGGGGTTTCCGACTTTGGGGGGATAGCTTAATGGGGTCATACGGGTCCTACTATTTTGGGGGGTCTATCTTCGGGGTCCCCCATGTTCGTCGCTTCTTTCTCTAAGGGTATTTTCATAGGCCCTAGGGATGGTCCCTAACCTTGAGGGTTTAGGGTTTAGGGTTTAGGATGTAGGGTTTAGGGTTTAGGGTGGTTCGGATGTAATTATGGGCCCCTGATTTGTAGAGGGTTGATGAGGGCTATTCAAGGGGGGGTCCTTTAGGTGTTTGTTTGCTGCTCGCCTCGCTGAACCGGAGGTCCGTCCACATCGCAGGGACAAGGGTTTAGGGTTTGGGGTTAGAAGACAGTCGTCCTTTCTTGCAGTTGCATCTGTGTGCTATGAATTGGAGGCTTAGGGGTTGTGTGACTCTGGAACAGTACTTTGACTCGCAATCTTACTCTTGGTATTTGCTGTCATTGCGTCGTTATCACCATCCGTGGATACTGGTTGTGGTTGTGGTTGGCCGTTGGCCGTTGGCCGTTGGCCGTTGGCCGTTGGCCGTTGGCCGTTGGCCGTTTGCCGCTGCCGCTGCCGCTGCCGCTGCTGCTGCTGCTGCTGCTGCTGCTGCTGCTGCTGCTGCTGCTGCTGTCATTGTTTGACGTTGTTGGTGTCGTTGTTGCTGTTCGCCAAGGCTTCACTTTACTTAGGGTTTGTAGTAGGGGGGGGGGGGGGGGGGGGGGGGCCGGAAGAACTCAGCCATAGCATCTGAGAAGCAACGCTCCACACCAAGAAGAGCTGCCTTAAACCTAAACCCTAAACCCTAAACCCTAAACCCTAAACCCTAAACCCTAATCCCCAAACCCTAAACCCTAACCCCCGGCATGGTGGCCAGTGATCGGCAGATGGTCCCTAAACCCTAAACCCGCTCTAACTGGGACCTCAACAGTTCAAGCCAAGGTTCCGTACTCTACCCCTCATGACCCTACTTGGAGGTTCATGGGTAATTATGGGTAGGGTTATAAGTACCCGAAGTAAGGTTATAACAAAAGGTTGCCCTAATTACTGACAACCCAAATTTATAAGCACCCATGAACCTCCAAGTAGTGACCTCGTACACCGCCGAATTATAGAACCCTTGTGGAAGCCGCAAAACCCTACACCCGCTGTGCGGGGGACCCCGAACTTTATAGCCGAGGCTCCCTGATCAGGGTCCAGTTGCCCCGCTTCCACTGGGAGGACACGAGGCTCCCATCTCTGAGAAAGCCTCTGATCTGTCGGACGTAGGGTGTACTGTAGGGGCCTTAGTAATTAGAACAGGGGTTTGGGGGTCATTATAGTACATTTAAAAAGGAACCATAAGGGAATACTAGTAGTGGGCTTTCAGGGTTTTAGGGTTAAAAGGAGATTTAGGTCTAGGGCTTTCAGGGTTCTCGGGATCTCTTGGGGGCGGGGTGGGGCGGGGGGGGGGGGCTAATATCATGACACACCCAGCAGTAGGTAAGTCTTGGAGTTTGACGCACGATGGAGCCAGAGTTCTGGGGGGAGGGTTGAAAAAAGAAACTAGGGCCCCTGTATGCTTGAGGTACAAAGAAGGCCCCGCACTCCGACTGTCATATGAAGTCTCTCTGTATATATTTCTTGTACCCCCAAAAGGACACCCAGTATATACACTCACCAATTTTAAAAAGGAACCTTATATACACTCACCAAAAACAGTAATATGACCCGTAATGATCTTCGTGTGCAAGGCGCAAATCTTCGTGTGCAAGGCGCAGATCTTCGTGGGCAAGGCCCATTTTGGGGGTTTTGGGGGTTTAGGGTTTAGGGTTTAGGGTTTAGGGTTTAGGGTTTAGGGCCTTGCCCGCGAATTATTGTGCCTGAAGGCATGCGGCGAAGGGCCTATAGGGAATGGAGCTTAAGGTTTATGGATTGAGTGAACTTGATATTCTCTCAATGTTGCGGGAGTCTTTGGGCGAGTGGGTATCCTCCTGTCGCTTGAAAAGCTGCTTGACTAGTGAAAGCTAGAACCTGAGATGCTGAACCCTTTTTGCTAAACCCTCTAACCCTAAACCAGCCAAAGTCGACATAAAAAGCTTTGCTGCTAGCACTTTGAGAAGCGCATGTAGCCCACATGGCGCAGGTTGTTGAGCGGCAGCCTCTGAACACCCTTCTAGGGGAGGTTGGGTTAGGGTTTAGGGTTTAGGGTTTAGGGTTTAGGGTTTAGGGTTTAGGGTTTAGGGTTTAGGGTTTAGGGTTTAGGGTTTAGGGTTTAGGGTTTAGGGTTTAGGGTTTAGGGTTTAGGGTTTAGGGTTTTGTGAGATTTGTACAGGGTTTGGGGTTTCCCGATTGAAGTGCTCATTTTCAAGGAGCATGTAACTACTTTAAGCACCTTGGTTTCAAGGGGCTTCTGATGGAACCTAGGCCCTATAGAAGGGACCTGCCCTGGGTCGTAGTAGGCAAGGCTTCTGCAGGTCTCCATCTCGACTACAGATAATCTTAGACCTGCGTTCCGGGTTTAGAGGGCTTAGGCTTGGGCGTGTCCTGTAGATGTAGAAGCGAAAATAGAGGACCCCCTTGTCCTGAACCTTAAACCCTAAACCCTAAACACCCAGTGGAGGCTAAACCCTAAACCCGAAACTTGGGGCGGGGCTCTACTATCATTTGCAGGCCTCTACTATGACAGACATGCTCGCGGCCGCGTGCCGGTGCTGATAACAGAAACTTTAACGGGATTTGTTACGGAACTGTAGCGGAGCCGTAACGGAAGGCTGCAACGAACTACCTGCTGTAGCGGTATGTAGCAGTGCTGTAACGGAAGCTGTAACGGAGCCGTAGCAGAAGAAGCAACGTGAGTGTAGCGGAGCTGTAACGGACCTGCAACGGAGCTGCATATCTGAGCTGTCCCGGAAGCTGTAAACGGAGCTGTAACGGAAGTGCAACGGAGCTGTAACGGAGCTGCTATGGAAGCTGTAACGAAGCTGTAGTGAAGGTGCAACAGAGGTGCAATGCGGCGGTAACGGAGCTGTAACGGAGCTGCAGCGCAAGCTGTGACGGAGCTGAACACTGTAACGGAGGCGCAACGGAGGTGCAATGGAGCTGTAACGGAAGTTGTGACGGAGGTGGGCAGCGCAAATCCCACATAGTACATCATGGTAGAGCCCAACCCTGAACCCTGAACCCTGAACCTTGAACCCTAAACCCTAAACCCGAAACCCGAAACCCTAAACCCTAAACCCTAAAACCTAAACCCTAAACCCTGCACCTGTAGATGTAGAAGCGGAGGTTGAGGAAGCTGTGCCGGAGAGCTCGTTGGAGGTTCCTGGGCTGAATCCTGAACCTCTCCTAAACCCTAAACCCTAAACCCTAAACCCTAAACCCTAAACCCTAAACCCTAAACCCTAAACCCGAAACCCTAAACCCTAAACCCTAAACCCTGAACCCTACACCCTAAACCCTAAACCCAAAAAGCCAAAGTCCCAAGAGCCAGCCAGAAGAAAGCCGAGGTTCCCTCTGTCTGCTTGGCAGATGCGGCCCTCGGATCGGTTGAACCTGGAAGACCAGTTCCTGGGTTGGAATAGGGTTTAGGGTTTCGGGTTTAGGGTTCAGGGTTTAGGGTTTGGGGATTGGGGATTGGGGATTGGGGATTGGGGTTTGGGGCTTCGGATTTGCCCCTCTAGGGCTTCAGGTGTTCGGGCTTCCGGGCTTGAAGGGCATTATTTTAAGGCGTTAGGCAGGCTTTAGCGTTTCTTTGGTTGGTTCGGCTAGGGGTGACCCTCTGAGAAATATTCTTGCAACATCCTCCTCAAGCCAGCAAGGGAATTTGCCAAAACAGGCATCACCACCCCGAATTAGAGCCATGCAAACCCTACACCCCAAACCCTAAACCCTAAATAACCCTAAACCCTAAACCCTAAACCCCAAACCCCAAAAAGTTTTCTCTAGGGACCCCGGCACCTTCCATCCCAGCCGGTGCCCAGACCCTTGCAGTTTACCAGCAGACCAGCATCCTGAGGAGCTGTTGCGCAGGGGTCTGAGGGTTGAGTTTTCAGGGTTTGGGGAAAGTTGAGGGTTGAGATTCCTATGAAGACCCCAAACAAAGTCACAAAAGGTTTCCCAAAGAGCCCAAAACCCCTTCATGAAGGAACATACCTTAAGTCATATTAAGGATCCCTCTATATAATTTCAGGTATCTTCCTTAGTGAAGGGGTAGACATGGCTCTAGGGCCCCCAAAAACCCACAGAAGCAACAAGTAGGATAGGGATATCTCATATAACCCCCCTTATACTGAAGCCCAATAAGGTAGGGGATGTCCCTATAAAATGCTTATGCTTATGTCCTTTTTGGGTTTAGGTTTAGGGTTTAGGTTTAGGGTTTAGGCTTCAAGCATCTTCAAGCTCGCTCACAGCGCGGTGCACGGAGTCGAAGACGTAGTCGTCGAAGACCAGGAACTGCAGCCCAGGGAAGTAGAGCAGCGCGTTGCGCGCATCCGCCAGCACGGCCTCGTAGCCCTAAACCCTAAACTTTATAAACCCTAAACCCTGAACCCTAAACCCTGACCCTATAAACCCTAAACCCTAAACCTTGAAAGCGGCCTCGTAGTCATGGTTCGCGTCGATGATCGCCACGCTGACGTTGTTGCTGGCAATGGACTGCCAGTCGGCTGCTTGAAGATCCAAAGCGAGCAGAAACACGTTGGGCAGGTCTTTGGTGTGGTTTGCGGCCTCTTACTTCCAATAACCAAGGGGAAAACAAGGTTAGACTTTATATTTATATTATTATTACTATTATTATTATGATTATAATTGTTATTTTTCCTACTAAATAAGGAAACCCAAAAAGTTTAAAAGCTCAGCTCTTGGAGAAGTAAGGCCTGGTCCAAAGAGTCTCGCAGGATGTCCACGGAGATGACCTTGCGAAAGATCGCCGCCAGGACGGCGGTGGTGTGGCCCACATGCACTCCCAACCTTTTATGTGCCACAGGAACCCTAAACCCTAAACCCTAAACCCTAAACCCTAAACCCTAAACCCTAAAACCCTAAAACCCTAAACCCTAAACCCTAAAAGGGTTTATGGTTCATATACCTACTCTTCAGCCTTTATATGGAGATCATAGTAGCGATTCTGGGGTGTATGACCCCCAGTCTTAGGGCTCTTCATATACCTACTCTTCAGCCTTCATGGGGATCATAGTAGTACTTATAAGCCATGTGACCCCCTTTTTTGGGGGGGTTCATTTGGTCCCCAAGGAACTCAAGAGCCGTCATGTGAGACCCCTGCTCACAGAAATGCTCGGCCAGGTGCTTCTTGAAGACGTGGCTTGTGGTGTATTCCATCTCCGCCCGGTCCGGCGCCCGACGGATCTGCACCTCCGCCGCCTCCAAAGGGTTTAGGGTTTAGGGTTTAGGGTTTAGGGTTCAGGGTTAAGTTTAGGGTTTAGGGTTTCGGCTTTAGGGTTTAAGTTTAGGGCTTAGGCCGCCTCCATGCACCTGCCGAAGCTGTCGCTGAAACTCGCCGCGGGCACAATGACTGAGAGCCAGAGCAGCATTCTCTGGGCTGTGGCGGGCGTCCTGAAAATGTTCGCGAAGCGCGGCATGTACGGCCGGGCGCCCGTATGCCCAAAGACGGCGGGCAAACAGCCGCGTCCATGAGCGCCATGTGCGCTGGAAAGCCTACTCCTGGAACCGGGAACTGGCAAGCGGCTGACGACTCGGAGCTGCAAAAGATGCTCAAGGAGGTTTTTGCCCGCTCAAAACGGTTTAGGGCTTAGGGTTCAGGGCTCGATGGGCATCTTGCTTTGAAGGAGGAGCCACTCAACGACAGATCCGCTTTCTAAACCCTAAAATCCTCAACCCTGAACCCTAAACCCTAAACCCTAAAACCCCAAAAACCCCAAGAACCCTAAGACGCCATGCTGCCTCATCCAGGTCCCAGGGCGCGTTGCTCGTTGCCAGGACGAAGAGGTGTCTCAGTGGAGGGTTTTGAGGGCTCCTAAGCCTCAACGAAAGGAGCCCATACCATCGCGTAGAATCGGGAGTAACCTAGGAATAAAAAAGGTGCCCTTTTTGATTTTAAGGGGATTATGAGGGAACCCCAATCCTAAAAAAAGAAAAAACGGGCCTACTCCCGGTCCTAGTCACCAACGCAATTCTCTTTCAGTCCGTAATCATACACTAACCTGAAAATACCATTCTAACCTGAGAAAGGCCCCTGAAATCATCTGTTGGGGGTCACCGGGTGGAGCAGTGGCGTCCGGTTGCATAACATAGCCTGACGGGGGCGGACAAATGCCCTAAAATGCCCTAAACCCCATAAACCCTAAACCCCATAAACCCCAAAACCCTAGAACCAAAAGGCAGTTCCATAAAGTTCGGTTCCCCTGACGACAAGTTTAAAGGCAAAGCCTACTTTGAGCTGGGAATCCTAGACCCCAAAGACCCTACCCTCGTTGCTGAGTACCCTGGCCCAAAAAGAAGGTTAGCCTTTCAATTATGGTAGTATTGTATATACCCCAACAGGTTCAAAAGGCTATCGACTCAGCTACTAAGCTAAACCTGGCTGACTTCTGAACCCCTCCTGAAAGTTTAACTTTTAGGCTCCTTATTGTAGTGTCTACAAAAACCGAAAGGTTAAAGTCCTAAACCCTAAACCCTAAACCCTAAACCCTAAACCCCAAACCCTAAACCCTAAACCCTAAACCCTAAACCCTAAACCCTAAACCCTCCCTAAGCCCGCCAGAAGAAAGCCAAGCAAAGTCCTCAACCCTGGGTGCGGATGGGGCGGCCCATGTTGGTCACCTTGTGTCTCACTCAACCTTCGGTTCCAAGCGGTTTAGGGTTTAGGGTTTAGGGTTTAGGGTTTAGGGTTCAGGGTTTAGGGTGCATACCCCTTGGACATACCCTTCAAGAAACTTAATGTTGGACCCGCTTTAATAAGTTACCCCCCCCCCCCCCCCGACAGTCGCGACCCTGAATAAAAAAAGACCCCAAACAGTCGGGGGGGGGGGGGGTCCGGAGCCCGGAGGCCTCCCTAAGCTACCCCCCGACCCTGGAAAGGTCGAGGCTTCAGGCTTCAAGTATCCCTTCTTCTCGAGAAAGCTTATGCCTTCCTGAAAACCGAAGGACTGAGCCCCGGGCCCCGGGAGACTTGCATTATAGCGGGCCCCCAAACAAAGGTATTAAAGTGTGTCCGGAGGCCTCCGTAAGGTACCCCCTTTCCGGATATGATTCGCCTATGGAATCATCTAGTCTTAAGTAAGGAATTTATAAAGAAAAGGCGCCCTGAAAAAAGAAGATTGTCGGAGATCCTGGACAGGTCGAGGCTTCAGGCTTCAAGTATCCCTCCTTCTCGAGAAAGCTTATGCCTTCCTGAAAACCGAAGGACTGAGCCCCTGGCCCCGGGAGACTTGCATTATAGCGGGCCCCCAAACAAAGGTATTAAAGTGTGTCCGGAGGCCTCCGTAAGGTACCCCCTTTCCGGATATGATTCGCCTATGGAATCATATAGTTTTAAGTAAGGAATTTATAAAGAAAAGGCGCCCTGAAAAAAGAAGATTTTCGGAGATCCTGGAAAGGCCGAGGCTTCAGGCTTCAAGTATCTCTCCTTCTCGAGAAAGCTTATGCCTTCCTGAAACCCTTAAAAAAACAGTCACGGCCCGAAGACTTTTCATTATAGTGTACCCCCAAAACAAAGGGCCAAGATCCTGAATAGCCGAAAAACTTTTCGTAATAGCGTCCCCCTAGAATATTGCGGGTGCAACATTAAGGGGTATGTTTGGAGGGTCGGGTGACTTCGTCGGTAGATAGGAAGTAGACTTATACGTACCCTGAAAGGGACCCTAATTGGAGTTATCCTACTTATATCTCTCTACTAGATAGCTACTAAGTCATCCGACCCTCTAAGATGGTAAAATCCTTCCTTCTATTCTCCTTGTATCGGTTAAGGGGGATGGGTTTGGTTTATGTGGAGTTCTTCTTAGAACCTTTCCTAAACCCTAAACCCTAAACCCTGTGCGACAGAAGGGAAGGGAGAAACGTACTAAAACAGTTGGCTTGGGAGGTGGCCTTTAGGAGGGATTAGACAGGTTCCTCAAAGATTCTCAAGGTTTTTTGTCAAGGATTACCCTAAGGCTCTAATTAAGGACTCTTACTTTAGGGTTTTCGGGCCCAAACGGCTTCTTATATAAGGTTTCGGGTTATTTTGAGCCCAAGGGTTAAGGAGAGTCTTATGCTCCAGGCTTCAGGACCCTAAACCCTAAATCCCAAACCCTAAACCCTAAACCCCAAACCCTGAACCCTAAACCCTAAACCCTCCATGATGAAGTCCTGCGAGCAACCGACACGAACGTCAAATGGAAGCCCAGGCTCGACGCGAGTGACCGGGTTGAGGGCATAGATGTTTAGGGTTTAGGGTTTAGGGTTTTTCAGGGTTTAGGGTAGTTTAGAACCACTCAAAAAAGGAAGAGTAATACTGCCTCTATTGCCCTAATAAGGAAGAATGGTTGCATGTCACTGTTCTTTGTGTTTTTTCGGGGGGGAAGGGGGGGGGGGTTCTTAGGCAGCAGGTGGAGTTTGGATTTTGGAATGTGTAGGCTTTAAGGTTAAAGTCCACGGTCGTTTATAGGGTCCAGGCTGCAACCCTAAACCCTAAACCCTAAACCCTAAAACCTAGGTACATGTATAAGCTTAAGCTCAAGAAGTCGCAGCCGGTTCTGGCCAGGCTGAAGTACACAATTACACAATTACATTGTTTAGGGCTTAGGGTTTAGGGTTTAGGGTTCAGGGTTCCGCGGCATCCCAATGTCAGGAGTTTTTCTGAACGGGTTCCTGGAGCCTCTGATTTCGCTCCAAGGGCCCTTCAACTCGGAATGCCGATGCCTCCATCGCTGGAACCCTGTCTTGGTGTTGAGAGAAACCCTAAACCCTAAACCCTAAACCCTAAACCCTAAACCCTAAACCCTAAACCCTAAACCCTAAACCCTAAACCCTAAACCCTAAACCCTAAACCCTAACCCCCTTCCCTTGGAGCCCGCACCCCCCCAGCCTAGCAAACAAGCGCCTTACAACTAGCTCAGGGTGCAAGCCTGAGCCCACCAAGCTCTAAAGGGTTTAGGGCTTAGGGTTTAGGGTTTAGGGTTTAGGGGGACTGAGCCCCTGGCAAGCCATCCATGTGGATGAGGAACTCCGACTTAAACCTCCGGGAGGCCTCCACCAGCTTCGGCGGGTTTGTACCAGACGGGGTGAGGCGGGTTTAGGGTTTAGGGCTCTAATGTAGTTCCTTTGTGGGTTAAAGGGAAGTCTAGTATACTCCCCAAAAAGGTACTACACAGGAGCCGGGCATGCGTGCTACTGCTTTCAGCCCTTTTGGTCTTTTCATGAATGGTTCCGTTGAAGCAACTAACCTCGGAGCATACTTCACATTTGAAGCAGCTGACCTCGGAGCATACTTACAAACCAATCGCACGCTTGAGGGGGCCAAGCGGAAGAAGGGTGACAGTCCTGTCGTTGACAAGCCAAAGACCCCTGAGATATCTCCTAACGGGTTTAGCGTTTAGGCTTTAGAGTTTCGGGTTTAGGGTTTAGAGTTTAGGGTAAACCCTAAACCCTAGACCCTAAATCCTACGCACTTCCTGCTTCTCTCGCCTCGTGCTCCGCTGCTCCCCCACGTTGTGAAAGCAGCCTTCGCAATCTGACCCAGAAGGGTTTCGGGCCAGGTGTAGGGTTCGCCTGGGACTCTATGTCTACATGAGTCGGTATCTACCCGGAACCCTTTTTTGCAACAAAACCCTAAATCCTAAACAATACATCCTAAACCCAAATTAATTTGCGCTAAACCCCTCAAAGCTGTAAGGTAAACAGAGAGTCCCACGTAGGGCACCCGCTGTTTAGGCTCAGGGTTCCAGGCGAAAAGGGGTGGAGTGTCCAAGTTCGAGATTTATATGGTTTAGGGATCAGGGTTTAGGGTTTAGGGTTCAGGTTATCCGAGGCCAGGTAACTGTGGTAACTGTGGAAGGCGTCAGGGATCCACTTCAAGCAGAGTAGAACGTGAAAACTAGCGCATGGGCTTGGGGAAACCCTAAACCCTGCACCCTAGACTCCCTAACCCCAAAAGAGCCATGTTTGGGAAGCTCAGGGTGCAGTTGTTTAGGGCTTAGGGTGTGACTTCATTGTTGCCGGTCCTTCATGCACTGTACACCTACCCGAAGCCCTAAACATCCTTTTCAGCCCTAAACCGCTACAAACCCCAAACGTCCCTCAGCCCTCAGCCCTCTAAACATCCCTCAGCCCCAACCCCTAAGCATCCCTCAACCCTAAGCGCCCCCGGCCCTAAACCCTACTACCCCTAAACCCCTAAACCCCAAACCCCAAACCCCAAACCCTAAACCCTAAACCCCAAACCCCAAACCCTACAACCCAGTGAAAGCCCAGCCGGGGGGCGAGTCGATCTCATCGAAGAACAGGATCGACGGAACCCGGGCCCGGGCCTTGCGCGGCGTGCTTTTGGAATTGACAAGGCTTGTCACTGGGCTCATATGAGGTTCAGGTATATAATAAGACATATATATATATACACATATGTATACAAAAAGTATATAGATATGTATATGTCTGAATATAAACATGTATACATATATGTATATGCATATATGAATGCGTACATGTATGTGTGTGCATATACATACATATATATATATAGTTGGATTTATATGTGTACATGTACACACAATGTAAAAACGGGCTAAACCCTAAACTAGATGTAGAGGGAATATGAAGGGTTTATGGGGCGTGGATATAGCGCTCATCCGAGTTTTGGGGCTTACCGGGAATGTGTGGGCATAATTGTAGCATTGATGGGGCTTTGTGGGGTTTACAGGGTTCAGGCCTGTGGAAGATTTAGGGTTTTGGGGTTAGACTGCGCAGCTGCTTCGAGGAATGAGGACTTTTATCATTCTGTCTGGGGTGCGCTGGGCTCTGCAGACAACGGGGTGTAAGGTTGAAGAGTGGGGGGGTCAACCCGAATTAAATCCTAAACCCTAAACCCTAAACCCACGGCGCATCGAAGTAACTCTTTGGGTTCTTCAGCCTCATGGCATCCACTCACTGGTTCAGTCATAATCCCCCTCACTGGCCTTGTGTATCACTGTCACAAGAGACTGCTACTTTTGGAATAAGCCCCATGAACCCTTAGGGTTTAGGGTTTCGGGCTTAGGGCGATGTGGGGTTTAGATCCTCGGACCTTCTCCCTCTCTCGCCATCCTAGGCACGCCCCGCTTGCAAGCTCGGCACCCTTGGCTGCCAAACTTTCCGAGCCAAAACAGGCCCACAGAGACATAAGACCCCCTAGACCAAGGAGGAACCTAGGAAAAAGAAGGGGACCCTTTTTGGGGTTTTAAGCGGGTTGTAAGGGTACCCTAAACCCTACAAAAGTGGAATAAGGGCCTACTCCGGGTCCTAGCACAAGACCCCTCTATGATATAAGAATAGAACCGCTCCAGCCATAAACCCCTACGAGCACTGGTGCAGTAAGGGGTGCCACCTTCTAACCCGAAACCCCAAAAACTACCCTACGCACCCCAAAACCTAGAGAAGCCCTAAAAACCCCTAAACCGAAAACCCTAAACCAAATGAAACCTCAAAGTGCGCGCCGAGGGGCTGTCTGAAACCTGGTTGGGGCGCAAGCTGAAGGGGCTTGGGGCGGATAAGTTAAGGGGTATCAGGAGGGAGCCCTGGAGAGGACCCTTAATCTTATTCCCGTATATAACCCCTCCATAACCCTTATATGGTCCCTATACACCTAAGTAGCCCCTAAATAAACCCCCAAAGAGCTCCGATTGTCCCTCACATAAGGGTCCCTCTTGTCGTCCCTGGAATAAGCGCCCACCTCGCCTCCATTTACCTACGATCTTGTTTTGTTGTTTGTTATTTTCTTTTTTTTTTTTGGGGGGGGGGGGGGGATAAAAACTAAACCCTAAACCCTAGAGTCAAAGGAAGCTCGGGTTCATCAGGTTTAGGGGTGATTGGGGCTCCGGCTCGCTCAGGGTTTTGGGGGATTCGTTACAGAGGCTTGTGAAGCGTTTAGGGTTTAGGGTTTAGGGTTTAGGATGTCACAAGTATATCCTTCATAGAGGGTTCCGGCAATGTTCCTCAACCACTGGCCGCAAGACTACTCCTTTTTGACTTGGTGTGTTGCTTCTTCCGTTGGACTTAAGGCTCAACCCTAAAACCTAAACCCTAAACCCCAAACCTAAACCCGACACCCTAGAACAGCGACACCCGAAACCCTAAACCCTAAACCCTAGAACAGCCAAAACCCGTAACTCTCCAAAACCCTCAACCCCGAACCCTCAACTAGACCCAGGAGTGACCGAGGAACAGATTTGGTACCCTTTTTGTGGGTTTGAAGAAGATGACCCAACCCTAAACAAAGGAAATAAGGGCCTACTCCGGGTGCTAGGATATAGGCCTTTTGTTGCATCTGGACTCATTGCTGCCAGGCTGTAGGCAATGACCAGCTGCTACACAGAAGGCCACCACACAATTAGTATATAACCCTAAACCCTAAACCCTAAACCCTAAACCCTAAACCCTAACCGTAACCCTCACCCCTAAACCCTAAACTCGAAACCCTAAACCCTCAACCAGGGGACAGCGCCCGGAGCAACTTCTCTGACTCCCCTCGCCACTTGGAGGTCAGGGTCGCTGAGCTGCAGTTGAAGAAAGTGATGTTCCTCAGGGTTTCGGGTTTACAGGGTTTAGGGTTTAGGGTTTAGGGTTCAGTTGAACATCGGTTTTTGTCCACCACTAGCTCACTTCCCCCGCCCCCCTCCCCCCCCTAACCCTCCTGATGGTAGTTCTTGATCCTAGGACAAGGCCAGCATTCTACATCTAGGAGGCTTAGCCACTAAGCCCCTAGTTAGAAATAGCTTAGGGTTTAGGGTTTAGGGTTTAGGGTTTAGGGTAAACCCTACACCCAAACCTGACAAATCCCACAGCGCAGTCTGTGTGCACTTTGGGCAAGAAAGAGATTTAGGGTTTCGGGTTTAGGGGAGTTCAGGGAGGGGGGGTTCAAGAGAGGTGTAACCCAAGGTTCCACTCCTCACTACCCCCTAAGGCTCCCTAAACTTTTCAAGGTTCTCCCGTAAGGCCCTGCAAGAACGGAGCAAGAAAGTTCACCAACCCTGAACCCTAAACCCCTAAACCCCTAAACCCCTAAACCCCTAAACCCCCTAAACCCCTAAACCCCTAAACCCCTAGACCCCTAAACCCCTAAACCCCTAAACCCCTAAGCCCCTAAACCCCTAAACCCCTAAACCCCTACCCTTAAAACCCCTAAACCCCTAAACTCCTAAACCCCTAAGCCTTGCTGACTCCAGGCGTCTCCGTGCAGCTCGCCACGGCTTTGGCCAGCATCGTCTTGCCGGTGCCAGGCGGGCCGAAGAGCCTTCGGGGGGGGGGGGGGGGGGGGAAGGTTTGAGGCCTCAGGGATGGGGATGGCGCAAGGACTAAACCCTAAACCCTAAACCCTAAACCCTAAACCCTAAACCCTAAACCCTAAACCCTAAACCCTAAACCGTAGTTTTAACCCAGGACTCCCAAGACTACCTTAAACCCTAAACCCTAAACCCCTAGACCCTAAACCGGGATGGCAGAGGGACGGGCACCTCTCCGATCTGTTGGTGTGAGGTTAAGGGTAGAAATCTACATGAACCCTAAACCCTAAACCCTAAACCCTACACCCTAATTTCGAATGTGCCACGAACCCTTCTGCCTTGTTTCCTACTAACCTACAGCTAAACAGCTGGCACGAACAGCCCAAACCATATTAGGAGCACATGAACGGGAACCTTTAGGGGTACAACCTTAGGGGTACGAGTCTTCATCCCTTGATTGACAAGGCCAAAAAGCAAGCCCCAGATTGTCTCTAAAACAGGGTCCAAGTGGTCCCCCAAGCACCCTTGAAAAATATCTTTTCTTCCGGAGGTAGTTTGTTCTAAACCCAAACCCTAAACCACATAAAACCGATAACCTCTATAAACCCTCTAAACCCTCTAATCTGGGGTGGCTCCAGGCGGCTGGCGAAAAATATTAGCGAAAAGTCATGTTTCAAAAGAACATGTTCAACTACAGAAAAAGCAAGACATTCGACTTGCCAGTCGAAAGGAAATAACAGCACGACAACGAATACGCGAACGACTCGCAACGCCGTCCATCGCCACCACTTCTGACCTGACAACGACATGCTTTGCACAACTGTATCTCTCTCTCTCTTTCTCTCTCTCTCTCTCTCTCTCTCTCTCTCTCTCTCGCACACAACTGCTGAGGCGTGTGCGGCCAGTACCTTGGGACGGATCCACTTCCTCGTTCTCAGTCTCTCCTGGCATAGAAGGAGCACTCAAGTTCTGGCATCCGGAGTTGAGGGTTTAGGGTTTAGGATTTTAAAACCTGGAATGCGCACCCAGGAGGCGATGAGCGAGACATTCGGAAGGGTGCAGGCTCGCAGGCCGTGCGCTTGCCGCAGGTGCCAGCAAGTCTCGCTGTCTGCCGGGACCCGGATCTAGTACTGGCAAACTCAACATTTGAAGGCTTCAGGGTTTGGGGCTGAGGGTCTCGGCTTCGGGTTTAGGGTTTGCGGTGTAGGGTTCGGGGGTTACCCAGGATAGGGTTGCGGAACATCCCGCTCGACTTTGGTGCCCCCCCCTGCCCGCCCCGCTATGGGTGGGCGGGGTCGTAATGTGAGAATCTGGGCTTGCTTAGATGAGGGCAATTATTGTGTCACCCAGGCTATGAGCTTTTTGAGGTCCGGGTTTGGGGGATATGAAAAAAGCACAAGGTTTTTGCTCTAAGCTCTATTCGGGCTTTGGAATGACCTCCCGGGTCCCTAGTCCTAAACTCGGAGCCCTCAACTCTGACCCTAAAACCCAAACCCCTGAACTCTGTCCGCGGTCCTGGGAGAAACCGAGCAGCTGCAGGGCGTTTGCCACGCCACAAGGCCCTCGGCCCATGTTTCAGGGTACTTCAGGCCTTTGGGGCCGGGGGGGTGGGTGGGGGGGCTTAATATTGCATCCATTCATATGGCGACCGTACTGGGTATGTATAGCGTTTTGCAACGTCGCCATGACCTCACGTGAGACTCGGACAACTGCAAAACATCGCCTGTTCGGACTCAGGCAAGAATCGCTCCACATCCACTTCCAGCTCGCCAAGTGCATCGGCGAGTTGTGGATGATTCCGCCAAAGCCAGTCGACTACCTCAACTGGCTGACGACATGATGTGAATGCCTGTCATCCAAGCTTTTGCATCTCATGTCCCGCATGCATAGCTCACACGCCCTAGCCACGTGGAGCAACCGTTCTTTTTTATATTTCCGCACCGAATGCTGCAACAAGTAGCATCCGGAATCATCCCAAATATATCTCCCGCATTACAGTTCCGCCTGGACTAGCTTCGCCTGTCTTATGATATGCTGTAGAAATTGGATGGGCCTGAGCTGCCAATCTGCCGAACAGTTAAAACACGCAACATCTAAACGCGCTTGAACCATTTTTAACACGCACAGCGGCTTCCAGTCGCTGGACAAATGACTTGCCGGTTCCAGATTCACATTTGTCGTGAGAACCAGTATCCCTAAGTAGCATTGCGATCCATCCCTACTCCAGTTCCATCCAGTGCTCGGATCGACTGGAAAAGCATCCACAGCCAACTGGCTGAGTCTAAGTGGAGCTGCACAAATTTCGGACTCGGCGGCCTTCCCCGCGCTTTTGCCTTGGGCTTGCTTTTTGCAACCGCCTTGGCCTCGGCCCGACGAACCTGTTCATAGTCCGTCATGGACCCATGTGTTTGCCAAAGCCCCTTTGAAAGGCTGCAGAGGCCTTGCAAGAAATTCTGCTGACTTCTCGACAAGGAAGACTGGCCGTGCAGGAGGACCACTCGCTGCGATAGCACATTCTTTTGCATGACCAATCCAGGCATTTCTCTGCCTGAGCTGTCAGGCAACATGTGTTTGATGTAATCAGCAAATTTGCGCACGGGACAAACTGGAGTATACAAGCAAGTTGCTGGTGTCCGCGCAGAAGCTGTTCCAGTCAGACTTCGAAACAACGGGAGTGCCAAAACCAGCCAGTACCACTGCCATTTTGCAAAATGCAGTGTTCCTTGATTGACAGCATCAACTTCACACGCACTGGCTCAAGGAATGTTCCTGGTGATGTTATTACCAATCAAAAGTGAAATCGACAAATTTGCCTCGCAACCGCGGGGCTTCGAGACGACAGGCTTCTCGAGAAGAAGGTCTGTGACCGAGTCGACAACCGCAATGTGAGCGGACGGAATGAATTCCAGGAGCTTCTGAATGTTGCCATCGACATCGACGTCGGCGATGCTCTGCAATCGAACTTCCTTCGAGGGAGGAACAACCTTGGCTCTGTCGGACGGACTTTCAATTCTTGGTTGGGGTTTGTGCCCTGCAGTCGCCTGTTACAAGGATAAAATAACTTCACTTTAATACAATTCGACTAATGTGAGTACCAGAGTATTACACTTGAATACTGAGTTCGTCCAACAACCAGATCCTCATCAGTGAAGGACGCATCAAGAATCTTCCAGCGTCGCAGCGACTTGAACTTCTGCACCCATGGTGTCTGAAGAGTCGACTGCGGCGTGAACAGCTTCGCTGTGATCCTCTGAGGCTTCCCAAAAGGATGCCCAATTGTCTGGCGGCTAATTTTGGCCGCGGCAGCCTTCTCCTTGATCAGCTCGGTCCTCCGTTTGAACCTGGAAGTGGCTTGGCTTGGCCTCATAGACTGACTGCGCAAGTGGTTGGCTGCGTCCGCGGTGCTCACTCCTGGAATAACCGTGCTGGACGAAACCGCGGAGTCCGGGGCGGACAGCTTGTGCAAAGCCATTGTCTGACGTAGCCGCAAACCAGCTTGAGTGAATTTCATCATCTTCGACTTCTCGTCCTCTTTCTTGCCTACCCTCTTCTCCTTGTAGATCCGGAATCTGCTGCCATACTGCTTGCGCCATTCCTTCAAAAATGATCTCGAGAACTCGGTTAAAGCCAGGTCGGCGCCTTGCCTAGACGCCACCTCCTCAAGTGAAGTTGGGCCATCGAGCTTGCATTCGAGGAGATCCGAAAAGAGGCTTGTTGACAAAGGGCCCTTGTGGGAGTCCGAAATCTTCGTGCCATGCGCATGGTATCTTTCAACTACGCACGTCCCGTCCTCCATCGCCAGATAAAGAGAGACCAGCAAATGAAGCTTTCGACTACACTTGGAACGCGTCTGCGCCCATTGAAGCCTGTTGTCGGGCTCCTCGACTTTGCCGGCGGCTCTGCCAGCATCTGCAGAAGCGCAGAGCTCCACGAGTTGACCTTGCATGCGTCTTCAGAACTGGGCTTCCGAAGTAAAAGATTTCAAGTCTCCAAACACAGTTTCATACAGTCCACGTTGCATTTAGGGCTGCAACAGGTTCAGAGATCAGAGGATCAGAGGCTTGAGAAAACACAACTTTCAGGCTCCTGGTCGTTAGCACATGGCTTCACGGGCAGGTCAGGAAACATTCCGAAAGTTGGGGATTCACGACATGCAAAGTTAAATGAGCGCGCCGAACCAGGTAGGCCTTAGCTTTCAGACACAACAATCTGCTGGGCAAAGCTTGTGTATTTGGAGTTCCCCGCCAGGCCACTCGTGAACTCCCGACATATAGCTTGCAAATCAGGATCATGCTTCGTGAAGCCCAGGCCTTCACAAAGCAACCTTCGAACTTTGATGTGGACCCAGGTCTCGTATCGAAGCCATTTTGCTGGATTCCTGGCTTCCATGGCTGCTACCTTTCTCTGCAAGCAGTTGTAGCCGACGACAAGCAGCTTAACTTAGAAGCAAAAGTCGTCCATACAACCAAGTACATTCCCAATGCAAGCAGGAGGCAATGTCGAAAACCGCGAAGCATGCCTCCAGGCTCTGGTCATCAATTTCGGCATTGATGCGATCTATGAGAAGTCTCACCACATTGCCAATCGACTCCAGGCTGCTGAAGTAGGCGTCTCTTGAGCGGTCCCACAACACAAGCGCCTTGTCCTTATGTTTAGACTTGCTACATCAATGGATCACATAATTTAATGCCTGGACCGGAAAACTTCAGAAGACAATTCGGCCTGGAACCTCAGACTTCCATTCAGGGAAGGCATCCTTGAAATGCTTGAACAGAAACAAGCATCGCCAAAGCGGATGGTGCCCGCTTCCATAGCTCGTTGGATTGCCAGTTCTGTGCATGTCTTCTCGTCACCAGTGGACGCTTGTAAAACTTGCCCATCCAGAAACAGCCGCACCAACCTGACAGGCCCAAGACTGGGCGAGATGAGAACTACATCAATCATTCAACTTTGGAGCCTGTGCTGGGAGAGCTGAATATGTGGATGCTGGGTCCGGGTCTCATCATAATCCCAAGCGCCTTTGGATGAACTGCTTCTTCTCGCGAATGGACAGAGCAGGGTCATGCCAAGACACGTCGAATTTGCGTAGAAAGACTGCAACCGCTGCCTGGAGGTCTGCGTAGAGACCGAGGGTCACGATGAATTTGCCTAGGCTGGACACTGCTTTTGCTTTTGCTACGAGCACGAAACGAACTCATCACATGACACCAGTGACTCGTCATTTTGTTAGCGGAGAACGATCAGTCAACCGGCTCTTTATGGCCAGGCACAATCCATCTTGCGCAAAATGTCTTCACAGCGCGTTCGTGTCTCCTTGGTCTGTCGACTGTCAATCGCCTGCGACGCGAGCAGGAGCACGATCGGCACCAAGAGATCGACGAACTGGCGGGACGGGTGGCCCTCCGAATCGAAGCGGATGCGGGAGAATGAAACGGACTTGAAAGCCGTGGCGTTCTGGGTCCTGAATTCGTCGTCCATTGCCAACGCACGCAGCTTCAATCTCCATTCCTTAAACGTGTTCTGGCCACAAACCCTCAGTGCTCAGATTGAGTGCAACGAAACATGTCAGCTGACAATCCGCAATTGATAGTCAAGCCGCATTGGAGTGCTTGAGGTTCGGAATGACCCCGCTCTTGCCAGGCCGAGTGCCAACGCCACTCTTCTTCCCGAAGAGTGCGTCTCGAACCTCTGAGATGCATGCATCACCTTCCGCTGGTTTGGCAAGCGCGATCCTGGCGGTCACATTCCACAGCTCCAGCGGCCTCGACCTAACACAAACGTGTGGCCTTGCGCGTCGGCATATTACACGGTGTTAACGGATCACATCTGCACGCGAGAGGTCCTCACAGCGTGCGCTCGGTCTCGCCAGTGTATCTTCAAGCCCGTCATAGCCTGCGTCAGGAAGCCTGCCACTTTCACCATGGGGGACGCGCCATCCACGGAGATGGCACGCACTTTCTTCAGAAAGTCACTGAGCTCTGACTGACAGAGAACATTTTGCAGGTCTGTGAAGAGCGCCTTCAAGCTGTCCAAGACTTCTACCTGTTTTTCAAGCTGACGCAGGCATGAGCGAGGACACAGCCGCACTTCCCACTTGCATGTGATACATGCATGACAACTAGAATGCTGGCTTCGAGTACATGGTCTGCGCAGTGGCTTCTCAATATGTCTTCCTGCCCCTGGAGCCACCCTCTGTGGAGAAGAAATCTGGTGCTAGTTAAGTTGCACTTTTTCTCTCCGACCAATCACCTTCGAGCTCTTCCTTCGTGGGGCAATCCACAGCCCAGGCTTTGACCATGCCACATTGCCATGGACTCAGGACATCGCCTCAGGCCACGCCGGCGCGTGTCAGGACGGCACCATAAGAAATCTTTTATTATTAAAGCATCAGAAAATACGTATAATATGATGGCCGTTCAGCTTGGCTGCACCGGTACCTGAGCACCAAGTTCGGTGATTTTTCATCGAAGATGAGGGTGACTGCGCTCGCCTGTCTCAAAGTCGACAGCTTCCTTTGTCGAGTCACCTCCCGCATGACCCGTACCATGCATGTAGCCGCTCTTCGACTGATGTCTTGTCCTGGGCCACGGTTGTACTGTGAAGCAGGCAACTTCAATAATAGAAACCGCACTAGCTTGCAAATCACACGCACTGCTATTTGGCAAAACCCACCCTCAGAGTCACCGCCAAATCTCGCTGGCTATGCAGATACCCTTCACAGAGTGTGAGGTTGCTGATGCAATTGAAGGAGACCGGATTCTGCACGTAGCTGTGCAGTCGACAAAGGTCGGATAGCTGAGGAACCCCACCTTGAGGAAGCATACAAGACATGTTCGCCCACAGCATCTTCCAACGACCCAATCCATTCAAGTGAATTTGTTGTGAAGCCTCAGAATTGCCTTGCGAAATTAACGGCCTGCCATCAGCTTGGAGTCCTGCAAGTCCGTCACCAGGATCTCCTCTGGCTTTACGCCAGGCAGGTAGTAGCATCCTGAAAATGACAAAACGTCCGGAGTCGGTGCTGGTATTTGGTCACAGACGCTATATATCATCTGAATCCCAAATCAAACAAGACTCGGACTGCCAGTCGGTGAATCTGGCTTTGAGCATGATTCGCAATTGCAGAGGATTGAAAGCTCTTGATGCCCGACACAGCCAACAGAGCCTCGCCAATGTCAGTAACAATGCACACAGACCAGAGAATCTGCCTTCCGTGCCAACTGCATTTCGAAACAGGCTGACTGTCTTTGCCGGGCGGCCCACTTTGTGCGTCCGCGGCACCGACGCGTGGTAGCGCGGTCGCTTTGCTGTGCGTACCAGGCACAGAAAAAGCATCCCAGCCCAAATTTATCGCTTCGACTTGGAACCAAGAAGGTCACTTTCTTCCCACTCCGAGGGTCTACACTGGAGCCAACGCCGGCCTTCCACACAGCACCAAACTTTGCATAGCGGCACTCGGCGCATTTGTCCTGTCGAAGCGGGCAAGGTATGTATGACTATCGTCATGACCACTTCCTAGTTGCTGACGCTGACCGCCTCAGCTTAAGCATACTTTCGGCTAAGTAGCTGGCTGAAGGATTGCGTGACTCCGACAGCGCAGGCCGGTTCCGGAGCTGGAGAAGCTACCAAGTGCAGGGTTCATGCCACGTGCCCGGGATCTCTGCGACTGACTCGGCTTTGTTCTGCCCGACTTCTGATGCTGCTTTTTGATAGACTGCGACTTGAGCTTCTTCCCGGCAATCGACTTTCTTGGCCTTCCTTTCTTGAAAACGGCGGCGCTGGACTGTCCACCTCGGTGTTGCGATTCTACGCAGAACTGTTCCCTGCACTGCCCACATGAAGTAGCTCTCGTTAGCTACCCTCTCTAGTCTCCTGCCAGTCATGCTCTTCGGCGGACGCTGATTTCTCCCAAACTTCCGGTGGGCAACAGCAACCAAAGCAACAGTTCGACAATGACATGAGGGCCATGCGTTCTATCGGAGATGGAATACCGCACAGGACACTCCAACAAGGTACAGGGAGGGCTCGGGGTGGTCCGAACTTGAACAAAAGTATATTAAGACATGATGGTCCAAGCAAGAATGCCAGCATGCGCAACCGCACTACTCGAGCAGGGAACATTTCAGCGACAGCGAACCTCTTTGGCGGGTCCCACCAGCTCGACTGCTGTTCTCTGGCTGCTTTCGCTTCTTCTGAATCTGCTGCGGCTGTCTGTGCTTCTGCGGCGCAGCCTTCAATGTGCTCCTGGTCAGGGGCTGGGTTTCATATATTATGTACGTCGCTATCCACTGGTACCATGTTTTCTGGCAAGATGCTTCGGTCTGGGCGTCTTGCACCGCTGGCTTCCATAGAGCGGGATACCAGATCGGAAGGCATGCATGGATGGGGAGAGCTCATCTCAGCCTACATTCAAGCCCACTGGTCTCTAAGTAGTGGAGGAGAAGGATGTGACTGCGACTGCTCAAGACTACTCCTTTTCATGCCAGTGCACGCTGGCCATAGACATTATGTGCTCAATTATTCTCATGCGGGCGTGATTGATTAAGATTTCAAGCCACGAACCCCATGTTCGTTTCAGACTGCGACCTGATGACTATGATTCTCGAAGCGCTGTCGCCTGTCTCTGGGACCAACAGGAGCACAAGGACAGCGGCGCAACGCACGTCATTCAGGCAACGTGCTTGCAGAGTTGGAAGCTCCAGAAGGACGACAGGAAAGAGCCAGGGCCCCTGCATCCGTTGCCGGACAGGAAGTGGGAGAGGCTGGCCTCGAAGAATGCATGAACCACGAAAGCTCCCAATCCACGTCGTGCACCGCGTGCACCATCGCTTGGGCAACGCAAACCTTTTTTTCGCCCTGCGCGCGGATCACGCGCTTGTCATGTGACCCCGCAAAGTTCCCCTGCAGAAGCTCGCCGCTTCTGAGCCTGCTCCCTGTCCGACTCCG